ATGTCTGCTAGAAACAACATGTACACGTACACAGACAGTCGAGGTAACAAGCGTGAAGTGCCCATGGTGCGTGCCTCCTCGCTGGACCAGATTAAAAGAGGAGACCATATCTGCTTCAATCGAAATTTGCACTGGCATCACGCTATAGTAGAGACCGTCGATAAATTAAATGGTGAAGTCATCGTCATCGAGTACTGTAATACCGCAAAGCAATTCAGCCAGGATAACAGCACCCCGCCAAAAAATCCAAGATGGGCAGAGGTGGTTAGACAAAGTTTCAAATTAGAAAATGATCCTGTTTACCCAGGAGCCAATGTGCTCCTGGTTCACGTTATTAAACACGACAGTTGTTACGATCCCGAAGAAGTTGTTACCAGAGCTAAGGGTAAGCTAGGGGAAAGAGGCTACAACCCTAATACTTTCGACCGTGGACATTTTGCCTTATGGTGCAAAACAGGAATATCCTCTTCAGAACAAGTGAACTCTTTCCGAGAATTCGTGATGAAGAAGAACGCTGGCTGGAGCACGTATCCATTTTTGCCGTGAGTTGTTCTAGAATGTGTACAACCGAAATTGTGTCAAAGATACGCAACTGTTAGATTCCCGTACTTTTAACTCGGCGCCATCGTTATATATTCTAGTGTTCCCAAATTTTCTGCTCATATTCTACTGAATGGAGAATTCATTAGCATTCTTAAAGGAGCTGTGTCACGACTAATTCAGCCAAATGAGGGAATTACAAAATGCCCGTTAAATTAAGAGAAACATAAAAATAACAGCTTAAAACTTTAAAGGAAGTTTAAAATAACGTAACGGAAACAACAGATGCCACGGGTGGGCAAAACTGAAGAAGATTGAAACGGATTGAAATTAGGGTTTTTGAAAACTGTTTAGCCTAACAGTTTTTCAAAGCTGACCCCTGCTGCTTGCATCTTCAAAAATAATGCTCAGGAGACATATTTGTTTGTCCCGGATCTCTGATTTTGTCGTTTACTTGTAATTTCTGTGCTTACTTTAAGTTCCATAGCGATTGAGGGCGAGTAATTGGCAAAATTATACAAAATGAACTGGACTGCCGTGACACAGCTCCTTTAAGACCCCTAGTTTCGTTAGGAATTCGTTAGGAATTATTGCTAAGATCCGACACTATATCCCGCGTCGTCTTTTCTTCAGATATATGCTAGTAATAGTTGACACTACAGCTGCCCCCGTTCTGTATATTGTCGGTTAATAGTATTCTTGCTCGTTGTAGCTCTTTCAAATATACCGATTCATAATGAAGATGTTCACACATATTCCATACAATAGGTGAGATAAATACAGGAAACGCAAGGTTCCATGCACAGTTTCAGCTCGATTTACACCACAGGTAGCCCAAGCTCGAAATATGAGCATCGGCGAGCATCGGCATTGTTGCGTAACATTCAAAATATAAGGATTTGTATGGGAAAAATAAAAAACAGCTTACCTTACTTAAAATGTGTGTTACGTCTCTCCTGTGTGGTCCACGGGCCGATTTATGCCCGTTTTATGGGTTTTTATGCGGCCCGTGGACCACACAGGAGAAACGTAACACACATTTTAAGTAAGGTAAGCTGTTTTTTATTGAAATCCTTTCATTTTCATAGGTTAAAGAAACGATAGGACCGATAGGTTTTTTTCCATACAAATCCTTATTTTTTGAATGTTACGCAACAATGCCGATGCTCGCCGATGCTCATATTTCGAGCTTGGGTTACCTGTGGTATAAATCGAGCTGAAACTGTGCATGGAACCTTGCGTTTCCTGTATTTATCTCCCATTTCTCCCGCCGCCACCGCCCCCTTTCCCAAGTTGTGCGCGTCTTATTTTCACTTTGCTCGTTTTAATACCTTCCCACTATACTATCTGAGAGCCTGGCACAGGCTATAACTTTCAAAACAACTGCTCCACAGAATGTCACTGCGTAACGCAAGAGTATCAGAGTATGACTGCACAATAAATGTCACAAAATCTACCTGAGCGGTCTCTTCGGGATTTTCTGTCTTTACGTCATCCTAACCATTTCGTACTTGCGGGCGCAAACAATAGAAACGTCATCATTACCTACCGATTCCTCGCAGCCCCAGTTCGAGCAAATCGAGATTTTTTCTAGTATACTGACTGTATATTTGAACTGAAAGTACTGCCCTTAATATACGCGCGAGTTACTAGGGTGGCTCCTCGGGATTTCGCCTCTGGGCGAAATCCCTGCCGGGGCAATAATTCAACTGTAAGTACCTTCCTTAATATACGCGCGATTTACTAGAGTGCCTCCTCGGGATTTCGCCTTCTGGGCGAAATCCTTGCGGGGGCAAAAATAAACTCACTAATTGTCCCTTATCTAACTTATGGTATCTGTTCTTGGGGAAACTGCGCTAGTAAGTATCGAGAAAAAATTCTCCTCTTACAAAAGAGGGCTTTCCGTCTCATCTGCTTTGGGAAATCAAAGGAACATGCCGTTCCGTTCTTTCTCAAATCCAATTGGCTCCCGCTACCCAGCATAGAACTTTATAAACGATGTTTCTTGTATTTTATGTATGATCGTATATAGTGGTTAATTTTTAGCTCTCAGATAATTTTACCAATCCACTTTTTGAGCTATTTTGAAAAAACAGCTCATATGTCAGTGGTGTGAGCGTATGTATCTTTGTGGCTTTGTAACTTTGTAACTTTGTATGTTCGGATGTTTGTTGCAAGAGCCAATAAGGTTGAAGGTACTATTAGTTTATGCTTAGGAACCAATGAGATCTTAGCATCTACTTAAACATGACATTGGTAAAGGTCGAACAAGGGCACTTTGAGACCGCCATCTTGATTCTTCACAATTTTTTCGTCTTTTATTACGGGTACAGGTGTTTGGAAGAATTACATTTAAATATCTTCATGATTCAAACGCTGTGTACAGTGATGCAGCTGTTTAAGGGTTCATATTTTAGTATGGATGCTGCTTCAAGGCATTTCTGACCTAATTCGGCTATCGGTACAACGCACGTCAGTATGAGTTCTGTTTCACCCGCTACAACTGGGTAGAGTATAAAAGATCATATATTTTCAAAGCTCTTCCAATGAAGCAATAATTGATATTTAGATATAGACTTTAATTCGAAAGTATGCGCCCTATAAAATGTGGTTTTAGAAGTTTAAAAAGGCAGCTTATTTTTGTGAAAGCTGTACCGAGTATTGTTAATCCTGTAAACAAGCTTTAAAAATATCATTCTCTCGCTTACAAAGTTCAACAGACCTTTTTCGTTCTGGCAAAACAAAAAAAAAAGAATAATAAGTGAACAACATAATACATCCTTCCTGCATACTAAGTATTATAGTTTCTGAAACCTATTTTATTTAGTAAAGATGAGTAACTTAAGTAGAAACAGTAGCGTTAGGGAATAAAATTGGAAGAAGCTAGTTGACACAAAATTAGATACTGTTGTATTGAGTGGAGTAACATGATACAAGTAGAAATATATTTCGGCAGTTTGATAATTTTCTTGGTAGTTAATAACTGTTAGGCTATCAACCTTGACGTTGCATGAAACATAATTTAATTGCAGATGTTGTAATAAAGCCGAGGTGATTTCTTAAAATCGCTTGAGAAAATTTTGTAGTGAAACAATTTACCTTTTTTTTTAAGTACGAATTGTAAAAGGGCCAAAGACCAACATCTTCACATGCAAATTGTGTGCATGAGTTATTTTTATAATTCTGTTTACTAGATTACTGGGTGATAACTCGAATTCCCTCACGTACGAACCACGAAAGGGGGCAAAGTCCAACACTTTCACGTGCCAGCTGTGTGACTGTACATCTCATGCAGATTGGCTTTTCACAATGATAAATAGTAACTTGAACGTATGAAGACCTGTTTCGTTTTGTAACCAATGCCTTAAAAAAGGCTCTTGTCTTTTAAGAAGCAATAGCTTTTAAAACATGAAGAAATAAGTTGTCGGAGTTAAAGACTGTTTCACTGAGTAGAATCGCACGTGAAAACCTCGTGAATTATGCTGATGCAACCATCTACCACAATGATAAAAATCCTGGTATTTCGTAACTATTCAGTATTCGATGAGTCACATTTTGGCTTAAGAAACCCCGCGGAAACCTTAGAGTTGTCCTTCTAATCAACGTTTGGTGAGTAGAAATTTATTTTACTTCAACAATTTGTTTAACTTGCACCAGATGTAACAGGGAAAGACGAGGAAAGTGAATATATAGGTTGAGGATCGACTCAGATGAGCGTTTCGCGTTTTCATTTATGTAGCGCAATACCCAATTTCGCACAAAAACCAAATCTACATTTAGGATGAAAAAGGTAGATTCATCACTCTTGGTAAGGTTACACCGAAGTATTATAGTTACACTGAAGCATTCAAAATAGCTCATGCACGTTTAACGTGCCTATGTTGAAAAAATAGCTCATATGTCAGTGGTGTGAGCGTATGTATCTTTGTGGCTTTGTAACTTTGTATCTTTGTAACTTTGTATGTTCGGATGTTTGTTGCAAGAGCCAATAAGGTTGAAGGTACTATTAGTTGATGCTTAGGAACCAATGAGATCTTGGCATCTATTTAAACATGACATTGGTAAAGGTCGAACAAGGGCACTTTGAGACCGCCATCTTGATCCTTCACAATTTTTTCGTTTTTTATTACGGGTACAGGTGTTTGGAAGCAGTACATCAAATATCTTCATGATTCAAACGCTGTGAACAGTGATGCAGCTGTTTAAGGGTTCATATTTAAGTGTGGATGCTGTTTCGAGGCATTTCTGACCTAATTCGGCTATCGGTACAACGCACGTCAGTATGAGTTCTGTTTCACCTGCTACAACTGGGTAGAGTATAAAAGATCATATATTTTCAAATCTCTTCCAATGAAGCAATAATTGATATTTAGATATAGACTTTAATTCGAAAGTATGCGCCCTATAAAATGTGGTTTTAGAAGTTTAAAAGGCAGCTTATATTTTTGAAAGCTGTATCGAGTATTGTTAATCCTGTAAACAAGCTTTAAAAATATTATTCTCTCGCTTAAAGAGTTCAACCGACCTTTTTCGTTCTATTTAGTAAAGACGCGTAACTTCAGTAGAAACAGTAGCGTTAGGGAATAAAATTGGAAGAAGCTGGTTGACACAATAATTAGATAATGTTATATTGAGTGGAGCAACATGATATAAGTAGAAATATATTTCAGCAGTTTGATAATTTTCTTGGAAGTTAATAAATGTTAGGCTATCAACCTTGACGTTGCATGAAACATAATTTAATTGCAGATGTTGTAATAAAGCCGAGGTGATTTCTTAAAATCGTTTGAGAAAATTTTGTAGTAAAACAATTTGCCTCTTTTTTACGTACGAATTGTGAAACGGCCAAAGACCAACATCTTCACATGCAAATTGTGTGTATGAGTTATTTTTATAATTCTGTTTACTAGATTACTGTGTGATAACTCGAATTCCCTCACGTACGAACCACGAAAGGGGGCAAAGTCCAACACTTTCACGTGCCAGCTGTGTGACTGTACATGTCATGCAGATTGGCTTTTCACAATAATAATATTAACTTGGACGTATGAAGACCTGTTTCGTTTAGTAACCAATGCCTTAAAAAAGGCTCTTGTCTTTTAAGAAGCAGTGGCTTTTAAAACATGACGAAATAAGTTGTCGGAGTTAAAGACTGTTTCACAAATGTTAACGTTGACGTTGCATGAAACATAATTTAATTGCAGATGTTATAATGAAACCGAGGTGATTTCTTAAAACAGGGGCGGATCCAGGACTTCTTTTAGGAGGGGGTGCACTCGTCTCTTGCTCTTGACTTCAACACCAATAAACCAATTTTTTTTTTTTTGCAGAATACCAGTTGTATTAGAAAACCGCAGGTCATCTCAGGGGGGCGCACCCCCTGCACCCTCCCCCTAGATCCGCCCCTGTAAAATCGTTTGAGAAAATTTTGTAGTAAACAATTTGCCTTTTTTTTACGTACGAATATGTAAAAGGGCCAAAGACCAACATCTTCACATGCAAATTGTGTGCATGAGTTATTTTTATAAATCTGTTTACTAGTTTACTGAATGATAACTCGAATTCCCTCACGTACGAACCACGAAAGGGGGCAAAGTCCAACACTTTCACGTGCCAGCTGTGTGACTGTACATCTCATGCAGATTGGCTTTTCACAATGATAAATAGTAACTTGGACGTATGAAGACCTGTTTCGTTTTGTAACCAATGCCTTAAAAAAGGCTCTTGTCTTTTAAGAAGCAATAGCTTTTAAAACATGAAGAAATATGTTGTCGGAGTTAAAGACTGTTTCGCTGAGTAGAATCGCACGTGAAAACCTCGTGAATTATTATGATGCAACCATCTACCACAACGATAAAAATCCTGGTATTTCGTAACTATTCAGTATTCGATGAGTCACATTTTGGCTTAAGAAACTCCGAGGAAACCTTAGAGTTTTCCTTCTAATCAACGTTTGGTGAGTAGAAATTTATTTCACTGTAATGATTTGTTTAACTTGCATGATGTAACAGGGAAAGACAGAGGAAAGTGAATATATAGCTTGAGGATCGACTCAGCTGAGCGTTTCGCGTTTTCATTTATGTACCGCAGTACGCAATTTCGCATGAAAACCCAATCTACATTTAGGAAGAAAGAGGTAGATTCATCACCCTTGGTAATGTTTCACCGAAGCATTAAAGTTACACTGAAGCATTCAAAATAGCTCATGCACGTTTAACGTGCCTATGTTTATATATTTACTGTACTCCATTTTGTTTGTAATTATACTTTTTGTAATTATCTTTGAAAAGCCTTGTTTAAGGAAAGATAATAAAGGATAGTTATTTAGTTCTATTACCATAATATTTTAAGAATTCTCTTTCGCCTGTTTATAGTGTTTTCTATTTATAGTGTCCTCTTATTTATAGTTTATTTCATTACTTGTTAAATTATCGTGAGTTTTCTTTCGTTTCTTTCATTTTTCTCTTCCCTTCCCTTCTTTTCTTTCTTTCTTCTCTATTTTTATGTGTGAGTGTTTGCGTGTTATTTCTTATAACCATTTATTGTAAATATAAATGTAAACTATTATTGTCTCGCCTAGAATAGAATCTTTGCTAATTGTGTGGACAAGACAACTGTAACTTACTGCATGAAATTCATTAAAGATTGTTGTTACTGTTGTTTTGTTTACGCAAATGCAAAGACAAGTGCAAGTACGTTTCTGCTTGTTTTACGAGGAAACAATCAGTAAAAGATTCCGACAATTCGACCTTTTTACAAAAAAGTTAACTCTGCTAGTTGACAAGAGCAGAAAGCATCAAGTTTCTGCATTTACTTTCCATAGATTAAAATGCAAAATTGTTAGCTATTTTTGTGATTGCTGGTCGATATAGTGAAAAGTCACAACAAGGTACCTTTTTGAAAAAAAGGTGGTATTTTCAGCTTTCAACTGAAAATATTTTGACGTCAATATTGTTCGTTTTTTCACCCATTTCTCACTTAACCAAACAAAGCTTTAAAGCACGAAAAAGGAACCTGTTACAAGCGATCTCATCAAAAGCGCGAAAAAGTGAGGTCCCTGGTTGAGGAGATGTTTCTACCTGCTCAGAGCGCTCACTTGTTGTCCACATTCCAGCTTGAAAGGTTGAGAAGTAAGCATGTGGTAGAGGGGCATCTTTTCGAGTAAAATGGAATAAAATAGGACAATCACATGACTTTTGGAGGGTATATAGTTTTTTGTGGCCCGAGTAGCATCATTTGCGCCCGAGCGAAGCGACACAAGGCCAAATCGTACAAATTTATTTCATAAGGAAAGATTGTTTAACATGAAATCATGTTGCGGGCTGCAAACTCTATTTAGAGCCCGCACTTTGCCGTTTGGCCCCCGAAAACGGAGGAGCGTTTTAGAGAGGGTAGTATGTCATTTGGCCGCGTGAAGTGATAATAATTGCTATGTTTGATGTTTAAAGGATTTAAGAGTAAAAACAGAGATTAAAACGAACAGTCTTAATTAAAAAACAACGCATTGGGTGTTGACTCAAGAGGGCTTTAATTCTGTAATTTTCAGTACCTCTGTTTTTATACCGTGATGTGAATAAATACCATTCAAAGACAAGAAATCTTTTGTCATCGTACACCGGATGCAGAGGTCTATACGATCTTGAAGAAAAGGGAGGAGGCATGTGTTAAAATCCACAAGGAAAAACATTGCAGAAGAGATGAAAGTTATAGAAACAAAGCCCCTTTAGGCGACTAAAAATGCATTGTTTGTGCTGTTTATGGCAGGGGCTGCCAGCTTTATGAGCGAATTTAATAACAAAAATCCGCTAACCCGAGTTAGGAAACACTGACGATATAAAGTGCTGAAAAATATATCAAAAACCGACCATGAATTCTTACATGTAAGGAGCAATTTACCACCTTTAACAAATGCTGTGGAAAATTTGGATGGTCCTGATAAAGAAAAGAGACCGACTCTAAACACTCAAACAGATTAAACCCCCTCTCTGCTTATGCACCGTGCTTTTGATCCTACGCCTTGTTTTTATCGATGACTTTTATTCTAAAGCGTTTTACCAAATCTGTCATTATTAGAGGATGCAAAAAACGAATGCCGAGGAGAAAAATCACCCATCTGCAATAAATGTTGTCAGTTTAAACTGCGTAGTGGAAGGTTGTCACTGTATCTCTGTTGATAATGTTGTTTGGTTGCTTCTGTAAATTTGTTATCGTTTTTTTTGGCGGAAGAGTTTAGTTGAACTGTTAACCGGCATCCATAGGACTCGATTTGTCGAATAGAATGACCCTAGCCCTTTCAATTAGCTTGAAAGGGTCAGTATCAAATGTTAGGTGGTCAAAAATGTTGTTGACCAATTAACTTGAACGCAAATCGACTTTCGGACGAAACAGCCGCAATTTGTGTTACACCAGGATATAGTTCCTATTGCTTCGGTGTACGGTTTGTCCAGCAGTTGCTCGGCTTCTATGACTCGTACCCCTTAAAATTAGCCCTTTCTTCACTAATGAGATGCAGTTTCATCAGTAGTAACATTAAAAGTCGTACCAATTAAAAGGCCACTCACCAAGAAATACACTTTATTTTTATCTCACTCAACCGTATCACATTTACCACTGGTATCCTTTTTTCGTTTGTGAAAAAAACTTTGATAATTGATAATTCAGACAATACGATTCGTACACATTGAATTTCTCCGCAACATACAACTTAAAACAAACGCTTTTGCCTTTATTCGTCAAATCCTAATGGTCTTTTTTCTTTGACAATATACCTTTCGGGTTCGTTGTTGTTTTTATTTCCAAAAACTTAAACACAAAATAGCACAAGTAAATACTCCTTTACATTAATTTGACAACATATTAATGGGAAATTATATTCTATATATACATAAGCAATATATTGCAGAGTGCAGCCCTCTATAAGACTGTTAAACAACAGTCCTATTCAAGACTACAATCACAGTATAAATATACGTTTTTTATTAATAACTATGTTTGCTAGTCTTGTATTCTACCTGTGTAAGGGTGAGCAGTACAAGGAATACATGGTAGCAAATTTACTGATTATGCTACTCACACTATTAAATGGTAATTAATTTACTTACCACAGTAACCTCCGAAAAAGGGAGGGAGCCTGAAGCGATGACCGGAAATACGTCTGCAGTTCGCAGGCTAGTCGGAATGCAAAGAGGTGCTAACTTTACTATTGTCAGTACTATGCTTACAAAAACTTCGCAAAGCATCATGTATGTAGCAGCACCCTTAGTTATCCAACCAACTTTCTTATAAAAAAATCTTGTCTAAATCGAGTCTAAATAAAACAGAAAATTTTCCCACATGAGAAAAATGTGAAGTTGTAAACTTTTCTTGGTTGTTGTTTTCAACTCTTATGATCAGTCGAAATCTTTTGATACAAAAATACCATATACCGCGGAGAAACGAATTTTATCCTCGAGTGCTGAAAGTATCTCTCACGTACCAATTTTATCTTCGAGTGCTGAAAGTATCTCTCACGAGTGAGCTTCGCTCACTCGTGAGAGATACTTTCAGCACTCGAAGATAAAATTCGTATCCCCGCGCGGCCATGTAATATCCTCTATTTATTGTTTTGATTTTTAAACTCTGTGAATGCAAATGATGGCAAAGATTGTCGGCGTTACACATATTTTTATAAATCAAGTGCGTAAATTCAATTATATTTCAATTTTACAAAAGGAAAAAGGTGTAGACAGTAACACCTTCCCCCCCCCCCTTCCCTTTCTGAATTGGAATCCTGCTCTGTGAATCATTTTTGATTGAAGAATTAAAATTGTTTTAGTAAAATCCCAAAAAATCGATTAGATCTTACCTCTTAGCTCAGTTGCGAAACGAGACTGCGAGGCAGTACAGTTCCTACCTTCGGCACAATGGTCAACACGGAAGCAAAGGGCTTTCGTTTTCTCTTCAGGCGCATGCCTCAGCCGGTCTCCCGCCTAGATGTTTCCATGCGCAAAGGACGGCGGGACGTTGAACGGTTCGCCTACTTGCCCACCCTTTATTTCCGTGTTGACCATTGTGCCGAAGGAAGGAACTGTACTGCCTTGCTTTCTCGTTTCGCAACTGAGCTAAGAGGTAAGATCTAATCGATTTTTGGGGGATTTTACTAAAACAGTTTAAAAGGCTGAGCCTGGTCTCTTTAGACTTTGGGAACTCTTCAATCAAAGGTTTTTTGAAAATGATTCACAGAGCAGCTTTCGGTTAATGGCAGAGACAACTCCATTTCATTTTCACCGAGTTGCAGGCGACAGCGAAGGCTTAGGTTCTATTACTTGACTGCGATGGTTTTGCGGTTGCGTTTAACATGGGTTGATCGAGCCCAGGCAATGAACGAGCTGACAGATCTGACAGACGTCCTCTAAAGCTAAAGGTATGTACTAAAGCCCGAGAAAACAAATAAAATGAGACCTGAACAGGGACAGCACAAAAACACCACCGAAGCCAAAAACCCCGAAATGGCCGTATTAAGCTAAACGAACAAACCGCCCATGGGATCGAAATGAAATCATGGGAACTGAAAGCAAACCAATAAAACAACCGAACGGCTGGCAAATTGAAGTGACAGAGCTGACAGGGCACATGAGAGAATATACTGAATATGGAGTTGTCCGATGCATCTCTTACCTTATTTGCTTGTGACGCAGCGCTGTCCTATATTCTTTCTCTTGATTAGAAGATTTGCACAACAAGCATAAATATAGTGACCTGAAGAATGTGGCTTGCTGGCTGGAAGAAAACAAACTTACTCTTAACATGTCCATGTCTAAGTTTATGCTTATTGCGAATTCCAAGAAGCAGAAAATTGAATCTCATTTTAAGCTTAGGTATCGTTAATAACTGTACCTTGGAAAGAGAATCTACGTTGGAAGTGATTAATGAAAATCTCTCTTTGGCTGATCATATTGATTTTGTAAGCAAGAAGGTTAATCAAAGATTTGGCGTTCTGCGTAGGATAAAGCATCTACTTCCAAACTATGCTCGTAATGTATTTGTTAGTGCCATGGTATTACCGTTTTCTGATTACTGCGATATTATCTGGCAAGAAATACTAAAGGAGGACTAATAGGAATACTAAAGTGTTAATGAATTCCCTCCAAGTACTCCACAATAATGCAGCTAAGATTGTTGTCAATCGTCCTGTACACTCTTCATCTACTGAGGCCCTTATCGATCTTAGGTGGATCAATCTTCGGGTTCGACAGCGCGTTCATCGGCTTGTCCATATTTTTACATGCATTAAAGTACTGACCCTTCAAACGACATTTTTCTTGATAATTTGCCTCAGTCGCAAAACAAGCCAAAACTCCAGACCGTCAAATCTTCAATATATCAGTTTATAAGTTTATTTTTCCACGATGGAATATGACTCTCCCGCCCTTAAATTCCCAATTTCTTGACGGGTTGTTTTGTTTTCTTTGATCGACTTCCTTAGTCTACCTCCTTTACGTAGATGCTTCAGTTTTGTTTTAGTTTGCTTTGTTTAATTTGCTTAGTGCTTGTTTGTTATTTCTCATTTTCGCAATGACAAGAGATTAATGTCAATATAGTTGGTAACAAGAACAATAATCATTTTCGGCCTTGTTTCGCTGTACGGCCGTTTCCCGTTGCATTCACTTTGCTTACCTCAGTGGTTTCAGTGTCGCTTCTTTTATTTATGACTTCGTCTTGATTTTCTTGATTTTAGGACCTGTTTACATGGAGTGGGGGACCCCGGTCTAGTGGGGTTGGTTTCTTTTGTTTTCACGCTCTGGGGGACACAAAACAAAAGAAACCTACCCCACTAAACCGGGGTCCCCCACTCCATGTAAACAGGGTCTTAGTCACTTCAGTCGTTTCGCTTGTGTCTTTCGTTTCTTTCGTTTCGTTCCAGACCCTGGTTTCGTTTTACTGTTTCGGGTTTTAGTACATGCTCGACGAGGCTTTGGTACCTAGGTGTTAATTCCGAATAGAAATATTTTTTTAATCCATCAAAGTTTTCCAAGAAAGAGGGAATCGCAATACAATTAATTCACGTGTGATCTCATCCAAGTGGAACCATACAGTAGTGGTTACAGGAATGCAGAGTCATAGAAGAATTACTTGTAACGCGCTTATAGGCATGGTTCCAGTTATCGAGGGTACAATTGTATAGAAATGATCTGAAGGGAAACAAAAATTATTTCGAGTTAGCGGGAGGTTCGAGTCAAAATCGAAAGAGGCATTTTAGACCCTCTCTCCTCCGCAGAGGCTCACGCCGGGTATCCCTATAAACATAACAATAATCGAAAAAATGGAAAGCACGCGGGGGACGATAAAAGAGGCCTCTGCGGAGGAGAGAGTTTTAGACCCAACAACAGTCACAGAACCGGAAACAACTGGCATATTTGAGAAGATACCACATACAATATCCGAAGACTACCCGGCCACCATAGGTTTCATTACGGAGTGGCTTTTAGATCCATGACATTTACAGTGCATTTACTTGAATGAGCATAACTGAGAAATAACGCTCTCCACGCTGAGGCGCATTATTGTTGTGTTTCCGAGAAAAAGGCCGGGTTTGTTGAAGATACTCACTGGATTCTCCGGCTTCGCACTGGTTCCTCTTTCCGGCTTTTTTTTTTTTTTTTTTTTTTTTTTTTCACTATCATTTTTGTGTTCTCCCTGCCTGACTCGCAGTTCGTTGTGTTCTATCGAGTCCACTGAAACCACTCACAATGCTTCGTAAAAGTCCTTGATCTCTGTACGGTCTCGGTTTGGCCTCATTGTATTTCTTATATGCTCCCTTATCTTCTTTTTTATATTTTGTACTCCTTGTTATCTATTTGGTTTCTCCAAAGGATGACTTGACGAGAATTCATTTTTATTACTAACAGAGAACAAAAGACATGACCCTCAAAGACAATTGTGACAAAACTGAAAGAACCTCCTCAAATCAAGTTACTGACGGTGTTACAGATGCCATAAAGATAGGAACATGTGTAGCGGCTGTTGCAAATACAGCGGGAGAAGAGATCATTAAGACAGGAGTGCGTCGTGAGGTGACAAAAGAAGTTGTGAGTCGTGCTATATCCAAAACCGGTCAGCAGATCGTGAGTTCTGGAGTTCGTACCGTGACAAAAGAGGTTCTGGCCCAAACTACACAAAAAACTGGAGAAGCGATAGTCAAAACTGGAATTGGTGCTGTGACAAAAAAAGTGGTGGCCCAAACTACCGTCAAAACTGGACAACAGGTGGTCAAAACTGGAATTGGTGCTGTGACAAAACAAGTTGTGGCCCAAACTACCGTCAAAACTGGACAACAGGTGGTCAAAACTGGAATTAAGACGGTAACAAACCAAGTTGTAGCTCAAACTACCGTCAAAACTGGAAAGGAGGCAGTGAAAACTGGCATTGCGATGGCAAAACAAGTTGCTGGCCAGACTGCATCAAATACCGGAAAACAAATGGCCAAATCAGGATTCCACGTGGCGACCAAAGAAGTTGTGACTCAAAGTGTATCAAATACTGGTCAACAAGTAGTGAAAACCGGAGTACGCGAGGCGACCAAAGAAGTTGTAACCGAGACTGTATCAAAAACGGGACAGGAAGTCGTTAAGACGGGAACGCGCACAACCACAAAGGAAATTGTAACCGAAACATCAGTCGTCAACGAATCTTTTGGAGGGCTTGCAATTGCAGCAGCTGTTGAAGGCGTATCTGCGGTGTATGATATAAACTGTGCCTACAAAGACAAGCAAGAGGGGAGAATCAGCCAAGCAGAATTTGATCAAGCTGTTGGAAAGAGAGTCGTGACGGGGACCATGAATGTGGCAGGATCTACTTTAGGAGCAGCCATCGGCCAAGTCCTTATACCAATTCCAGTGGTGGGAGGACTTGTGGGAGGTATTGGAGGATCTTTTCTCGGGAAGTATGTTGGAGGATTGCCCTTTTCTTAAGCATTCGCACAGAGACTCTGAGAATCAAGCCAATCAGTTTTTTGCTGTTATATTATTGAGCTTTACATATGGTACATGCATACAGTACAGTCGAAGCTCTCGTAAACGACTGCACGGGTGGTCGCTTACAGGAGCTCCAGAAACTTATCAATAATTCATAAAGAAAAAACAAAAGAAATCAATGTTTAATGAGTGTCCTTATGTCTGATAATCCTCATATGAACACGGCTAAACTTTATGTCCAAAATTTTTACTATTAGCGTAGTGTGCAGTTTGTGTTGATTAATTGAATAAGATTCTGAGTGGTCGTTTACGAGAGTTTAACAACAAAGGAAAAAACCAGTTGGGTAATGCCAAAAGTGGTCGCGGTCGCCTACGGGAGCAGTCGCTTACGAGAGCTTTTCATTACAAAGTCATAAGTCACAGTTGAAACGGGGTTTCACAAAGGTGGTCGTCAGCAGAGCTCGTCTCTTACGAGAGTGGTCGCGAGGAGAGCTTCGACTGTATATGTAAACACGGATAAACTGCATATCTTTTGATTGACACATGTCAAGTGTATTACTAATTATCTCTTTGTTATATTTAGGAGAAGCTTTTTACCTCAAGTATGTTGTTTTACTTGTAACTCAGAGAGTATTTATATTAATAATGTTGGAATAAGTGGGTAAAATGTAAGGCTGTTATTTAAATACGGCTGTTCAATTATTGCACCGTTGGAAATGGTGGAGTATTTAGGGACTGTGCAATAATTATCAGGAGGGGGGTGCTAAAAAACTAGAGTTATCTAGCAAAAACTTAGACTGTACCCCCGTCCAAAACAAAAAAAATTAGTTCTAACCCCCCTCTGTTACTGAGCTTTGGAAAGCTTATTTGCAGCATATGATATTAAGTGTGCCTACTCAGACAAGCAGGAGGGAAAAATCAGCCAATCACAATTCAACGAAGCTGTTGAAAAACGAATCGTGAAAGGCACCTTTAATGTGGCAGGATCTACTGCAGGAGCAGCCACTGGCCAAGCTATTATTCCTTTTCCGGTGTTGGGAGGATTTGTAGGAGGTATCGTGGGATCCGTTATTGGAAAGGCTATCGGAGGACTGGCTGTATCTTAATTTAAATTAGAACCTAGACTCGGAGAATCAAGCCAATCACAAGTCAGAGTTAGGAGGTGATTGCATTGCAGTGATTCTGAATTTAGAGAATTTGCTTTAAATGCATAACGATATTTTGAAAATACGTCAGTGTGGAAACATATTAAATTAAATTGAGCCTTGTAGGTGAGCACCAGTGAAGTGTAGTGGATTGAAGAACTTGCAAAATTGTTATTTCTCTTTTACTAATCTCAGGTGTTGCGCTTTGTTAGAGATCCGGCCACCGAACTCTTCAGTGGTTGTTATCATTGTTTTTGCTGTTCAATTTTTGAACTTTATATATGGTACCAGACTGATATCAGACTGATATGGTACAGTATATGTAAAATAAACTGTAAATCTTATGATTGAAAAATGTCAAGTGTATAATTAATTTTCTCTGTTATATTTAGGAACAAACTTTCTTCTTGAAGTGTTTTTTTTAATAACTCAGGAGTATTTTTGTTTATGATGTCTGGATATTAAGTAGTTTAAATGCAACACTCGTACTTGAATATACTAGTTTTTAACATTTGAATTTTCGGTAGAGCTGATTGGCTTTGCTCTTCCTCGCTGATTCTCTCTTGGATTTTATAAAAGCAAGAGAGAATAATTCATTCTCTCTCTTGATAAAAGCATTTCAATAAGTTGCAGTATATCAGCCATAAAGCTCGTGCAACTGTAATATACTTTGTTATCATTATAGGTACTTTGTTTAATAAACCTATAAAAAGCCAGCAGTTTTTAATCCGAGTCATTGAGCGAACAGAAAAAGCCCTAACTGTTTGCCGTTTCCTTCGGAAGCTTAAGCATATCTAACTGTATTAGTTCTATCTCAGTTTTGACTTCTAAAAAGGCTATTTTTAACGGTTCTTCTACATTCATTTATATTTGTTAATTAGCTTCAGTCTATAACAACGCGGTAACCTGGGTGCCAGAGACCTTTGTTGTGCGGTTTCCAGTTTCTGTTGGCCTTCGGCCGAAGATGTGTCGGCACAAACTAAAGATTTCCGCCGCACGCCAGGAAAAAGCTCTGGTGCTCAAGGTAACAACGCGACATCTTCCGTGGTTCAGAAAGCCCGTATCAGCAGACTCGGCAAACCTTCTAGTTTACTGTTTCAACACTTTGTTTTCCAAAATAGCATCAGGAACTATACACTTTAAGTACTTTTTAAAATGTTTTTTGGTTACTTCTCGCTTAACTTGGTTACTCTGGTACTCCTTTTAATATTTCCAATGGTTGTTGCACGAATCGCTTAGTATGAGAAAGCCCGTTTGTACTATTTTTCGATTACTTCAACATTACAATATAAAGCGTACTGTCTTGAGGAAAATAAATACTGTTGGAACCAAGTTTAGTTTGCTTGTCTTTCGCTAAGCACCAGTTTGTGATTGGATCCATTCTTACAGATTGATTAGATTGGAGTAAGTTTCTTTCCTGCGAAAGTCACAGATTTCACTCGCCCACTTTCCAGTTAACACTTAAGTCCCAACACTGAGTGACCAAATAAAGTTTTCTCCTAACAATACATAAACAATAGAAAAGATTAGGAGAATTATTATAAAATGATCACCAGAGAAAAATGCTTAAACCTTTCGTCAAATTCTCTCAATTCATTCTTTAAAGAAAATGTTTAGAGATCAGTTTGGAGAATTTGTAATTGGATAATGGAGCTTTCACGGTTCAAGCAGCAAGCAGCAAAGGCGTTTACTAGGCTCAGTTTATACAAGCCGCTGTTTGGGAAATCAGCCGGCGCTCCTCCCACCGAGAGAGCGGCGGAAATCGAGCCTAAGCTTTTTACTAGCAGCAAAGGCTTTCAAAACCTTTGTTTCCGTCACATATTGTACCATCTGTTAACAACGCAGTGGCGGATCCAGGGGGGCCCGCCCCCCTTATGTTTAGACCAAAGTGAGGCCCGAAAAAAAAAATATTTTTTTTCGTCTTAGGATTGAAAAGATCCAATGATTTTTAGGCTATTGTATCCTTTTTCGTTTGCGAAATACTTTGATAATTGATAATTCAGACAACACGATTCGTACACAGTGAATTTCTCCGCAGCAACCAACTTACAACAAATGCTTTTGTTTTATTCATCACATCTGTATGGTCTTTTTTTCTTTGACAATATATCTTTTGGGTTCGTCGTTGTTTTTATTTACAAAACAGTTAAACATAAAATAGCACAAGTAAATACTCCTTTACATTTAATTTGGCAATACAGTATATCAATGATAAATTAAATTCTATATATACATAAGCAATATATTGCAGGCTGCAGTCCTCTATAAGACGGTTAAACAACAGTCCTATTCAAGACTACAATAACAGTATAAATATACGTTTTTTATCAATAACTATGTTTGCCAGTCTTATATTCTACCTGTGTAAGGGTGAGCAGTACAAGGAATACATGGTAGTAAATTCACTGATTATGCCACTCACACTATTAAATTGTAATTAATTTACTTATCACAATAACCTCCGAAAAAGGGAGGGAGCCTTAAGCGACGACCGGAAATACGTCTGCGGTTCGCAGGCTAGTTGAGATGCAAAGAGGTGCTAACTTTACTATTGTCAGTACCATGCTTACAAAAACTTTGCAAAGCATCATGTATGTAGCAGCACCCTTAGTTATCCAACCAACTTGTTTCTAACAAAATCTTGTCTAAGTCTAAATAACATAGAAAAATTTCCCACGTGAGAAAAATGTGAAATTGTAAACTTTTCTTGATTATTGTTTTCAACTCTTATGATTGGTCGAAATCTTTTGATACAAAAAATACCCTATATCAAAATGGAGTTTAAATACATTTTATTTCATAGGCTGCCCTTCATTCCTATGTAAGGAAAGAGTATCGCCCCAAAACAAAAGAAATTGTTTTCTGTTTCTTTTTGGTATAGTAAGTCGAGGAGACTGGATATAGGGTCGATATAAAAGGTGGCAAACACTAAAAATAAAAACAACACTAGCTACTGCAGTTTATGTTGGAAGATCCTTGACGGTGCATGCAGAATACATTGTTATTTGTTCAAAAATTGTGACGGAATAAATTAATACGATGTCTTATTGGTCAATAAGATCAAAATGATAAGAAGGCTATTGAATGTTGTGCACCTTCAAGTCCACAAAAACATAGATCTGGAGTCTGACAGGCTTCATAACCATAATTTCCACTCTATTAACAATGCTTTTTGGTACTGCTTATAAAAATGTGACTTCATACATCTGGCTGCCGCTAACCCCCATCCCCCCCAAAAGGATTTTATTATTTCCCGATTAGACGTAAAAATATATCAGAGTCAATGAAGAACTGACTGTCAGACCATGTTCAAAACGCAAGTGGTACAACTCTTATACATTTCTGTCATCTTTAAGTGAAGACAGAGGAAAATACCATTGTTTTGTTAAATAGACTGTTTTTAGTTGGTATTATAAAATCAATAATCCTTAGGATTGTCAGGCGTGGAGGAACTCTCCTTAGGAGTTTTGCTCTGGTTTGAAAAGGATGTCATTTTTCCAACTGGTTTTATTTCCTTTTCATAGAGCCAGGTTTTTAAGAACCCTATGGTACACACCTAAACAATGTATCTCCATGCCTCTGACAACTACTAGACTGGTTAGTACAGTTACTACAACACAAGATGAATAAAAGTTTTGAATTAGAGTGTATACAACTGTGTGTCTCTAAAAAGAGGCATTCTTTCTTCAGCTTTACGTGAGCTCCAAATCGATCCACATCGTCCAAAGCAAGTCTTCCTTCCATACAATTCCACTGAAGACACACTCAAGGCGTCCAGATCTCTGAATTCAAAGTCAGCCTTTTCTGTCTTTTTTCTTTTACTATAAATCCACTTTCGAGCAACAATCACAGCTACAACAATCGATAAGATGCACAGGACAAAGAGTGCTATAATTATTCCTGTTAAAGATGTTCTTCTGTGGTTGTGTTTAGGAACTGGGATATCACCTAAGAGGGACAGACAACTCTTTTTAGCTTTAACTCTTATCGCTCATTGCAAATACCATTTAAGTAAATCCAATAACTTATCAAAAAATCTGCTCCTGGTATGATACAGTAGATGTTTTGAGTTATCACTTGTTGATAAAATTACAGAATGCTGTCTTGATCTACTTGATCTGCAAGGAGTTCACAATAAAATCATAATAAAGTGCAATCTAAGTAGAAGATGACAATCATAAATGTCTATCTTTTTTTAAACATCCAAGTAAAATCATTGCTCAATCCAGTCAGCCATCATAACATAACATAAACTTTAGAGTCATTTGCCACATGAACATGGACAGGTGTCCCTTCAACCTTTGTACATTATTTAAGTATGAAATTTGAGTCTACAAGTACTATCATTGATCTACAGCTTGGTTTAGTAGGAATATTGTTAACTACTGGAAATCAAGAAAGCAAGGCTGAAACCGTGAATCTCCATAATCATTTCTCCCCTCACTAAATTTACTTGTTGATATTCGACCCAGTCAGTTTAAAATGGGCCCAGTCTGGCACAATGTTTGTGCAAGAACCCTCCACAGGTAACATACCTCCAGGAATCTGTACCATAAGAGATGTGTTGGTACCACTGACATCATTCATAACTCCAATATTAACACAATACTGGCCAGCATCATTAAATCTGTGATTCACTATTAAACTACAAGAGTTTCTGTACTCCATCATAGGACTGCATATTTCTCCCGGGGGAAGATGGCATTGTTTGTTGACACACCAGTGAAAGGAAACAGGAAGACTGTTGAAAAAGATGACGGAAATGAAATTAAGATGAGTGTAGTAACTAACACTGACACATCATTTGCAGCTTATGATAAATATTTGCGCTTAATTAAAAACAAAGATCACAACACTACTGGGGTCAACACTGAATAAACCTTATGCAAGCATAATTTACTAGTCCTGAAGCTAAAATGCTGTTTTCAAACTCAAAACAAAAGCTACACCTGAAAATTACTTCAGTGGAGCCAACTCTGGTAATGATCTGACAAAAGGTCTTATAACTTACTCAGTACAACACAGGCAGTCTTATTAAACATGAAGTTAAAGAGCAATATTTGTTCTAGAAGAAGTTGTAGAGCAATAGAAAGTACTTTAACCGCTTTCAGTATAGATTTACCCATGTATTGGCAAATAGACAAACAGTCTCCAAGTAATGCCAAATAATTTGGCAATCAAAAAATCCAGTTTAAATTATTAAAAGGTTCTTTAAGTTTTAAAATGAGATTATAAAACTCTTCCTCTTATTAAGTCTGCAGTGGCAGATCCAGATTTTTAGATGAGGGGAGGTGGGGGCTTGGTCATCAGGACCCTGAGATTGGGGGGGGTGTCAAAAAAATTTTTTTTCAGCATCTCAGGCCTCAGTTTGGTTTAAAAATAAGGGGGTACCAGGGCCCTCCCCTCGATCCGCCAGGTCTGTGAACCCTGGTGAGTTGATTTGAGAACAAAACACTCAAGTGTTGAAGAGGATTGTAGTAAAAATAACTTGCCTTCCATTGCAAGAAATGTTAAATCTCACTGTCTTGTCTTTATGTTCAAGATGTCTGTGTCTCACTTTAAGGTATACAGGATCTGTAACATAAACAGCAAAGCATTAATTCTGTGTGGTGTTTCTTCGTGTTGTGAAAACTATTGTTGGTTCACTTTTGTTTTTGGTACATGGGTATTGTTTCGTGTCTTTTTCAATCTTTTGTATTACATTTATTTTGGTGATTGCATCCAACTGCAACATCAAAAAACTACCAATTTGCTGCACATCAACACATTTCATTTGGCTTGTTAGTGAAAAGCACAGGCTAATAGGGAACAGAATAATAATTAACAAAAGTGCAAACTCTCTGACAGTGCATGAGAGGCAATGATAACAGGTAGAAGAGTCTGGAATATTTCCAAACTTTTACATTTTATGGAAATGCGATTGCATAAAAAAAAATTTACATTGCAAAAATTGTGAAGCACATCTACCAACCTTTCACATAGAGATGAGTTGGAACTGAAAATGATTTCTTTCCCAGAAACTTAGTATTAACTCTGACTGTTGACCAAATGGAATATTTTCCTTCTTTATGGAATGTATGAGAAATTGTTCTTTTGGGCCACCTGCGCACAGAGGAACCATCACCAAATTTCCAGTCAGTGGAAACTCCTGTTATTAGATTATAAGGATCTTTAAAATTTACTTCAAACTCAAGAGGAATGTCTGTAGGGAATGCATTTTGATGATTAGAAGGAAGCTTAGGCCCAGAAGAACATTTGATCACCAGGTGTGGATGAATATCACCTGAAAAGAAGAAAAGGTTTTATGAACTTATAGACCATACAACAGGCCATTTTACAAGTACAAGTTTACAAAAGATCTTATTTTTTAAAAAAAGGGTTAGTGCACAACCTTTCTTAAGAAAATGAGTTATATTTTCATGAAAATAAAACATCTTTTTCATTTCCACGGCTTTGCACTTAGCTTCACTTTGAAACAAAGGATTAAGGCAATTTGAAAATGACCTATTCCATTACATCTGCGACGCAGGCTATAATCCAATATCCCCTTCTGAAAGCCCCTGAAATCCATAATGCAATATGGGGAGTTAATGAAAATATCAATAACATATTAAGTATTAATTTTTATTGTTGATTATTGATATTGTTACCAAGTCATAAAACATATAATAACCCCTATGAGCTCCCTCTTGTTAGTTCACAGCTGATGTTATATTATTCCAGTTTGCACACCAAGTAAAGATAAGCTACATGTATTTATCACTTCAAGGCAAGCAATCTCCAGCTATGTAAAAACAGGTATGCAGACAACTGGTCTAGACATTGCGAAAGAAAGACATACCTTTAAATTGCAATGTTTTATTGGCCTTTCCTTTGTAAAGCTTGCCCTGAATCCATCCATGAAGATTGACCACTACTGTACAAGATTTGACTGTTGTAAAATTGTGAATCACTTTCTGCAAGTGAGAGCTTGTGAAGATTGCTCCATCACCAAAATTCCAGTCATAGGTGACATTGCTAAGATTTTGGTGTGGAAAGTTGTGAATTATGACCTCCAAGGTCACTGCTCCGACATAAAGCTTGTTCTGATCTCCTTTAAGAGAAGCGTTCTGATATGCATCCAAAGTTGCAATAATCTTATCTTCACCTGTATTCAGAGACCAACATACATCATGAAAATCATTTTCCACCAAACCTAAATTATAATAATTTCAAAAATGAGATACAGTGTTTTTGTCCTATATCTAGATATCAAGAAACAAGACACATATTTCAAGTCTTTTTAGACTGATGCTGGAAACACTGTGTTGAATATTTCATATAATAGCAACTAAAGGGACAATAATATGCTCTCTTGAAGAAATTTATTGGGGCTAGTTATGCCTAAAAACTTATTCAAAGCTGCAAAAATGGTGATACTGGCCGGGGGAAGTTTTTTTTTTCTTCTCACCATTTCATGCTTAGATGGTTTCAATCAGCAGTGTGTATTTACAAAACAAAAACAGTAAACCAAACAAAACACAAATTAAGATATGTTGAAGGACAAAATTTATTCATCTGATGTCCAACAACAAATTAAACTTGTGGCTGCATAATTGAAGGGTTCCATGAAAAAAAGTCCTCTCCAAAAAGGAAATGAGGAAACCAGGGGAAGTGTCTGGATTGAATGTGTCATACAGCTGTAGGTGTGTGTCACGGGTATGTCACATGATAAAGAAGGTCATTCATATGGGCCAGGAAGAAGAGCAACTTTGAACTTGTTTGGTAAGTCAGTCTTTTACTGAACCGTATTATGAAAAGCGTCCCTTGAAAAATAAGTTTCTGAAAATACCACAGGCGTACCATCCAAACTATTTGAGACATTGTGATGTCACATGACATGTGATCCCATACATTTAATTTATTTTGTAACACCCGCACTTGGCTTGATGCAAGTGATGGGTAGAAATGCTTCATAAAACACAGAATTTTGCACCTTTTGATCCCAAATGTTGATATAATGTAAGAAAATAAATAAAGATAACTTACCTTATGTTTGTAGTGTTGTGTTCTACATTTTTGTGGCATTTTCAAGCAAAAAACACAACACTAAAAACATATGGCAGTTATCTTTATTCATTTTTCTTACACTATATTAACATTTTCAAGCAACTGAAAATGCGACAAAAATGCAGAACACAACACTTAAATCATACTGTAGTTATCTTTATTCATTTTTCTTACATTATATCAACATTTGGGGTCAAAAGGTGCAAAATTCTGTGTTTGATAAAGCATTTCTACTGATCACTTGAATCAAGCCAAGTGCAAGCGTCACAAAATAAAGTAAATGTATGGGATCCAGGGCTGTCATTAAGAGCCAGGGACTGGGAATTTCCCTCAGCTAGTATGAACATGGCCCTCGGCTACTCTCATAGGAAAGTAGAAGAAAAATAGAGCCAAAGGAAATCCCTAGCTTTTTGATTCCCCACCTACTTGTTGTTTTTACCCGGCAACTTGAAATCTTTGTGACATCCCTGATGGGATTCACATGTCGCGTGTGACATCACGATGCCTCAAACAGTTCAGGATGGTCTGCCTGTGAAAATACCAGGAAGTACAGATTGACCGTAATTGTGGCTTAAAATTTATTGCTTTCTTTGGGGTTCACATTTTTGGGGTATTGGCCTCGAGTAAATTTTCCAAATCAAATTTATGAAAAAAAAAAAGAAAAGAATAAATCTGAAGCCACAATTTAAGTGATCTCTGTACTTTCTGGTATTTTCAAAAAGTTACTTTTCAAGGCACGCTTTTTCGTAATAACGTTTGATAAAAGGCTAGACTGACTTTCACACTTGAAGAGTTGATAGAACCTCACCATCAGATTCTCGAACTGTGACCTTTGTCTCGTTTGTAGCGAAATATGAACTGTATCCTGTGAGGGGTCTCTGTTTACGCGCTAAATCGTTGCCATTCCCATCAAGAATTCGCACATAAACAAAAACCGTATGATCCCCCGCTTCAGTCCACCGCCACTGAAAGTTATCCCATCTTCTTCTAGTTCTTTCGTGTTTTAAAATTACCCATGGCCTTGAAGAAACTTTCCAAGAAAACTCGAAATTAACTCTTTCGCTCGCATTAAGACTTGTCCTTGCGTCAGGTTTTGTGACAACCACAGCGTTGAATGTTGTTATTTCTCCAACTTTGCCAGTCCCAACGCCTCCAATTAGCACTTTGATGTCTCCGTGATGACTACAGAGTATTTCAGAGGGAAATATAACGACTGCGAGGGCACCGAAATAGAAAAATGTCTGCAGCTGCATAATTAATGTATGGGGTTCTACGGAAATCTTGCCAGTGCAGTAGTTTCATAAGGACAATCAACCAGCGCGCTTCATCTTACATGTGGCTTTTTTACGCAATGAATTGGATTTTGCCCCCAAGTAAACATGATACTTCCGGATGAAAATGCAATATCCTTCATGTAGCCAATCGTGTAGAAATACCATATACACAGCGGATGCCGAGCGAAGTGAACACATCAGGGATTCTCACATGAAGTATTTAGTTACCAGTCCTTTTGGCCTACAAAACAAAGATGTCTGTCGGAACGTCAGGAGGAACATCGGTCAACAGGCTCGTCAAGTTATCCGCCTTAACCATTATTCACCAGGATGGGTCTTTTTTCGAACGATGTGACTTGAGTACTTTGCCAAGAACTGTTCTGCAAGAACTTCTTGTGGCTTCCGTTTCTCGCTCGCGAATTCTTGTTTTCAGAAGTTTGATTGTTAACTGGCCGCTCGAGCAAGTTGTTCTGCAGAAAGTCTCAGGCTTCGACGAACCAAAAGCGGTTCTTCTCGCTTACTGTTTGCAAAGAACACAAACTAATGTAAAGCTTATAGACATACGAGGATGTAATATTGGTGAGTTTGATTAAAAGAGAGGGGCCTTTAAACCTGCTAGAATCTTTCTTACATTTGTGTTAAATTCAGCTTACACGACTATTTCCATTTAATGACCTGAACCTAACCTAACAACATCTGTCCTTCAGATGAGTCACCTATACCAATTATTTTTTTATAGGAAGGCACAATATTGTACTGTGTATAAGGGTGCTTACCATTTAGTCAGAACTGGCCAGTGAAACCAGCCTCCCACTTATAAAAAAAGTTAACTATTACTTGGAAATGTCCAGCCAGATCAGTCCATTCCTTAATACTTTGCACAGAAGTGTTTGGTTTTCAGGATGACTTGTCCGATCAGCCCTTTCTGGCTTCTGTACACAGCACGTGTTCACTAATCTGCAACTTTTGCAGACCAGAGAAATGACTTTACAGTATTCAACCACCTTCATTTTCATTTTTCCTGTAGGCCTTCAAGGGACCACAGCATTTTGCAAGCTGGCTGTCAATCTTCCAGTTTCAGACAATGATGTCTCTGGAATGAAAATTTTAGACACGCGCTCTTCAAACAATTTGTTAAAACAGAACCATCTGGCGACAGATCTTCCAAAACAAAGAATTCCTCCTGTGGTTGTGATGCTTGATGCTGTCGTTGATGGTAAAAACTGTGCCCTTGCAATTCAAGCTTGCACTAATCATTTATTCATAGAGTTGAAAATGTCAAATGTAACAATGCATGAAGTTCCAGGAGGAAGGGATATATATTCTCTTTTAACAACTTTAGAGGTGAGATGATCATATTACAGCAACTAAATGTTCTGTTGGCTAGCCACACCCCTTTTACACTGGTTAGACATAATGGTATGTGTAAAGGGGTGGAGGAGTACTCATATGTGCTACTATAGAGGATATGGTTCTTAAATTAAAAGAGTGGAGAAACTAGCTACTGACTTTTAATAAGGGATTATTGACCAGAAAAATTATTAGAGGTAACATCCCGTCTGAAGTAATAACTTGAGGTAAGAATTTCATGACAATTGAAAGCATATGTCAGGCAGAAACTCCCTCAAACTAGAAATAGAGGATATACGAAAGGAGGAGATACGAAATTTCTCTTCGAGTGTTGAAAAATATTTCACAACAGAGCGCAGCGAATGAGTAAAATATTTTCAACATGAGAAGAGAAATTTCGTGTCTCCAAGCAGCCATGTAATGTTCTATTTATTATATAAACACCAATGAAATACCAAACCATTTCAATGAAACAGTTTTTTCCCGCGAATAAGGCGTGATTTATTATGTAGCCATAGCAACAGTGATTTTTTCACGTGTGAAAATAACATGTTATTTTCACGTGTGAAGATATCATGTTTTCGCGCGAAAGCTCACCTGGTATTTCATTGGTGTTTATATTATAATAAATAATAAATATTGTAAGTAAGGTGTTGCTGTAAATGCTTGAGTCAGTGGCCCACGGTAGGCTAAAAAATTAAGTAATGATCCAGGTAGGAAGGATAGCAATTTCTTTTGTTATGCAGCAACGGTGCTTTCCCCACATAGGAATGTTCTCATTTTTACACAGAGAATGCGTAAACCTACATGAAGGCCGTTTACGCAATAAAAATGCATTTACACTCCACTTTGAAAGGGTGTTTTTTTGTGTTCAAAGATTTTGACCAATCACAAAAGTTGAAAACAACAGCCAAGAAAAGTTTACAATTTTACATTTCCCCACATAGGATTTCTTTGTTACTCAAACTGAGACCAGATTTTGTTATATGAAAGATGGCTGGAAAGTAAGGATGAATATAATTATGTACTGCTTTATGAAGTTTTGTTAAAGTTTGCTGTTTAAGCCAATCAGAAGTACAGACAATAGAAAAGTTAGCACCTTTTAGTTCCAACATGTTCATTGTCGTTCAGTGCTATCGTTCTTATCTAGACCGTTTCTTAATCAAGTGCCTCTTTCAAATAAGCACTTGAGGATGGCAAAAGAACCGGAAAACAAGATATTAAAAACCAAGAAAATGTACAAAAAACAAACACACAAATCTGGGTTTACACTTACAGATAAGTTCTTGTTGTCCTGTTCACTTATTAAGTTTTCATTCATTTTAAACAAGAACAATTTTATTGTTACATGTTGAGGCTGAGATTCTGAAGATGTATAGATGTATAACTACTAGGTAGAAGAGCTGTGAATAAACTGCTAAATTATTATTATTATTATTATTATTGTTATTATTATTATTAAGAACAAACTAAGCACCCCACTACAAATAACTGCCCTCCATCCTCTTGTTGAAGTATTTTTGAAAGGATGGGGAAATCTGTCATTTTATTCTGTAAAAAGGCACAAAAGGACTAACAATCCACTTTATGGCTGTGAAAAAGTTCAAGAAACATTCTGTTGTTGTGATTTATTCACATAAGTTTAAGGATAGTTCATTTACAGCAGTTACAAGGGATCCAAAGTTCTCAACTAGGTATTTGAAAGGGATACCATATTTCAGTAGAAGGTATATGAAAAGCCTGGGTACATTTTCTGTCAAAAATGGTATATTAAAGGGTAAGGGGTTGGACCTTGGGACGGAGCCTCCCTGTATAAAATTCTTTTGTTGAGTGCCCCCCTGTGTGTGTGAAACACTAAGCATGTAATGTATTAAATTTTTCTTTCAGCCTGAATTCACCACAGGTCTTGATCTGTCACTGAATGGTTTACAACAGCAGGGAATCCTGTCTATCTCACCAGCACTGCTGCCTCTGACAAATCTCATGGAGCTCAACCTTTCCTACAATATGATTGGTCACAGAGACACATGCGCTATTCAGCAGATAGCAACAATCTGCAGTAACCTGAGAAGACTGAAAAAACTTGACCTGTCCGGTAATTACATCAAAGCAGGAGTTGGCATTATTCTTCAATGTTTGCAGTCAAATCTCACACATCTGGCACTGAGCGGATGTGGTGTTGAAGAAGGCAATCTTTACAAAATGTGCTCCCTCAAAACACTTGGGCATTTAAAATTTTTAAGGCTGGATGGCAATGGATTAGCAAACTACATTGATCCCTTGTGTAATTTCATCACCAAATCAGCCAGAACACTTGAGCATTTATCAATAGAGGACAATATGTTAGATTCATCAAACATAACACCTCTTTGTCAGATGATAAAACAGCTGCGCTCACTAAAGATGTTGTCATTGTGTTACAATCACCTTTTACCTGATGACATAAGAACATTCAGGGAAGAGTTTCCAGCACTTGAGATTATTAACAAAGACTGGCTGTTTTAGTAATTGACATAATGATCATCATTGCATAGTTAAAAGCTAGCCTGAGAAAACAGCCAACTTTTTGTGATGCCAACCACTAGCCTGTATACAGACATTGTTTTATTTTTCTTTTCGTTTTATTTTTTTACACACGCACTCGACAGACTTTGAAGAGAAAATAGAGAGTCTGTGAACAGGCTATCCCACCACTGGCATGGCAAAATGTCGGTTGTTTTCTCAGGCTAGGCAAAAACATTTTGTACACATTTGATGCTAACAGGACCAATGAAACAAGCACTGAATTAAATGTGTATAATTTACAATGCAAGGATGTTAGTAAGACCTGGGGATTTCCCCTGGCTACTTTCACTGAAAATAAAACGAGAAAAAAACTAAAAGAACTTCCTAGCTGTTCAGTTGCCTGCCTACCATAAATAACAAAATAATTAAAACACTTGACAACTTGTGACAAAATCCGTCATTAATTCAGGCAGGACTGCCCAACAACATTTCCCTAAAAACATTTGCTATCTGTCATCTGTAGAGTAGTCAGGAAACCACTTTTCAGCAATTAGATGAATGTTGAGTGCATGGATCGCTACATTTCCAGAAATGTCAGATTTACACACATCTCAAATACTGTAGTAAAAAGTCATTAATTTTATTTCAAAGAACTACATACAGTGAACACAGTCTTGCATTTGTTTTTTCACTACAACATACCTTTTGGACACCCTTTGCAAAAAGTTCAAACAGCAAGACTTTTCAGTCAAAGGAACTGGACCTATTGTTGTTTAGTTTTAGGAGACTTCACAGGTGAGTGAAAAGAGTCAAAGTGAAAATCCATCTTTCAATAATAACCAGCTCTTCACTTTAAATAACAAACTCTTGTCTAAACAAATTCTTCTCAAAGTGCTTAAGCTTTGCACCTTGAATCTGGAAAGTGTCTGTGCAGAGGGCTAAACTTTCATGCACCTACACTGACATGGTACAGCACCACTGGAAAGAAGCTACATTTGTACAAGTTTGTGCACCATCTCCTCCTTTGTAATGAGATGGGTTGTACGATTTAAAAGTTGCATTAGAGTGTTAAGATTGTGCGACCACTCGTTTAGAATTTCATTAGATTCTTTGTGGGCACTGAAACTGACAATGCCAGCAGGTCGGTCAATTCTTGCGAACACTGTTTTGGATACCACTAGCTCAGAAAGGAATAGCTCAGTCTCCTGATAATGTAAGAATACAAAAAAAAACTGTTAGGGGACAAGACAGCAGACACTTCACTTGCATTCAGTTAATCTTAGAAATTTGGTTTGTTATACAGCTCCCCTCATTTTCAATGTCTTTTAATCGATCCCGTACTAAGTGTTTTTGGCTATATTTGCTTTCATATAATTTGCTTCACTGTGCTTTTCTTGTGAGAACAAGGCAACAGAATCTGCCAATTCTTTTGTAAATAACACAGAACTTCTTGTCAAAACAAAACTTCAAAGAGACGGAAGTCTTGTGAACTCTCAGGGACCCTTGCTCATAGTTAGACCTCTGGCTGAGTTCACAGAAGCATGCCAAAATCTGAAATTCACATTCAATAATCTAGCATCACTTTCAACATTTCCAGTACTGAGAAGAAGAAAATATAATGTTAAATTGTAGCTATAAACTTACATCTACACTGAGATCCAGCAACTGGCTCATCCTTTTCAATGTTATTCTAGTGTAGTATTTAGCCATTACTCTGATGTTCTGGAAAGAAATAAATGAAAATTTCTAAAACATAAGGATTTACATGAATCTAAGAGCTTTACAACAGATTCATTTGGGGAGAAAGCATGGCCTAGTAGAGAGAGCACTTGCCTCCCTCCAATGTAATCCAGGTTCAGTTCCCAGTATTGACTCCTGACTTCATAAATCAACTTTTCCAAAATAATTCAAATTCGATTTAGTAAGTGTCTGCAATAGACCTTTTTACCGATACGGCGGCCATATTGAATAATTCAATATGGCTGCCGTATCGGTTAGTTAATTATTAATTCAATTTAAGGAGTATTATAGGATGCCCAGGGGGCATGAGCACATTTCGTTTGTATTTTCGAGCGCTTTTCGGGACATTTTTTCTTAAAGTTTTCTTAGAATAAGATTGTAATGGGAAAAGAGATCCTTGTGCTGTGTTTGGATGTAATAATGATCGTGAAGGACCATATTTCTAATACTAAACTAGAAAAAGGCGATCATTATTACATCCAAACAAGGCACAAGGATCTTTTTTCCCATTACAATCTTATTCTAAGAAAACTTTAAGAAAAAATGTCCCGAAAAGCGCTCGAAAATACAAACGAAATGTGCTCATGCCCTCTGGGCATCCTATAATACTCCTTAAATCGGGGCATTACGAGAGCCACAGATTAATCAGTTCTTTCAACTGTCAAGACGTGTACTCACTCTCTCTAAAGAAAATTTGCATGGTTTTCTGGTTTATTATTATGAAACTAGCCTGCGTTGCAACCGGCCAACGCGCTCGTCTAAAACTTTGTATAGTCCGTCTGCGAATTAGTGCACAAAAGCTCGTTCTAATATCCTGCAGAGTCGCAAGGACATATGTGAGCATTTCTGATAGGCGGGTTTCTTACGGGCTTCTTACGAGCCGCACGATTGGCCTTATTTTTACGTGTGCGTGACGGCTGGGCGCAGTGACATGTCAAAATTCACAGAAGGGAGTTGGCAAGGATCGTTTACAGTGAACAATGAAAGAGTAGTTCGAACTTTAGAGCCGTCTTCTGAGCAAAAAAACGCTTTGAGATAATTCCTTCAAGGCCAGAATTTGCTAGTAAATTTGCTGGCTGGTTTCCCAGCGTCTTCCAATCGCTGCAGATGTACTACTGCGTATTCTGTAATTTAGTCGACAGTTCTAGAGTCAAAGCAAATGAAGAAATCATCACGTTATTCACGATAGAAAAAAAACTACACAGATGTAGCTGTTCAGGTCCAAGCGTTTCGTTGAAAACCAAAGAAACGAAGGTTATTTAGCCGCAATAAAGAAGCTTAAGGCTTAATCAGAGGTAAAAGAAAATCATTTATGCATCTGCCAAAAAATAAACTACAGGAACTAATTACTCAATATGTACGAAACAGACCAGCTTCACATCCTCTAAATGTAGCTAAAGGTGAGACTCAAAGCAAAAAAAAATTTGCTCAGTCAAATTGTAGAATACTCCACGCACTGTATAAATCACGCAAAAAGAGAGGAAGAAAAACATCTGTTGTTCAAGCTACTCTAGGGGTCTCTAAAGTCACGTTTCACACTACCACAAGCTCAATCTCTCTGGTCACGAGCTATGAGTCATGTTTGGCCTGTCAACGCTTAATTCAAATCGGACTAATCACAAACTGCGAAAGAAAATAGCCAATCAATAACGCTGACATATTTCTTTGCGACTCTACGGGATTCGAACACGATATTGTGCACTAATTCGCAGACGCTATATACAGAAGGTTTAGAGCGTCTGCGACGCAGGCTATATGAAACTACCAATGAATGAATGTTAAGTTTCAGGAAGGGGTAGGAAGGCATGACAAGTTCAGGAAAACCATAGTCAAATTTCCATCTGCAAGAGTTTATGTGTATGTGGTAGTCAGGAAAGTTGGGCATATACATGTCGTTTCTCAATATTATTATTGCAGTAAAATTTGGAAGGAAGTTAGTGTTAGTGTATCATATACATTTAAACACCAAGAAGGTTGTGGAATTTTTTTTCTCAACACATTTTTGTTGCCAGAGGTATTTCTGCAAGATCACTTGACCATTTAAATCCTAATTTTCAGAGGTTTTGTAACTTTCCATTACATTATTAATAAAGGCACTTTCAAATTCACTAATGCAATAAGATTTTAGATATTTGCAGTTTAATCAGAATAAATAAAGCTACATCATACGGACTCGAGATGCTTCTGAAGTTATGTGGTAACTTTAAAGTGGATTATGATTAACACCATTTGCAAGCACATGTACTTAAAAACTCACATGTTCCACAACCCTTTTTCTCAAGTCTTCCCAGCGCTTATTGCCTTCATCAGTAGCTGGTTCAAACACACCAGTAGCAGAAGTGCTCGTTCTCAATTCAGACTCATACAGTTCTTTAACATAGGACCAGCGCATCAGTTCAGCAGTGGTAAAGCACTTGAGAAGATCCCTAACAGAAGGATTGAGACCAAATATTGTCATATTTTAATAATTAAAGCTACATTGGACTATGCAATATTATTGTATATTTTAACACAGTATTCCCAAAGTTTAAAAAAAACGCGGGAAAAAAAACATCAAGTCTGATAATTCAAAGGGCAGAGCTTGAAATAATTTTGTGGCTATCCCTGATCAGGTTGTTTAGTCAAACCTAGTTTTGCTAACATAAAAGTCCTTTTACAGCAGGCCAATTTTAGAGGAAGCATTGCATTAAATCATTAAATCATTTATTTTATCAAAAATCTTGGTCTGGTGTTATCTTTCTTTTCCCTTTTTTCTTCACAAATGCCAAAAATATCCAACCCTAACTGCTATTAAAATCTGAAGTTTTGAATTAATTTTTTTTATCAGATGAGTAAATGACCGCACAAAGTCAATGTCTATTTTTAACTGGCCTGAGAAAACAGCCAACATTTAGCGATGTCACCACTGGTTTCCCCTTGAAATGACATCTGAGAGACAAGCGCACAAATTCCATACTGATGATGCATTGATGTGAAGTATATATGAAATCTGAGCAGTGATGCATCATCAGTATGGAATTTCTTTGCACATTTCTCAGATGCCATATCACATGGAAATCAAAAGTGGCATCCCAAAACGTTGGCTGTTTTCTCAGGCTAATTTTTGACTGGACACTGTCCATGACCCCAAGTGGCGCCTGATCTAATACCAGATTCTCCTTTTGATTAACAAGAATGCACACTTGGCAAACTGTAACTTTATCAGAAGCCAACTGATGCTTTATTCCATATATCCCTTCACTGCCATGTTGCAAGAATATGTTGTGAATATTGTTGTGCAAGGTTTTTATGCTTTGTGCTTCTTCCTGGACAAAATATCCCTTCAATTAGGAAAATTGAAGCTAACAGCTCTTCATTCACAGAACCAGATATTGGTCAAGCTGCTTGATTAATTGGGGAAAATTAAAATATTACACACGCTGAACTTTACTGAAATTCAGTTACTTTTATAGCACAGATTTAAGTTATAGAACTTGTATCAAGTTAGTGTTGTTGGTATTATTGGTATTTATGTACCTGTAAAGAGGGATCTCATCTAACGTTTTCTCCTCACCGACACGGTGAATAAGGTCAGACTGTTCATTATCGTAAGGAGCAAGAATGAGAAACAGTACTGCATTCTTTAAAACCTGCAGAAAAACAACCAAACAAACAAAAATTAGTTTGTAAGCATCAGTACAATAAAAGAATTGAACACTTCCAGAGTTCAATCCATCAGAGAGATTCATCTGAAGCCCACTCACTCAATATTTTGTACCTAGCAGGTGCCTAGGTCAAATAAGAGCCTGTTAATAATATTTGGAGCAATATTTATTTGTACATGTATTTAAAAAAAAATTGAAAATTAGGCCCTTTTACCTTTGAATATTAAATAATGACAAAACAATGACACAGAAATGTCATTTTTCATCCTCACCTCATGTTTCTTGGCTTTGTCCTCCAAAACGGATGGTGTGTCAAACATGGCTCTGTAATATTTACAGATATCCAGATAGCTACCATCATGCCGAGCCACCTCTATCATTAACTGATAAAACTTTAATTTTAAATCCTGAAACAGAAAAAATACTAGTCAAAGAGTTTCTTATCTCCCACTATGTATAAACGATGAATTCTTTTACTTTCTGTGGTTTCAGTAACCAACTATATCAGTGAGTAATTGAGGAATTCAGAAAGTTTATCCTCATTATCTGTAAGCTTGAATCATAGTGCCTGGAAGACACATTTGTTTGTCAAGAAGAAGTAACTTGTCAATAAGAAATAACTTCTGCCTTAACTTTACTTACAAGCATGTAATGGGCAAAAATAACAACATGGACTCAAATGTCCTGACAAGCTGTCAGTTGAAGCATACGCAGACATTTGAATAGCCATTGTGTGGTCACTTATCATCCAGTGACAGTTGAGGTACATACCGGTATATGTCTGTAGAAACTACAGCCGTATGATGATACTCTTTAAGGGGATAATACTCCCTAACAACTACTCTGTCTGAAGAAAGACACATGTCCACATCTAGGTTCATTTTTTTAATTTGATCCTTTTTCAGTACATTGTATGCTCAATATAAAATGAAAGATTGTTGCAAGGTTCAAAATTAACAGTAACCCATTGACCAATGGTTAGTAGTTTCCAATGTTTGGTTAAAAATGTGCTCAAGTAACACGACATGGTTAGTAGAAAATTCATTTAAATTAAGTATTGTCATTTATAGAACTAGGCTGATGTTTTACGTTTCTACATAAGATTGTTTTTTATCTTAAACAATTTGTCGTTCTAATTTAAGATATGCTTGCAAAATAATCAAAGAACACGAAAAATAAGAATTTCACAAAATTCAAGGTAACCATGCTTTTGTTGCTTGGGGAGATCTACATGTAAACACAACCTTAATTAATATACCTCTACCATCTTTCTCGTTGCTGTTTTTGTTTTGTTTTCTTTCAAAAGTGGCTCGTTTGTGCAACCTATTCATTATACAAATCAGATGCATAGATCCTTGGATATTTTTTTTTTCAGATAAGGTCGCTGCCCAAAATTTGTGAAAAGGAAATGGAAGATCAAGAAAATCAAAAAAGAACAAGTACAGTTTCAAACACTACGGAAGGCTTTGGAAGCAGTATGAAGTAAAGCAAAAACAAGATGCGAGAATTTTCCGCCAAATATGGAAAAAGGCATGCACCTAGTCGATGAGGTTAAAAAAATGTTATGCAGTGCTTGCCGTGAATTTCTTACCTTCACATAATGTAATTGAAAAGACATGTAAATGAGCTTTAAATATTCTATTAATAACAAGTTACCTGCTCTTGGTTGTTCTCAAAGACCTTTGGGCTGATCTTCTTGCTTATAATCTGTGTCCTAATGTAGTCCTTCTTTGCCAGACACAATCTCATTTGCTCCAAAATGAATTCCACCTTTTCACGTCTTTCCATTGAGCCATATGTCTCAACCTGTTCAAGCAAAAACCGTCTACATTATTTTAGAGTAGAACCAGCATATTTTTTAATATGGACCTTCTTTCTAAGTCTGTCTACAAAACCGCCACAGAAACCATACTAGTGCTAGTACCCAAGAGTTGGACACAGGACCTAGTCTGCACAGGGGTGGAGAGGAGCTAACTACTAGTCAGAACGGACTGGCTACATAAGTCCAGTCTTAAAGAGAGTTCCACTATTAGTCAGGAATGCCTGGTCACATCAGTTTATTCCTAAATGGTATGCAGGGCAGCAACAGGTTTCTAGCAAAAACTTTGGAAAAAAGCATTTTTCATCTTCAAACTTATCCACCTGCCTGGCGTATGTCAACTTTTGGTAAATGCACTAAGAGACAGAGACGTTTGGAGCACAAGGATTGCAATATCCTACCTGAAGTTCCTGAAGAATAGTGGCTGCCTCTAAAAGAAAACAAATAGAAACAGTTAGCAAGGGAGATTCTTGGAAGTAATTTTCTCATAAATTTGTTCTTTTTGTTTGTGAAAAAATATTACAGCACACTGGTGTAAATACTTTACTTCAGGTTTGTTTCACCTATGTAGAAGGGTTTTTGAGCGCTGCTGTTTCATTGAGAAAGGGTAAAATGTAAACTGAGATAGGTTCCATAAAGTATTAAAGTAAACACTGTTGCTTCACAGTGTAACTAATGTTGCTTTTAGCAAAGATATAATTACCTGCTATGTCACCTTGGTCTTCCTTGATTTTAGCCAGCATTCTTGTCAAACGAGCCCTCTCTATCTCAACATATATCTACATGTGCCATAAAAATGAGTTGTTAAGCAGCATGTACAGTGAAACATGTGTTGTGCAGACACCCACAGGAACCTTCATAGTGACTACCTAATAGAGATTTCCTCTCAAGACTGGTTTGTTTTACAAACATATGCAAGAGAAAGTAAGTGAATTTTTGCTGCTAGTGTCTGCCTATTATAGGGCGACTGCTTGACAGGGGGTCCATTTAATACAGGTTTTACTGTAGCTGTAAAGCATACTATACCTGTAACTGCAAAATCCCTATGGGGACATGTCTTACCAGTAAGTTTCAATAATAAATGACAAAAATCGAAAAAAAAGTTGAAAAAAAAGTGTTCTGCAGTCTGAAGCATTATATTATAAAACCATGTATTCTATGTCTTGACTTTTTTGTCAGTCCAGTTTAAATACAGTGCCCAGCACTGTGTATTTATCAAGCTTTGAAGCGTGCACATTACTTGCACTCATTCTCTATCCCATTTTCTTATTTCCGGTCATTTGCTTCGAACTACCAATAACTCGAACTCCCTCTAACTCAAACATTTTTTGATTTCCCTAGAAGGTTCGAGTCATTGGGAGGCGCTTAAAGTAACGAGGGTAAATTTAATAACATGGAAATTACCTGAAGGGAAACAAAAATTACTTCAAGTTGGCGAGAGGTTTGAGTTATCAAGGGTTTGAGTTACCGAGGGTCAAATTATAGAAAATGTATGAAGGAAATCCAGGGGAAATCGATTTTTGTTAAAGTTAGTGCAAAGTTGGAGTTAGGGAGGGTTCGAGTTATCGGGAGTCGACTGTAACGCACTACTACTATCAAAATGGCAGAGATTTGTTTGTACCTTTCCAGCTGTGACTGTCCTGAGTGTATCTATCAGTTTCAGTTTGGTTTCCAGGTCTGGAGTCTGTTCTACATAGCTGAATGCCTCTTGAATCATTTTTGTTACAGCCTGAAAGGACATTTTATCACAAATATAACATTATTGGTAGGGGAGCAGAGATATAGTCATTTGTTGGTTAGACTCCCCAGGTTACTCAGACAAAACTTACATCGTCCATTCAACGGCTTTATATGAGAAGGAAAAGTTTTGGGCACAAAAACAACTCCTGAAAAAAGGAGTTACATAATAAGGAGAGAGCAGAGAGCTGACTAAATTAGTCAAAATAAACTTGTTGTATTTGATTAAGTGGGAGAACCTATTGTAGGCTAGTGAAATCCAAAAGTTGGACTTCACTGATCTAGCTCTGATATTAGTTACACACAACAGTTCAATTTTCACTGAAAGGAAAGGAATAATACCACTACAAACTAGGTGTGCCTCTGGCTTGTGTGCCACTTTTTTGTTTTACCACATTTTGATGTCTGTGAACTATTACTGAACAGCCACACACCAACATGGTTTGTTAAAATGACGTATTTCTTTTTTCAGGGAAAATTAACATGTCTCTTTTTTCATTTTCACAACATAAAGCAAACTTTTCTATTTCATTGTCAAATCAGGCAGCCTTCATTATGGGATCCGAGACCCATCTCTTAACTAAATGTAAAACACTGAAGCCAATCACTGCTTTGTACAGTTATTGACATTCTGATCATATTCCCAAATAATGTTCTGAACATCTCATTGAAAAATGCAAAACACTCCGCAAAGATTGGGTAGAATAAATTGCAGTCATGTCATGACTTTCCTGTACAAAATTTTTGCACAGATTACAATAGGATCATTTTTTGTCTGGGAGATAAGAAATCTGGGACATCATCTGTGCAGAGCACCATTCCTCATACCTGTTTTAACTGGCTCCTTCTCTTTGTCAAGATAACAATGTGTTCATTAAGTGCATTCCAGTCTTTATTCTTGAAACAGAGCTGAACGATGCACACCAACACTCGGCTTGTAGAATGCATATCAGCAGCCTTAAGGTGGGAGGGGCAAATGAAATCACATTAGTCCAACAAAATTAGGTATGTCAAACAATAAATCTACAGGGTATTCCTAAGCTCAACTCAGTAGGGTCTCATTTAAGCTTCAGTTAAAAATAACAATATTTATTTATTTATTTATTACTCTTACATACATGGGTTCAAGTTCACACATAGTTTTTGAGTCCTTGTTTTTTGCTCAAGTCACAATAATAATAATCAATAAGCTCCTTTAATTGTTAAAGGAGCTTATTGACTTTACCCAGACTAAAATGAGACAAGCAAAGACTAAGTACAATGTAGTTCAGTTAACCCATGATTGAACTACTGAAGCTATTGCTATTGAAAATAAAACGTTACAAATTTATTAATGCAAAATGACCTGAAAGGCATGAAAAACAAGAAAGCAGGAGCAAGTTACAAAATCTCATGATATGACAATAGGTTGTAAACATAGGGAAATCAAACCAGAAAGCAGATGATACCCTATTTCCTTCTAGGCTACTAGAGGTATAATGTTTGAACACTGCAATGTTAGCCTTCAGCTGCATATTGCAACCCAACCCCAGCCAAGACTAATAGTACCAGATCTAGGGAAAGGGTTAAAGTGGTCCAGCTACCGACATGTATCCTCCACCCCTCTTCCTCTGTAAAGCAGCCATAAGACCAGAGAATTACTAATGTTTAGGAATTGAATGGCTATAGTTAAAGCTCTAGTGAGGCAAGAATCAATCAACTAAACTATTCTTTGGACAGAGAAACACCCTGTAAAAAATGTGTATTCCATAAAAATCCCAACCATAGTTTAAAGAATTTCCTGAAAGCGCCCTTAAATTACAGTAGCTGTGTCACAGCTATCACTTTGGAGCTGCCTCTTTCCAAAATAGTCAAAACAACTCCAGTGAACAAGGTTCCATGTTTTGGTCTCTTTATATAGAGTACATGTATGTGGATCTCAATTTTAGGTGAATGGGAGTTAGTACAGTGTACTATGTAAGTTAGTAAGAGTACAGAGAACTTTTCACAGTTGAGGATGACAACACATGGGTTGGACCATACATTTTGTACTAGGAAATGTTTCCAATCAATTGGGCGAAATACAACCAAGCTTGCAATGCCCTCTATTTTTTGCATGTTTACTTTCTCAACCCAACGGATGTTTCAATAACTTTGGTTATTCCCTAAGCCGAATCTTTTGTTTGTAAACCTTTTCCTGGGTAAGAAAGCAGATTAAACATACAGGACCCCGTATAAAATTAATTATGAACGTCTTTTGTGTCTGGATTTGATCTTTGTCACGTCCAAACTACTAGCCTTCCAATCATGCACCCATCGCGGTTCTCACCCAAACACAGCACTTGAAACATACAGCATCCCACTAATCAGTAAAAAAAAAACAGATACTGGATGTTTTGGTAGTGGGATTGACCTAATATAATTTTGGTTTTGCACTATCAAAGGAATGGCTGTCTTACTCTGGGTCTTTTCATGCGGGTCAAAATAAAGACTTGACCAAAACCCGAAACTGCATATGAAAAGACTCTGGCACCAAGGGTAGTTAATATTATTGTAAAGGTCCAAGAAATATCTAAGCAATCCACAACTTTAGTTTATAACATGCATGACATGCTGCTTTAACAATACCACTCACCGTTCTAGTCTGTTTTTCCAAAGAAAGGAGAATTTCCAGAGCATCACTGAGTTTACCATCCTAGCAAACAACAGGAATAACATAAATAAAGCTTTGATCTGTATCTTTTTCCATATAAAAGAAGCTTAAAGGATCTAAATTAAAAAGAAATAAACCGGTTCTCGTACATAGCTCGTTACTTGACCGGCACGTGCTAAGTTAAAGCCGTTCTTCTCAAGAAGGAAAACCACTAAAACTAGTTCTAACTTACAGAAGCTAATGCTTCGCATTCTGGTATTCTTTTGTCTACAGTATCACTGTAATCCACTTCCATTTTCACCACATTTCCTTTCATATCTGTAGAAGTCGCCATTTTGATGGTTTCTTTCTAAGGGGGCTCTAAGGGAATTATGGGTAAAATTAGTCAGCACTCGACCCAGGCTTCAGATTTAAAACGAGACACGCGCAAACACACGAGGAGGCTTTTAATTAACACGGCGCACGTTTGCGATTTTTTAGCCATTTATTTCGTCCCCTGGGTGGGCACTTGAACACACTTTTGGCCCAAGAGTGAGGCATTTGCAGCTTTCAGAAGAAAAAATGACAAACGCCCAGAACCATACCGTTGGAATTGACTGAGCCATAAGCATTTCCGCCGGTACTTCCTCGCCCGAGCACCACGAAATTTGGGCTTCTGGTGACGCCTATTTTTGTGTAGAATTGGCCTCATTCCTTTTTGTTTATTTGCTCGTTTGTTTTTTTTTCTCAATCCTCTCAGCTGTTTTCTCAATAGGCCTCAATTAGGCCCGAGGAGTCGATCGATACACCCAAGTTCGACGTTTATAGACTGCGTTGCCACGTGTAACACGCGCAAAACGAAGAGCCACGAAAAACTAGGGCGTATTGCCCTGTAGACTGTTCACAGTCCTCTATTTTTCCGTAAGATCATCGAGATCAGAGCTTTGCGTTACGGGCTACCCATCTTGCGTGAGTGTCAAAACTACATTTGAAAATCAAGATAGCCGTGACGGTAAGAAGCGGTGTATCTAAACGATCTCACGAAAAAATAGGGGACTGTGAACAGTCTAATTGCCCTGGTCCCAGAGGTTTCTCTTGAGCGAGATTCGAGGCCAAGGTAACCAGAGGTTTTTCTCTCTCTTTCGCGAAGAAAAATTTCAAGTAAGACCTCTAAGACAAGGGTAAGGTCGTATTGGCGAAGAAAAAGAAAGACAGCTTAATTTCTCGTCTCGCACGATATGAATTCTTAGATATTACGTTATAAAACGGGCGTAAGTTTTCCTTCCCTCAAACGCTTTTTCTTCGAAGCGCCGTCGTTTCAAGCCTGCAAATTTTCTTTCCCTTAAGTTGGATAGGGGTTGTCATTTTGAGGGTGGAGTACGAAGAACGAAAAGCTTATTCTCACAATACCCTTTCCTTCCTTTCACCAAAATAATTTCCATTCAAAACTTGCAATGAAAAATGATAAAAAGTGCTACTAAACTGACCCCAGAAAAACTCCAACCTAGTACAGATCTTAAAAACACAGAGCAGTCTCCTCTTTCACTGACACAAAATGCCAGAAAGATAGGAAAAACTTAACTATTTCCCTCCTAGAGAATACCAAGTGCCACCAGGGAACCTATCTACTACTTTTTGCAACCCACAACCCAAGACAGAAAATAACACTTGAATTACACATCAGAGTTTTATTAATTTTTACACTTAAAAAAACTCCATTCGAGAGCGTCCACAATTTTCCATTGCCACTTTCCGTCTAATCATCCATACTCTATACAAAAATTTACAGTCGCGACACATATCCATTACAGTTTTCGTTCCACACTTCTTTGTGCTCTTCAAATCAAACAAACCAAACACAACTGTTCTCAAATTCAAAGTTCACAAAGTGAGCTTAGAAGCACTTGCGATGTACAATGGCAGGACCAGATTCATCATATTCCTGCTTGGAGATCCACATCTGCTGGAAGGTGGACAGTGAAGCCAGAATGGAACCTCCGATCCATACAGAGTACTTGCGCTCTGGTGGAGCAATGATCTTGATCTTCATGGTAGGTGGTGCCAGAGCAGCAATTTCCTTCTGCATCCTGTCTGCAATACCTGGATACATGGTTGAGCCACCAGAGAGGACAGTGTTGGCATACAGATCCTTACGGATGTCCACATCGCACTTCATGATGGAGTTGTAGGTGGTCTCATGGATACCAGCAGCTTCCATACCAAGGAACGCAGGCTGGAACATGGCCTCAGGGCATCGGAATCGCTCATTTCCAATGGTGATGACCTGGCCATCAGGTAGCTCATAGCTCTTTTCAAGGCTGGAACTCGATGCAGCAGTGCCCATTTCCTGTTCGAAGTCAAGGGCAACATAGCACAGCTTCTCCTTGATGTCACGAACAATCTCACGCTCTGCTGTGGTGGTGAAAGAGTAGCCTCTCTCGGTGAGGATCTTCATGAGGTAGTCAGTTAGATCTCTACCAGCCAAGTCAAGACGCAGGATGGCGTGGGGCAGGGCATAACCCTCATAGATAGGCACTGTGTGTGTAACACCATCACCACTGTCCATGACAATACCAGTCGTACGACCAGAAGCATACAGAGACAGTACAGCCTGGATGGCAACGTACATGGCTGGAGTGTTAAATGTCTCAAACATGATCTAGAATGATTAACAAAGAAAAAAGAACATAAATAAAAACTCAAATGACCTAGTAGAAATTAAAATTAAGCTTTTTCCGCTAAAATCTTGGCCTACGTGACTGCATAACTTAAACAGAATATAAAAAGAATTTTGGGCAGATTTTAATCCCTAGAAAAACAAACAAGTTGAGCTTATGCCAAAAAACCAATACCATATTAGGAGAAACCGGCATCCTTCGAACACACTAGACTCGCACTTTAACTTGAACGGTTGACGGCAAATTTCGCAATTCGAAGTACGATAAATCAAATCTAGCCAATAAATTTTCAAGAAATTCCAACCAAGTTTTATACAGGAAATCGAAATTTCCGCGTTGACTTAAGGGCAACATGTAAGTAAGCTAAGTTACAAAATCAAGATCCGCACGTCAACAAAGCGTAATAAATCATGAATATGTATGAAGCTAAATCACAATAAATAATTTTAACTGCACATTTAAAATTTCTCGCCAAGTTGAGTCCTTAAGTTAATCAATAAATGCACCATTCGTGCTGCTAATGGGCGGTGTCTTCTCGTGAATAACTGAAATTTGGGGGTGGGGCGGTTAGTTACTTATGGCGAAAACAATATTGTTTTTAACGAAAAGAAAAATACCTGAGTCATCTTTTCTCTGTTTGCTTTGGGGTTCAAGGGAGCTTCTGTCAGTAGAACTGGGTGTTCTTCGGGAGCAACTCGGAGTTCGTTGTAGAAGGTGTGATGCCAGATCTGCAAGGAAATGACATTTTGGCGTGTAAGATTCAACCACCAGACCACACAATATTTACTTAAGATCACAATTACCTTCTCCATATCGTCCCAGTTAGTAACGATTCCGTGTTCGATGGGATATTTCAGTGTCAGGATACCACGTTTGCTTTGGGCTTCATCGCCGACGTACGAATCTTTCTGGCCCATACCAACCATGACGCCTTGGTGACGAGGACGACCTACGATCGATGGAAACACAGCTCGGGGAGCATCGTCTCCTGCAAATCCAGCTTTACACATACCGGAACCATTGTCCACAACCAAAGCAGCAACATCTTCATCGGCCATTGTGAATGCAAAAGTAATTCGTACCTGGGCACTGAATATTACAAAAGTTACGATCGCTCTGTGCAACCACCACAAATAGGACGAATATGGGATAGGCATCGTTATTTATACCTGTCACACGACAATATGGGCAACACTTTGTTACCAAATATGGTCAAAATTTTGTGCTTTTAGTTCGCCCATGGGGATCGGACAGGCAACTCAAAGGTGACGCTTATGACGTCAACGACGAATGATGACACGACAATCGAAATTTATCGAAAAGTAAAGAAAAATTCACTTATTGGTAGGTATTTTGCAAAATTTATGTCGCCGCTTGCGTCCCTTTTCCTTTCTTTCAAAGATCGAATATTGAAGAAAGGCGGAATTTTTGCCTCTATTTCTAATGAAAACTCCACCCCAAGTGCCTCAGCCGACGAAAAACAAACAAGAGATCTGTCAGCAAAGGTCATCTATCCCAAAGCCAAATTTCCCGCAAATTTCCAAATCGAGTGGTCTGATAGAAGAAACAATGCTGACGCGTGCTTTTTTGTCCTCGTTTGCTGGAGTTTATCGCTATTTGCGGTAAAATATTTCTCTAGGATTATTAAGCTTTGTATTTAATTTTTTTACATATGTTATTTGTCACCAAACCACAAAAGATCAATTTTTGCTCACTGGGGGTTTACTTTGTCTCAACAGACAGGAGTGGTACAAGAAATGTGGCTCCCAGTCACTATTGTAAACTTATGATTCTGTAGTTCAATCGAGAATCAGTAGTTTTTCCCTTCAAGAGGAAAATAGCAGTAGATTTTTGACTTCTTGACAAAGGTAGAAAGCGGGTACCCTCATTAAAGTATTGAGATATGACCACTCTTCTTTCCCCCTCTCCCTAAGGGCACACCGCTTTCCGACTGACGTGACAAGCACTTCGCTTCCTGTTGAATGATACCTATGCCGCTCTCTTGGGACTTTTGAGGAAATCCTTGTACGCGCGGGTTAAATTTCTGTGAAATTGTTTTTTCGCTTTGTTACCGGTGATTTTGTTCGTCGAGGGCCGCCTATGGAGTGTGATGTCGTATTCTTTTCTGATCGAAAATCACTGAAAATACTCTCTGTAGAATTCTTGCCCTTTGAGATTAAACAACAACACCAACGAAAGGAAGAGCGTTGCGTGACGACAGAAAAAACGGCCGCGGAGCAGACTACTGGAAAGAGCCAGAGCTACAATGCTGTAAATGAACATCCCACTTTATCACGCCATACCCCACGTGTGCCATAATTCTCGCACGTCATCAAACAAGGCAGACCGGAAATTTGCGTTACCAGCTGGGAGAGACTCATAAATGTTATTACCCGGTGGAAGAACAATGACTCAAGCGCGAGAAAATACTCTACGCCTGGTGTACGCATAGATCAGAGTGCAGCGTAACATCAGACCCGGGCTCCTGACCCGAAAGTATAAGCCGAAAATGACACCGAAACCTCTTTCAAAACCAAAACGAATAAGGGGTATCAAGAGAGAGAGAATGATCTATCTTGGGGGTATAGAATACTAGTTACCGTCATCGAAACTTGGCGGGGACCGGGGGTACTCCCTATAACGGTCTAAAAGGAGGTTCCGCCCGAAAGGGGTAAGCACAGTTAGAGATATGACGTTAATGTCTCTATCATGCACAGTTAACCATAAACACCGCCAAGCAAGGCCACAAGGCTTCCAGAAGAAACAGATGAACTTCATTGATCTATAAGGTTGTTGTTCAATGAACGGTTCTCAGATTTCCGGGATATTTTGTACCCAGGTGTTTTAGTAGCCTCTGTAGCAAGCTTCGAAAGGGGTAGGGAATTAAAAGAAGGGGAACCCAGATCTCTCGAGATTATTCTTCTCCCTCTTAACCTCCCCATCCCCTCCCCCTTTTGCGTCTGCCACGCAGGCCAGTTTCTAGGGGATTCGTATATTACCTACCTTCCCACAAGGAAGACGGAAGGGAGGAATTACCACTCCCTTAAAAAATAAGGCTTTGTAAACTCTGCTCGTAAGAAGGAAATATCAGGAAATACCAAACATAAGAGCTCGAAGGACATCCAATTTGTCTAGGTCGTGGACAATTGAATTTATCAAAAACATTTTTGATATAACTAGCATATTTCATCGGCAAAACCCTCCTACAATTTTATCCTCAAACCTTGCAGGGAAACTTACTTAAGCTTTGTTTTCTCCAGGTTAGTTTGTTTTAATTGAAAATCTTCGCATTATTTTTTAACTTGGGTTTTTATGAAATGATATTACTTTTCAATTTCCTGAGTCATACTCATGCCATGAATAACATTTTCACAAACAAGATACAAAGAAACGCAAAGACAGGAAAGGAGAGGCGAATGGATACTCATGCTTCAGTCTGACTCCTTTGTCCGACCCTATCTATTCCTACGTAGCCTGAGATCAGGCTCAATTTTCGTTTCGCTTTGTAATAACATTTCGGCGGGAAAGGCGAAACGAAAACAGCGGTAGAGAATGTATGAGAACCGCTAAAATTGGGCCTGATCTAAGGTTAGACTGACGTGCCTCTGCGAGCAGAATATGAGCTTGGTTCTCCGTTTGTTTTTCCAATATGTCCGTTATAGGTTAGCGAATTACAAGCACGTGGGGTGGAGCATGTGTGTATGAATTTGCAAGCTAATGACCATTCTGACACTGGAGTGCTCTTTTCAGCTGTATTTTACAGAGTCCAGTTTTGGAAAAACAATTAATTTCCGCTAAAAACCGATATCGGAAAACCAATCGACAAATCGATAATTGTCGATAATCACTTTTTGATTGATATCGATTGTATCGGTCAATCGATAGAAATATATTGGTAGGAACGAAACTTTTTTGTTGATTGCGCTATCCATTTTATCGATTTTAACGATATTATCAATTTCATGATCTTTCATTGCCTTCATGGTTCAAAACCCAATAAAGCATTGAAAACTCGGCCTTGTTTGAAAAACGAAAAACTTCTGAAACTTGCGAACAGCTATCGATTGGCCCCATATGTTTTGGTCATGTTACTTCTCTTTCCATTTAGTTGGGGAGTTGATTATCTACTTTCTTTTGCATATTTAATGACAGCTACGATCGAGATCCTATTTCCATGTTTGGTGTTTGCTATTGTCCAAAACATCATAACCTGAGATCAGGCCCCATTTTAGCGGTTCTCATACATTCGCTCTAAGGCCATCCTCTTTTATTTCTCCGTTTAGCGTCGTCCAACCGACCCAAATTTTTGGCATTTTCAAAAAAAAAAAAGAAAAAAAGTAACGATGTAGTTAAACCATTTTTCACTTGAAATTATTTCTTTTAATCTGAAAAATGAGCATAGTAACAGCATAGGGGAAAACAGGAACATTTTTTACAGTATATTGTGTAAAAAAATATGTGAATGTTAACTTTTCATTTTTACAGTATATTCCGTATTTTGTTTGCCTTTTCAGTTTTTTTTTTTTTTCAAATATGACCCAATATCAGGAAACGCATCCGACGCTATTAGGCCATCTTCTTTTTTTTCTCCGTTTACCGTCGTCCGACCGACCCAAATTTTTGGCATTTTCAAAAAAAAAAGGGCCTCCACTTGAAATTTATGTTAATCTGAAAAATGAGCATAGTAACAGCGTAGATTTTTTTTTTTTTTTTTTTAATCCAAGTATGTGAATGTTAACAACGTCGCCTTCGACCGGGCCTACCCAATTCTTATAAGGATTTTTTTTTTTTTCACGACATCCGACGGAAAATTCGAAAAAGGAAAAAAAAAGGGAGATGGCCTAAACGAAAAAAATGGGGATGGCCTTCGGCTACAGCTACCGCCTCGCCCGCCGCAATGTTATTTAGAAAGAAAGGAAAACTGAGTCTGATCTCAGGTTAAAAACATTAGGAACACAATTACATTCCACTTTACAAAATTAAAAAGCTTCCTGTTTTTCTGCTGGGCTTCTTCTATTAACATACTCGAGCTTCGCTTTTCAAGCGAAAGCTCGTTCCGTAGTAACTTTTTATTTAGGCTTCCGTACTATGACGATGAGTTACGTCTAGTGACTTTTCGTCTCGATCCATACTTGTTGTTTCGTCACGTTTCTGCGAGGAGAAGGCTCTTGATCGCTATTTGAGTCCAGTCAGTGAGAATAATAAAAAAAAACAGCAAAACTCAGCTTTCATCTGAGAGCATACAAGACTCTGAATCAGGTAAGCCAACTAACGGCACATCAATCAAATTCAGAAAACTTAATTACCAAATTAGGCCATGAAGATTACCATATAAGGTAATAAATTGGGCACATAGTTGTTTGATTGACAATTTGCAGCACTTTGCTCTGTTTTACGTAGCATGCTCGCAGCGTGTTGGTTTCGTTTCATATCAAAGACAGCACAAGATATACAAGGAGGTCTTTCGCAAATTAAAAACTGAAAATGGCTGATGATGACATTGCTGCTTTGGTTGTGGACAATGGCTCCGGTATGTGTAAAGCTGGATTTGCAGGAGACGATGCTCCCCGAGCCGTTTTTCCGTCGATTGTAGGTCGTCCTCGTCACCAAGGCGTCATGGTTGGTATGGGCCAGAAAGATTCGTACGTCGGCGATGAAGCCCAAAGCAAACGTGGTATTTTGACACTGAAATACCCTATCGAACACGGTATCGTTACAAACTGGGATGACATGGAAAAGGCAAGCAATTCAATTCTTTAAACAATACAACTCTTGAGCGTCTGTAAGTTTACACAGCGCATCTAATGCGTATCTATTTTTTTCATGTCGAACTTGCGTTTTACAGATTTGGCACCACACTTTCTACAACGAACTCCGTGTAGCCCCTGAAGAACACCCAGTTCTCTTGACAGAAGCACCCTTGAATCCTAAGGCAAACAGGGAGAAAATGACACAGGTAAACGTACCTTCTGTCTTACAGTCTTAGTAAATTCACAATGGTAATAAACATTCCCTCATAGTCTGCGCAGTTTAGCTTCCTGACAATCCAGATTTAATGACCGAGAGCTATACTTTTATCTTTCAATTCAATCGAAATAGTTCTCCTCTGGCCGCGCAATCTGCTCACAGAGTGGAAAAACAAAAACCTCCTTTTAGCACGGCTCATAAAAGTTTTTCGTGTGCCCCTACGGTTGTTGATCCTTTTAAATATTTCTAATCAAAGTGATAAATTGATAGCTTTTGTGAAAAATCGTTCTTTTCCGTAGAAATTGATCTTAATAGAGACCTTAAAATCCGCGGACAGCGACGGCAGGGAAAAAGTCGCATAAAATGGGGAATTCGAGTTATTTCAGTCTTCATCGCGATTATTTCAACTCACTCACTTTGTCAAATGTTGGCGAACTCTCCTTGGGTTGAATTCCTGATAATCATATCCACTTCAGAAAGAAAATTTCGTCGTGGCTTGTATACACCCTCTTTGACATTTTCACGTCGTGGCCGTGCAGTGACGGCAAATAAATGTACAAAACAAAAAGTATACTTATTGTTTTGCGTATTGGACCTAATCAGACTTTCTCGTTGCTGTCGTTGTCGTCGGATCTTAAGGTCCCTTAACAGTAGCTCATCCGCCCGTCATTATGGGCTCCTTATTCATCTTTGCTTTAATTGCTGCTTATCCTGATACTACATTGCTTTCCGAAATCTCGACCCACGTCTCTAAGGACGTTTCGCCCCTCCCGGCGATCAAGAGCGAAGAGAGAAGGCTGTTTTTGATGGCTAAGCCTTTTTTCACTAGAGGTTTTAATATTTGTAAAACCGGTTAAGTGTCTTATTTCATGGAAGATAAGGCCACACTTTTTCCCTCAGTTTTGTTTTCACCGTTTACCTTCTAAGAAGAATAGAATTAAGGAATTCCCTATTTTTTGGCAAAGCATCATTAGTTTAACTAAACTGAATGACAATGATATCTTTCTTTGTGCACAGATCATGTTTGAAACATTCAATTGCCCAGCGATGTATGTTGCCATCCAGGCCGTGTTGTCTTTGTACGCCTCTGGTCGTACCACTGGAATTGTTCTTGACAGTGGTGATGGTGTGAGCCACACTGTACCTATCTACGAGGGCTACGCCCTACCCCATGCCATCCTTCGTCTGGATTTAGCCGGCAGAGATCTGACGGATTACCTAATGAAGATTCTAACTGAACGTGGCTACTCCTTTACCACTACCGCTGAGCGTGAAATTGTCCGTGACATTAAGGAAAAGCTGTGCTATGTTGCGCTGGATTTTGACCAGGAACTGCAAACTGCGGCATCCAGTTCCAGCCTGGAGAAGAGCTATGAGTTGCCTGACGGTCAGGTGATTACCATAGGCAACGAGAGATTCCGCTGCCCCGAAGCCATGTTCCAGCCCTCCTTCCTAGGTATGGAAGCTTCTGGTATTCATGAAACAACCTACAACTCCATCATGAAGTGCGATGTGGACATCCGTAAGGATCTGTATGCCAACACTGTCCTCTCTGGTGGCTCAACCATGTATCCAGGTATTGCTGACAGAATGCAGAAGGAAATCACAGCCTTAGCACCATCTACCATGAAGATCAAGATCATTGCTCCACCAGAGCGCAAGTACTCTGTATGGATCGGAGGTTCCATTCTGGCTTCACTGTCCACCTTCCAGCAGATGTGGATCTCCAAGCAGGAGTATGATGAATCTGGTCCTGCCATTGTACATCGCAAGTGCTTCTAAAGAACTTGAACTTTAGGAGTAAAAGTTGTTATACTTTCTTCCTAAACGCAGTCATGCGTTTGACGCTACTTTAATTTGTTGACTTCAGGAGGCACAAGAGGTCATATTCAACTGGTTTTCAATTTTGTTTCAGAAAACTGTAGAAAAGTTTGCAAACTTGGACACCAACTTTCAAAACACGTTGCAGCATCCCTCGCTTCATGACTATCAAAAGTGAACTTAAACGAATGTTACGAAAAGCTTTGCATCGGTGTTTATACTTCAGGTTTAGCAGTTAAAGAAGTTTCAATAAAACTCGTTTCCTCTTAACCAACTTTGTTGTGTGTCCACAGGTCATGGAAAAGAAAATAATAATATACAGATTCAAGCACATCCTTTCCTCGCTTCTTACCTCTGCAATTTCATTAAAAAATGCAGAAAAGAAAACAAGTAAACACGTGCAAATAACTTAATACAAAATACTAGGTAGCCTGATAAGATCCCGACCCGCAGTCAAACTGTATGTGAAGCATTTTTCGTGATACGTAATATACAAATAACATATGTATACATACTAAAACTTGAGCGAATCGAAGGATGACTTGCCGAATTACCAGCCCAGGTTCCTTCGCGCTGGGGTAAAAATAAGCAGCATACTCCCTCAAATAGCAGAAAGATTTCCGGGTAGGAATACGTGCATTTTCTATCGACAGGTTTAAGTGCACATTTCATCGTTTTCAATTTTCCCGAACTCCCCCTCAACTTTCAAGTCGAGACAAGCGCGTCAACAAATTAAAAGGAGGAGAAACGTAAGCCTGCGTAGTAGTCCTTTCCGATTTCCTTTAGCCAAGAGGTCAGACTGCACGATACCCATGAGAGCGAGCACAAAATTTGGGGATGGAAGGGGGCGGGGGAATGGACGGGGAAGAAAAGGGAAAAGCAGACAGTTTACCCAACGCTGTTCGTCAACGAACGGGAGGCAATGATGTATTACGATTTTTGACAAAATCGAATTATTAAACTTGGCGTTTTTTCATTTTTTTTCCGTCCGTCAAATGTGAAAAAGAGTAATTCCTTGACATTCCAAGTAACCGTAACAACCTTGCAACCCGTGTTAAAATCCAGTGTAAAGAGGGTTAAGATCCTCTTCAAAAGATAACAATTTAACATCAAACCGATTTTGAGGAATAAGCGTTTTTATGCTGTAACCTTGCTATGGTAACTTTTGGTGTTAAAAACACAACACCTTATTCAATAGCAACTGGGCATTTGTTCGATGTAATCAATGTAGGGTAAAACAAGGAAGGTGTCGATCCGAAGTCCTAACTATGATGAGCCGTCTACGCCCTTTCTTCGGGGAGTCCGGGGGTGCCTTCTTTTCTGAAAGTCTGAAGGTTTCTTTAGTCTCGCTTCTCTGAATTTATAAAAAGGATACACATAAACACAGGCTAAATAAAGAGTCGGGATTGTGATTTCCCTTTTAAAGGGAATAGGTAAGCACTGCAATTTCAATAAAAACACTTCTAAGTTGACCTGGAAATGCTACGTTTAATTAATCAATTCCCTTGCATCCAGTTTAATAGATACCGGTATATCTAGTTTGAACCTACGTTGCAAATAATTTTCTACGTTATCTATGCCAGTTATAATATGTACATGATTGTAAAACTGTGACAATGTCAAGGATGGAGGTTGTCTCTCTAGATGTTTTTTAACCTATTCTCACAATTTTTGTTCTTAAAGGGGCTACGTCGCGTTATTTGCTACGTTTTCAAAAAGAGAAAACTTTTTCCGAAACTGTTGAAAAAAAAAATAATGGTACAGCTTTGTTATTAAAAACTATATTCAAGCATCAAAACTGTTTCAAGTCGTCTGTTGCTATGGATGGTAAGAATGGACGTAGATTAAAACTTGAAAACGGTGGGCCAACGTTTTTAAGTTTTAATGCTATCCTTGCAAAAATCACCCAAAAAGTTATAATGGTGAGTACTTCCTGGTGACATATTTATTGATATCTTCTTGATAACTCTTCAGGTGTGGAGTATTTTTTGAATAGGTAAAGGCATTAAGTTAAAAAATCGACCTAAAAAAGGCTATATCGTGAAACAGCCCCTTTAAGAAGTAAAAGCGTCTACCCTACTTGCAGTGGTTTCATTCCGGCATGGTTTTTAGCCCAGTTTACGAAGTTGTTCACATCAACTCTCAGGGACGTACAGTCGTAAACAAGCCAACCTACGCGAATCATGGCACCGACGCAGACGACTTTTAAACATTACGTAAAACCCATGCTGGAAAGAAAACACTGCTAACAAGGTAAAAACGAGTGCATACGAAAAAGGAAAAAAAAAGCAATACAGACGTGATACAACTCACTTTGACTCTGAAGATGACTACCACTCAGGTTGTCCAAACGTCAATCACTGTCAACAACAACAGTCCTATTCAGGACTACGTTCACCCGAACGATCAAACTCAACCTACTTTTGAAATGACTCCTGGGTTCAAACCTTTCACAAAAGCAATACACAAACAATACACTAGCGCTTCAGGATTATCAAAATCAACGGAGTCTACCTGTCAGTTAACCCAAATCTGTCGATACCTTCACTCTCAAAAAGAACATGATGTCTACCAAAGCAAAAAAACACTTTTTTTTATCTCTTTAGCAACCAGCTTTCGAAATATATATATTTTTGAATTAAATCTATGAAAAGGTAAAAACAGCATTCCGCATGGAAATTTGCATTGCAGTTTATTACTGATAACAAAAGTTGATTTTACTGGCTTTGGTAATATATTAGTGACGTCAAACTAGTTTTACGTTTGTAGTGATTTTCCAGTTCTTTATTGTAAACCTATTCTTTTGTTTAGTAATAAACCAATTTTAGCCCCGGATAGTCGTCGCGTGCTCAATTTGATGCCGCTTGCGTGACTTTCTTCTTTCTTGCTTGAAGCATGTCATAGAATGGATCAAATATCATACTGGCCCTGATTAAAAAAGGAGTAAATTGAAAACTTAATTATGCTGTGATTATAATCAAACAAGGAAGAAGATTAGAAGATAATGACAAATCCAAGATGTCATTTAACTGAGTTGCACCTCCTAGCCTGTGTAGCAAGCGATTTCAATCGAGTTATTGTGCGAAAGTTGGAGCGGAAGCAAAAGAAATGGAAGATCGAAGGGGAGGGGGAAGGGGAAGGCGGAGTTTACTACTCTCCCCTCCCCCTTCATTCCTCTAATTTGCACTCATCCGAACTTTCTCGACAAATTCGCGTGGAAACGTTTGCTAGTACCCAGGTTAATTGCTTCTTAGAGATGCTCTTGCCACCGGAATAAATTCACCTCATTCTACTCAAGAAAACGTGTACTTAAAAGAGCCTGGACACATCAAAATGAAACTGACTTTATACAACCAATCCAAGTCTCTCTTTCCTGAGATGATTCGGCACATATACGATACACATCATGGTGACCTACAAAAAACAAACAGTGGTTTATCAGATTGGAAACAACACGCTTATAAGGCAGAAACAAAGTACTCAACAGTGACTGTATTATTCATCAGAACAGACCTTCCACAACTTTTCCTTCGGAGTCTGTTTTACAAGCCTTTATGAGACTAGAAGAATTATCCGCAGAATATATCTCAAAGCAATACTGAAAAAAGAAACAGAAGCAGAGTACAGTTAGCTACAATACTTACAATCTTGCAATATAAACCTCTTAACTTATTTAACTGCTTTTCATCTAAAGCTATCAGAGAAAGTGTTACCTTTCTTTTGGAATCTTGAACTTCCCTCACTTCAAGATTTTCCAAGGGAATAATACCACGAGGCTCCCTGTCCTGTGAAGTAAAAATGATTTTGGAAGAAGAAATTAAGGATTAAAAAATGAGCAGTTTTTCATCTGAATTCCAAACACTCATAAACATTAATTTCTTTCACTAAACTTTGTATTTTCTTCATGGATTATTAAGTTACTATACTTTTTTCTTACCCCGACATTCTTGAAGTAATACAAGCAGTTATCTTTAAGGATAAAGTATCGCTTTCTCCAACTTTTGTGCAAACCACCTAAAAATAAAGTGTGAAATTGATTGATTGATGTTGTTTACAAAACAGGTGCTGAAACATAAAACAATAATATTGGAAGAAACCTACATGTAGATTTCCTAATTTCATATTTTACATTGAAAAACAAGGCTTATCACTTCTCCAGTCAAGTAAGAGATTACAAAGCATTGATCTACATATAATAAATCTTGCTCTTTGAGGGTAGCAGAATATAAAACATTAAAGAACGATAATCTGACAGGGAAATAATATTCTTCAATAAATCTGCAACGCCTTAGTCAATGGAATTATGTCAATAGAATTACACCCTAGATCGATGACCCGGGAGATCAAATTTTACCTTCTTTTGTGAGCCAGCCTTCTCTATCAGGATTGAAAAAAGTTCTGGTGATATCATTACCATCGTCTTCTGGAATCTTGAATTGTTCATTCTTGATACTTTCAAACAAGCTCTACAATAAGCAAAAACTCATTAAACAAAAATGATACCATCTTAATCTTCATTACTACTGCAGCAAATGGATCATGCTGCAGTACACTTTACCTGGTTATCCGTAGCTGTTTGAATTCCGCCTAGTTGTTATATTTACGCAGAGCTTGAAATCTTAGTGACAGCCCTGTGACCAAGTGCGAGCATCCATTCATTGATAACATTATATAAATAACTGAGTCCGATGTACCAAACACATGGCTATTAGGCCTGGGTTCAAAACTGCATCCCAGGAACAAGAAGCACATGCTCGACATAGATCTTACTCAATTAATGCAGAGTCTTTCTCAAGTATTCCAAAATCAAGCAAGTGAAAGAAAGGTCCTGCTAGCAGGCTGCTACTTTCAGTTTAGGTGAATTTAAAATATTAAAATTCACAAGAGAAAAAAGTCAAGAAGTCTGAAATGGGTACATCCAACACTTAAATAATACAAGAAGAATATTGATAATGGAATGCAAGTGAGAACCATCATTATTTTGTTTGCACATTCAAAGGCAAAACAATGAGAAAGGTAGCAAGCAGTTCCCACCGTCAGAATATCAGTTGGAAGATCTTCTCCACAGTTGATTCCTCTGTTCATTTGAATAAACCTCTCAATGGTAGGCTGGAAAGAGAAAAGTGGAATAGTAAACCACCATTTATTGTAACAGGGCAGTAAGCCTATACATAATATGTACATTTGTCACCCCAACTGTCATGGACACCCAACAATTGTTTTCTCTAAAATAATGGTTTGAAGAACCAAATATTGCCTAGAATTTTCTATAGTATGAGGGCAGCTAAAAATTCCTAGATGAACATTCCATTTATCTACGATTTTTGAAGCTTATCTAATAAATTTCCTATAATTTTTTTAAGTTTAATTTTTTCACATTTCTCTCCCTAGTTTAAGCTATATTTTGTAGAAAAAGAAACCTTAAATTTTTGGATTAAAAAATGTAATGGAGAGAGCAGAAAAATGTTCACTTTGATAATTCTTTAAATAGCATCCATTTTTAGGGGGAAAAGAATAAGTGAAGCCCTTGTAATTTTGAAAAGGCTCAAGTTCCCCTAGGATGACAGAATAGATACAATATAGTGCATGCTTAAAATACACTTCTAGAGATCTAAAAATAATACTGCGGATAGCCTAAAAAGTGTTTTCATTGTATTTAGGAGAAAACCATCGTTCGGTGCCCTTTAAACTGGGGGCTTGCTGTAACAGAGATTTAACATCTCATTAACCAACTGCCTCGCTTAAGTGGAAGGTGGGTGCCTGGGATACCCAGGGGCTTCCACTGTGGCCAGCCAGCCCCTAGATAGAAAAACTGCCCCCATGGCTGGCAAATCCCCGCAACCCAGCCATGAGCCCCCATTCCAGGCACCCGTCACACTGATCAAACAGTGGAAGGAAGAAAAATAGGGATGGGAGGGGGGGAAGACGCTAAATGAACCGCTCCACAGACCACTGCACAAACGCTCGATGAACAACTCGCAGATCCTAGCCATGTACAAAGCTACCACACACCATGTGAGCCTGCACTTATGGGATTGACCGCTGGATGCCCGCTACGCTCGTGGGCCGCTTGACCGCTAAGCTTGTAGACCGCTTGACCGCTAAGCTTGTGGACCGCTAGACCACTTAACTTGTGGACCGCTCAACTGCTAAGCTTGTGAACCGCTTGACCGCTATGCTTGTGAATTGCTTGACCGCTACGCTTGTGAACCGCTTGACCGCTAAGCTCGTGGTGGTTAACTTAGTTAAATTACATTTAACCAAATTAAATTTCTGGCAAATGAAAACCTAATTACAGCCTTCTGTGAAATAGGCCAAAATTGGCATGCAAAAATACATGTGTTAATTCTCTCCATTACTTTCAATGGTCCATCTTCAATATATAATAAATTACTTTTTATAACGTAGCAGAGTAAGTAGAAGTAAAGTCTTCATCTCACCTTATCCTTGACGCTTGGGTTGTGAAGACTTGTGTTTAACAAGATAAGTGAGAAACTTAAAACATAACAGGTATCTGTTGGTCAAGAAAAATTAGTTATTGTTTATACAGACAAATCAAAAAAAGGTTGCTTTGGTAATTGGTCATTCGAGCATATGGAACAATGCAATGATTTGAGTGACCACCAAACAATAGCTTCCCAATGCCCAAAGCAACCTTTATTGAATCAGCTATACATAAATTTAAGTTATATACCATTATTTTAATGGTATGTAGCACACCTCAATCAAAAAAAACTCTTTCTTATAACTATTTAACCTGGCTACGTACTTTCACTTTAAAATCTCTTGATTCTAAAAATTGCTATAAGGCCCTGTAAGGCTAAAATTCCAGCAAGTAACATGGCCTTGAACAGTGACACAAAGATGGCTTGAAACTGTGACAGAGACGAATAAAAGGGTAAATATAATAAATTAATAGTAATACCAAGTTAAGAGCAACATGGCTTCCTCCTAAATACACCCATGTATGTGAAACAACAGGTTTTGAAATTCAGACTAGGGACATACCTCCTTTTCATTTTCCCTCAGGTCATTTTCTATATAATTTTACCCTTAATAACTCGAACCATGTTTTGAGCCCTTAAAAAGTCGGGAAAAAAGCCATCTACTGGTGTCCAAAACATTGAGTTTTGGATTTCCTGTTGATGTGTTGAAGGAGTATAGTTTACTAGTGGAGGCTGATGTTGATTGTCACAGGCTAACGTGAAGCAGCTTTTCTTCTCAAAACAGTAAAACGCGTGCTCTATTTAGGCTATGGTTTGTTATGTTACATTCTGATTTATAATATAGAAGTATCTTGTAATTTTCACTTGAAATTTCTACAATTAGAAGTTCACTGTGCAGTAAAAACTGTTTTTTACCCTACTCTTGGCTATTTTGATAACTCAAACCTTTTTTCGATTTTCCTTGAAGGTTCGAGTTATTGGGAGTAGACTGTATTATTATTATTGCTATTATTATTTTTATTATTATTATTATTATTATCATCATCATCACACTTTATATCATGCAGTAATATTTTTTGGCATACCAGATGATGTAAACACTCCAGGGTTTTGATCGCAATATCTCTTGGCAAACGCTTCCATCATTCTGTCAATTTTCTGGGCCTCACCAGGAAGACGAAAACTCCACAAAAACTCTCTGCAAAGTCATCAAATAAATACAAGTTGTATTAAAAAGCCATTACTTGTTTTCATTTCACCCTGACGGGGTTGAAGAAAAACATGTTAAGCTGCAAGCAAGCTTTCCTGGGGCGCTCTGGCAGCAGGGCAAAAAGGGAGGGAGAGCTTGCAGTCACGTCTCAGGAATTGAATTCCGTCTCTGTGTCCCCTGTGGCTAAGGCCATTGACAGAGCTGTCAGTTTTGGCCAATCGGCATGGAGTGGAAATATGCGTCGAATGTTAACAAACATAGAAACAGTGTGCGAAAGATAAATTTCCCACGAGTAAAAGAAACTGCAGTGAAAAGATGACACAATAGAAAATTGTTGAGTTCTCGTTTTCATAGGCAAGTCATTGAGGGTGCCAGATCAAAAGAAGAACATTCAAAAAGTGGCAAACCACTGCGAGCGCCAGCTTCAGCCCTCGGCATTGAGACAACAGGATATTTTGTAAGCTTTGTGGCATACATTGAACTCAGAATACCCTCCTCCGAAAGTGTTTTGAAACAAAGATCTAGATTAATCTAGAACAACTAAATAAATTGCATCTCTCTCCTGCTATTTAAACAGATTACAAATTGACAGGAATACACCAAACTCAATTTGTCTGTTGCATAAGATGCTAAAATTATACATTTTTTCCCCTCTGCCACAAAATAAACTCTACCGCAAGTCCTTTTCTTTCTACTGCAAAGAAGCTAAAGCAACTAGCAAATTACCCACCCATAATGTAATTTTAAAAGTGATAAATCTCTGAAAGAGATCTTATTATTAGAGCAATATGTGAAATATGTGAAAGGTTTCATGGCAATAAAGGTGTCTGGCCTGTTAGCCTACAAGTAACTCTCCTGAGGGAACTTTACGTCATTGCCTGATCAGAACTCAACCAATCAGCATTTCGCAACCTATTCTGATTTGAGAGGGGGCTATAACAAGCTGGAAATATTGCATGTCAAGATGACCACCTATGGTTTGCAATATAGAGATACTTTGCTCCTCATGCCTGGAATAACCTGACTGATAACATCAGAATGTCTGAAATGCTTGCTTCTTTTAAATGCAATATTATAGACTATATTAAATTTTTTACTAAGAGTTGTGTATTTTATTTTGTTTTGTTGTTGTTGTTTTTATTTTGGTGGTTTTTAAATTATGACACTATAAATAATTTTTTGTCGGTTCTTATATTATGTAGTTCGGGGATACTAGCTCTGTGTGCTACTCTACAATCCGAAATAAATAAAGTTATGAATGAATGAATGAATGAATTCTGGGATGCAGATATTCAAATTTATGAGACACAAGTGTAAGCTCTCCTTCCCCTCTTCACTCCCCCACCCCCCTACCTCCAGGAACCCAATGAGAGCTTGCTCACAGACTAATATTAAGCTAGCTGCATTGTGCCAAAAAAGTCATATTAGATTAATGGAATTTACCTCAGGGCATCTACCAATGATCTTCCTTTAAAATCATGCAGTTCCACAAAGATTCGAAACACATCCAAGTTAAAAACTGCACTGTGGATTAAGATAAATGAAATAATTATTATTTAAGTTGTACAGGGAGGCAATGAAAATAATGATTAAGACTGATACAAATGAAAAAATACATTTAGGTTTACCTCTCTTGGGACTGACAGATTATTTTCAATTTCACACCAAAACTCCCAGAAATTTTGGGTGAGTGATAAGCTTTTCTTAAAATATTTATGAATGACTCTTGTAAACTCAAGTTTAGTAAAAAATTGCAGAAATTATTAATTTAATCCACTGAAAAGCCTAAAGTTAAAATACTTTCAGTTTCTAAACCTTTCCATTTACATAGGATTTCCTTGTCTCCCCTTAAGAATTACATGTAAACTACCAGCACTTCTTTTGGATTATTATTGACTACTGTATTTCCCTGAATACGCACCCCAGGCACTTATTCAAAATTCCGGCTAAACAGAGGGGTGTTTGTTTAAAGGAGGGCGCTTAATCAAGGAGGAAGCTTATAAAGTTTTTCTTTCAACTAACTGTAATTAAATTTTAGAAAAATCTTTTTGAAACTGGAAACCCAAAGCAATCACTATAACATTATCCGCAGAAACAATGAACATTCATTAAAACAGAAGTCAGTACGCAAGCCTACCCTAGTCCCATTATCCATTTTACACTAATGTATTGGTATGTATGTTTATGTTGATTACCTCATCATCATTGAAATCATCCTCGTCAATGATATACAGGTTGTTGCATTCCTCCTGTATCCCTACTATTTCTAAAAGTCATGTGGAGGGGGAAGAGGGTGCTTCTTTGACATTATGGCCTAGGGGTGGGTGCTTATTCGGGGAAGGGCGCTTATTAGAGTGTGGGTTCTTATTCAAGGAAAAATGGTATATTATAATAAATTGGTCATTTTCTTAGTGGTGTACGAATTACATTGTACCCCTGTAAACCATAACCATGTAGCCTCCAGGTGTTTGCTTTTGCCTTAACATGTACTTTGTTTATAAATAACCATTCTTCTTACTTTTCTCCAAGATAATTTCCAATCATAGTTTTATTTAGGCCTTCTTCATTCATAAGGAACTCAGCAATGTCCTCTGGGGTGTTATTCAGCAAGTTGTTAGAGATCAGGTATTCCAATCCCTGTAAGACAGAAAGACCAAGTCAAAATTAAGTATTAAAATAAGTCACAGGTAACAGCATACAGTCCCAACCTTCACGAGTGACCACCTATCCAAAACATCAAAATTTTCCCAGCCTATAATATTATTAGAACCTCTTGTAAAGGACCAACTTTCATAAACGACCACAACCATGGTATTATTTTTTTCCACTGATTTTAACCTTTTGTAAGTGGACCCTTGATGTACGCTGTGGTCATGTCTAGCACCACTCTTTCACTTAATTATCTAAGCCATTAAATTTCAAAACTACTGTCTTGAATTTCATTTGTATAATTTAAAAAAATCAATCAATCAATCAAAATCTAATAATAATAACATAAAGCATTTATGGAGAAAAATATTAACTACTGACTAATGGGTCCAGTAGTTTTTACCTTATCAGGATCAATGTTGAACTTCTTTTTCCCAGTAGATAACTGCTTAGCCCTTGGGTCTTCTCTAGAACTTTGAAAACAGTTTGTTTCAACAAAGAGATCTTATGTCTTATACACTAAAAGACATACATGTACAGGGTGGTAAGACCACGGGATAAACACATGTACGCTATAGTTTCAATACTTGATTTAAAAAAAATTAAATAAAAAATAATAAAAACAACCAAACCAATGATACGTACTAAAAAGGTATTGCAAATAAAATAAAATCACTTGGTTAGACTTTTCTGCTTTTGTTTGAATGCGAAAACTAGACAAAAAAGTTGTGGTTAATGTTCTTAGTGAGGTCCTCTTAGTGGGGTTACGTATGTCCCTCATCTGAATCTTAAAAACTGTCATTTTGCATATTGAGGAAGAAGCCATGTCGCTGTCGGTATTTGCGCTTTTCTCTGTCACTGTCACAGTTCAACCCATCTTTGTGTAGCTTGTCACCATTTCTGCTGTCCTATGTCACTGTTTCAAGGCCATGTAATGTCGGAATTTACCCTAACAGGGCCTCCTTAGTGTGTATCAAAGGTGACAAACAAAAAATCCATGCAACTTTGACCAAGAGAAAAAAATTGGCCCCAAACTGGACATCATAGGTTCGTTGGCGCCACACCTTCAATTACTAGTCTAACAGTAATTTGCTATCCTTGACAGGTTAACATTTATACTTGTACTACCACAGGCAGACCAAAAAAGCCGTTCAAGGCATTGTGATGCAAAATGTGATCTCATACATTTACTGCATTTTATAACAGCCACTCTCAGCTTTATTCAAGTGATGGGAGAAATGTTTCATCAAATAAAGAGGTTTGCACCTTTTGATTGCAAAAGTCTATGGTAATGTAAAAAAAAGATGAGGTATGTACAACAACTGAAACTATTACCCTGTAGGATTCCTATGGTCTGAGCAGCTTAAAATGTTGTCTTATTCAACTTACCCATTTTCCCTCTGATCCACACTGTCCATTTCTGCAGTAACCTCTGCAATCTCAGCCTTGAGACGCTGTAACAAATTAGTGAAAAATATAGTCAGACAAAGGCAATTAATTAAGCCTTGAAACAACCCACAAAACAAGCTTCAATTACCTAGGTTGCATAGACTTGAGACCTTTACTCTACACTCAAGGGCTGAATTGCTACAAAAAATATGTCCAGTTTCTACAGAGATTTTAATTATTCTGATTTTCATCAAAGAAGAATACAGTTGTTCAGTAACAATAGCATGAGGGTTGAATATGATCAATTGGTCAGAGTAGTTCTAAATATAGTGGTGGATCCAGGAGAGGGGCCGGGGACCCGTCCCACCCCCCCTATTTTTAGACCAAAATGAGGCCAAAGGGCCAAAAAAAATTTTTTTGAGACGGGGGTCCCCCTCTTATCTGAAGGCCTGGATCCACCACTGAAAAAGGAGTGTTGTTGACAGTAACTGATGTTTCAACACCTTGTACAGTGGTCATCTTCAAATTCAAAGTGAGTTGTACAGTATATTGTCAGTTGGTAGTGTACCACTGTTAATTGACCTGTTAATTAAGTTGCAATATTATTTGCTGTCTGTCAGCTAAGCTACTGGCTGTGAAAACTCCAAAAGTGAGTACAAAACTTCTATTTAAATTAACATTTAAGTTATATGGCTCAATACCTGAATTTCATCCAGCAACTCTGACTTTCTTTTCCTTATTTCCGTAAGGAGTGCCTCTTCTTTTGGGGTCAAACCTAAAACACCAGGATTTAAAAGATACAAAATTATATCCATTGTAAGCACTAGAATGATTTAAATGATTTTGGTTTATTAAAGCTACTTTCAAAAATCTGGGAAAAACTTTTGGGGAGAGTGGCATCCACCCCTCCCTCTCTGATAAGTTAGCAGATTAAAGGGATCATGCACTTTTTATAAGTTACCAGGTTTTCTCTAGACATATTTTTATCAGGGGTGACAAATGCTAAGTCCAAGACTGGCTGTGATATACTGAAACTTTTGTTTAAAAATTTGAGACTTTGCAACAACAACTCAAGACTGAGAAAGACACGTTTTACATCTATTTCTGTTAGTCTTATTTTCCAAGAACAATGACTTTGGCTCTACCATTTGCTGAACCCTTTTATAACAAAACGATCAGACCTCATAAATACAAAGGGCAGGGTGTTACATGCATGGTCAGGGTGTAAGCTCAGAAGGCTTAAAGATATAAGAAACTGAGAAAAATCCAATGAAGATTTGCGTTACAGTCAAACCCTGCTTTATAGACACCTGCTTAATACGTACACCTGATTATTGCAGACAGTTTGTTTTGTCCCTGGAGAAAGAAAACCCTTTCATTTTCTCTAATTTCAACCCGCTTAATACAGACACCCTGTTAATACAGACACTTTCTATGGCCCTCTCAGTGTCCACATTAACAGGGTTTGACTATACAGTCAACTCTCCCTAAGAAGGACACCTTTGGGACCAGTACTATGTGTCTGTCTTAGAGAGAAGTCAATCTTATAAAGAGTCAAATAAGGGGAGTAAAGAAAAGCAGGGACCAACTCTAGGTGTCCGACTTATAGAGGTGTCCATTAAGAGAGAGTTGACTGTACTTATTTGAATGCATAATGTTGGCTATCAGAATAAAGCATAACCCTGACATAAAAAAACCTGAACTAGTATTAATCAGAGGTTACAGAGTGTGGGCGACAATGATCGAAGGTCAAAATGCTTGAGCTCCATTGCTATCCTTTGCATTAAGTTCAAGTGACAGTCAAAACACGCGTGATCAGATTACGAGTGACAGAAGGTCCAAACATGTGTAATCAAATTGCGTTCTGTGCATTCCTTCATTCTTAGAAGAAGTTCAGACACATGCAGGCTATATAGGGTACATACATGCGATGCATGCATAATAACAACCTGGAGATTAGGATTGTGGGTGACAAGAGGAGCCCACAACAATAAATTAAACATGCTTCTTCGTTCAACAGCACCTAACACAAAATGACTCCAAACCCCAGTATGAGACCCTCCTTGTCATGGGAATGTTAACCACAAAAATCTCTTACACTTATGGTACAGTAATAAATGCCTTTTTTTTTTCTTTTCAAGAAAGGAGTGAGTAAATAAATCTCTCAATGTGGTCCAAATAATGTTAACTCTTTTAAATCTTCTCTGTTAAAATCTTTCCACTTTCAATTTTGAAACAGTGTCAACCACAAAAACAATGGGTAAAAACATTCAGCTGGGAAAAAAAGGGTAAGCCAAAGAAATTTCGAATGTGGGGTATAATCCAAAGTAAGCATCGATAATAATTATTTATCTTAGATATCAATATGACAAGAATTCTTGAATGTATCGATAGCCAATTTTAAACAAGTATCAATGCAAATTGCAACAAATACTACAATGTTTTCCAGAATTGAAAAGTACATGCCGTACATATAATCTTCTTCCAAAAGAATTTCCTTAGTCTATATATAAATAGTTGTAAACTTAATAGCCGCGAAAAACCTCATATTTTGTGTGTGGAATGCCACATGAGCGAAGTATGAAGAGGGGTTGGCTATTTTCAGCAAGCCTCACTAACTGAGTTTCAACAGCAAATTTGCGGTAAATCTTACCCCCTTTTTTACACTTACATTAGTGTATTTAATAAGCACTTTTTCGGAAAACAGTCTCAACATTAAAAAAAGAAAAAAGCGCGATAACAACCCCTTACTTCCTGCAATCATCGTGAGACAAAACTTGTGCATGCCAGAACATCGAAAATTAATAGGCTCACCGTTCATTTCCTTGGTGGACTCCATTCTTTCTGGAACCATCACCGTCGACATAGCGTTTTGCTTCCCAAATACAATGACTTATAAAGTTCAGATTCTCTCTCTGGAAGACCAAATTGTAATCTATTCCAAGCACTTCCGACGAACAACCCCTACTTGAGCGCCATCTTGTTTGTCAATTTTTGCACTGACTTGTTCCCAGGCCATAATGCAGAGTGAGGGCGATTTCCTGCATCGTAGCCGGAAGACCCAATGGCGTTCTGTGTAAAGGACCACCCGCGCACAACCAGTGGAATGTTGGGGAAAACAAGGGGATGGATGGGTTTCTGTGTCCCTGGAGAGGGGAAAATTGACGACATTGTTTTAACTTCAAAGCAAAGGGGTCCAGGAATTCAAAATTTTGTGGTCTTTGTTAACAGTGTTGTATACGCAGACTATCATTAAAAGTCCGCTCATTCAAATAAATCCCATAAGGAAGATATCAGGGGAAGTTTTCATTGAGAAGAACTATGGAAGGGGACTTTGTCTAGTCAAATTGGCCCACTCCCCGGGGGAAATTGTTAACTTTACTTCACCTATTTTATGGCAATCCCCCTAATTGGCCTTGGGTCCTATCCCTAGGGGAATTCAATGACTTGTGCATAACACAAGTCTGAAATGTCATACAACTCTTCGCCCCACTCACCATAACATTTGTTTCCATTCAAAAATAAGTGCATGCAAAATTACTGTAAGGAGGTGGGCGGAAACATACCTCCCTCCCCTTTATGTTGGCGGGAGTCGGCTCTTGCTGGGGGTGGGGAGGGGGGAGGACTTTCCGTGTCTAGCTTTGGTGTTTTGAGTTTTTATACAAATCAAAATAGCATAGTCGGGTGTTGTCCAGCTGAGTAGTGAAGATCATATAAATGCACTGATGCATTTGGCTGTTACTGTGAAACTTTTATACATTTAAGACATCTAGTCCAAACAAAGGATTGTCACTGCATGCTGCTCTCTAGCAACACCAAAATCACCACACTGTTTAGCAACAGTTGCACTCACTTACTGTGCAGCTACAGTTTAGAGTCCCTAATTTAACAGGGGTGTAGCTACCTGTACACACATGCATACCTGAAAAGTGCGATGGTAAAAAATGTAATGATAAATAAAATAAATAAAAAGATAATGATAATAATTAAAAAACATTCAAATAGAGCACAATAATAATTACTTTAAAAAGCAAAGTCTTCTCGTTTCTTTAAATGATGTTTTTCCAAAACAAGAAGCTTTTTTCACACCCAGAAGTCAGTTTTTAGCAAAGTGAAGTGATTCATTAAATTAATGATATATTTAGAAAAAATTAGGTACACAGATGGGAAGCTGAAGTTATGATACCTCGGCCACACCCTAAAGACTTGGAAAAGACTTGGGATCAGTGAGACCTTAAGGAGGGGGGAGGGGGTGCAGGAATTGTAAAATACTGTTTGTACCTCTGGAAAAATCCTGCCTATACCCCAGGGAACAAAAAAAGGCTAAGTGTCTAAATGCACTAGACAAGGGTGAATTCCTTTAGGATGTGTTAAAATCATTTGTGTAGATTCACCAAAATAATGCTCACTCTCTTGCAAAGTATAATGACATATTACTTAATCCTCTCTGGCCAACTATGAAATTAACTTCAAGGTATCTGGATATTAAATGAAACTTTCAAAGTGCTGTTATCTATTAAGAGCCCTCCTTCCAACGAGTACTGTACAGTACCGCAATTGATCCCCAGCCGCAAATGATCCTGAGACCGCAAATGATCCCCAAAATGGACCGCAAATGATCCTCGACCGCAAGTGATCCCCAAAGTCGACCGCAAATGATCCCGAAAGAAAAATAGGAATGGCTTAGACTCGAATTAGCGGATCGTCGTGACAATTTTATTATTAATACAAAAAGTAAGATTAAACGCTAAATTTCAGTTCTTAAATAAATACGTATATTCATGAATAAAAACTAAATGAAAAAAATCATTCAAGTGTAAAACGAAGTCGGTAGGCAACACACGACTTTTAGCTCATGCCAAAATGCTGCTTGTTCCAATGAATTTTTTTCTCTGGCGGGTAGATTATACCTGAAGGAAAACGTTTTGACTGAGCAAATGTGATTTTTGCCGCTTATTTCATACTGAGAGGTCATGACACGCATTTTCTGCGGTTATTGTTGTTTGTGGTCGGCTTGATTTGCTGGATTTGTCCTTTAATGCAAGAGCATTTCTTTCACCTCTTTTGAAATGCAATGCTTCTCATTCCAGCTAAATAAGGGTTTAAGGTTGTTTGATTTTCTTTAAAGTGCCTCATGGATCCGAACAATTATAAGCGACTTTCTTTTAGTCCGTGAATGTGACGGTTCCTACGATGTTTTGTCACGCGATAACTACCGCTTGCCTCGCTTTTGCTTTCCTCATTACCAGGTTTAGATTCCTGGTAACTGTCTACAGCAAAGGCAAAAAAATGGATATGCATATAAGCGTCAATATAACTATTCACAACATGTTCATGAGCTGTAGGCAAGTTGCTCTTTCAAAATAAATCGAAAACTGTGGACATTGATAAGTTCGGTGGCATTTTGACGTGTGTTTATTTCAAATCATGTCTTGTTTTTTAACGGGCACTCCCAGGCCTGGGGCACTCATAAGTTACGAACCAATGTCCTGCTGTTTATCACGTAAAATTAACACTTCAGAGAAAAATCAAAACTAAATATTCTGAAAATTAATTCGACGCTTCTAAAAGGATCAGTAAAGTCAATAAAGCTCTTGTTATGTAGAGGGTGCCCGGCTTTGTATTCCTCAGTAGACAAGTTGAGCTTGCGCGTTAAAATAGAGTTTTTTCTGCTTAACGTCCTGCCTGTCTTAAATTTTCAGGGAAGAAACAGTTCTTAAAAGAAAATTGAAGCAATTGACAAAGGAAGAAGTATACGGTTGATACCATATCATTTTCAGATTTATTCTACTTTTTTTTTCGCCTTGTATAAATTGACCTGAGATGTAGCGTCCTCCTTCCCTTTTTCTTTAGAAGGCTAGAGAAAAAGGTTCCTTTTTTTATAATTAGTCCTTTTTTGTAATCAGTCCCATAAAATCCATTCCATTCCTCAAGTTTTCACGGGATCATTTGCGGTCAACTTTGGGGATCACTTGCGGTCGAGGATCATTTGCGGTCCATTTTGGGGATCATTTGCGGTCTCGGGATCATTTGCGGTTGGGGATCATTTGCGGTACTGTACAGTACCCTTCCTTTTAGACAAGTTTTTAAATAACCACGTTCAATAGAGGAAATGCAGACCGTATTTATAGTCTTATGATTCATCTGTTACTTCAGGCATCCAGTAAAACGTTTAAATGTTCAACTTGTATTTTTTTTATTATAAACTCTGTGATTAACAGCTGGGCTGCTCACAATAACATTGAAAAGGAACAACAAAAGACTTTTATAAACACAACTCTGCAAAATACAAATGATCTATTGATATCAATCAACTTAGTTTCTCCCTCCAACCCAAAAACTGATACCATTATTTACTTATTTACACTTATTAACATGATTTGAAATGCATAACATAATAAATAGCACTTTTTTCTCTCTCTCATATTTACTCACACTTTACTGTTGGTTCTCTTTTTTTTATGAAACTTACAAATACCAACAATAATATTTAAATCTAAAGCCATCTTTCCAAGTTCTCCATGAGAAAAAATGCCAAGACTCCAGACATTTTACGTTTTAAGCCTTCAGGATAACCATGACTTTGAGAATGTTCAAATAGCTGAATTAACATTTAAAGTTCTCCTAGTTTCTAATTTCAACAAGATTTTCACCAAACAGAAAGAATAATAGCAACAGTCATTTAGAAGCAGTTACGCCATTCTATGGTCTTTGATAAGCTCTGTTGAGTTTTTTTGTAAAATAAAAGCAACTTAAAACAGTGTGTAATTAATGTGTCTGTGTCAGCTCCTTTTTGATGGTAAATGAACCTTCACCACCCAGTCTAGTTCATTACAAAGATGTCGCCTCACCCCTGGGGGGATGGGCAGACTCTCCACTGCTTTAAGATTTGGAAGGCATTTACCAATGGTGGCACAACAAAGATATTGTAGAGAAAAAGACATGGAAGAACTGCGTTGCAGCTTCATCTTTGTTCTTGCCGCAGTTGAAGAAACAACAGGAAATAGGGTTTTGCCAGTAAGGTTTGAAGCAGCCACTCCTAGTGGCTCATCGTCTTTAAAGAAAGATAACTTGCCATGCCAGGCATCCAAATGGATACCAATTACTGAACCATGGTCAAATCTTGAAGTATAGTTATGGGATTTTCCTTTATGATGAAAATTTCCAATGTAGGATAACCCCCAACTGTTACTGTCCTTGCCAATGAGGCTACAGAAGGAGGTTTTATACTGAGTGATGTCCATGTCTCTTGTGCATACTCCCAGCATCTGGTTAAAATGCATAAAAAAAATTAATGAATTAACTATATTCACATACAGATCCATGTAAATGCAGTCACCTAGTTGTATGGTATGTCATTTATGTCAAAATTCTGTATCAGTCAAATGGTATAAATCTTAATTCCCAACAAAAAACAACAGAGATCACTACCATGATGGATATTTGGATACGAAACGTTGACTTATGAGAAAACAACTCTTCAAATTATTTACCACTTTTTTGAAAGTCTCTGTGGAGCTAAATATCTCTAAAAAAACGTATACTAAGCAATAGCCTGGCTTCTCCTGGATTACAAAAAGGAGATGTCTTAATAAGTGCAGAATCTTATCTATGTAATGAAGAAATAAAGGATACAATATCTAGTTCTTCTGTCAACTGTAAGTCCATGCAGCACAAAGAGCATCACTGTTTGAAGAATGTAGCTTGTTGAGAGTGAATGTCATTATTGCAAGCATTCTGTGTTAGGTACATCAAGTTTGTCAATGTCAACAGGTATGTCAGTCTGTTCAGTACAATACTTTTGTCACTGTCCTGATTGCTCTGGAGTTGTCCAACAAAAAAAGTCACTAATGGAGTTGCAGGGTGAAAGCAAGAGCCCACCAAACAAACTGTGCCAGCTAGTTGTCTTGATTGTAGCAGGTCTTTTAAGAGTCACTTTGGTAAATTATAACCAAATCCAGAACTGACTACCATGTCTGTTTAATCCGTCTGTTTCTGTCTCTGTCAGATGGTTTTAAAACAATCTGTCATATGTCACCTACCATGTCAGTACCATAGACAGCACTGGTCATCTTAATCTCCCAATAGTATTCTCCCCCTGGTGTAAGGGGCTGTGAGCCTTTAGCTGCTGCAGTTCCACAGCTGTAATCTGGGTGAAACAGCACCTCTTTATTGCCTCTTGTGAGGCATACTGATGACGAAAGTGTTTCAGGATCCCATTTCCATTCACAATCTGCAAAATAATGTAGCACAAAGGGAAATTAAGCTTTATTCTACAGGCACAACTAAACTGCTGCATGGAATAAGTTTGAACTTATTAATGTAAATTCCTTAAACACACTTTTGCAAACAAACAGGACAGCATCCAAACTATTCCCTTCAGTCAATACTACAATAAGTCAACTTCAGTACAAGTAATATGTTCAATTTAAATAATTTTTTTTTAAGCAGCTACAATTTCCGTAACCTTTTCATGCTTGCGAAACAAGTAACAAACTCTACAGTATTTAGCATTTCTATGGCAATAGTTTGGTTACCATTTCAAGTTAAAAAGTAGTAGAATAATATGAAGGTACAACACATAACAGCAAAGAGCAATATATGAGATTAATTTTACATAATCGATAAGCATAATTTACATTTTCATACAATTTGTTTTTTAACTCGTTATCACGAATCAAGATATCAAAACCCAAACTGGAACAAAATAACTTAACGAACAAAATTATTAAATTTGAGCATCTCATACCATACAAGTTATACCTAAGTTTGAGGCCTATCTTCCTTTTTTATCAAGACTTGTAAAAGTCTCAACTGGAGAAGGAAGAACAACCACTTATCTCAGTTGCCGCTGTATGGACTGTGTGTATCAACAGGTTGCCAAAACAAATAATGGAAATATCAATTTTACTCTTCAAAAAAATTCTGACGGAATTAAGTTGGTTGGCTAGTCCAATCTAATTATTTCGCCAAATAGCTGCAGCCAATACAATGGCAAATGAAGCTAAAGGACTCTATGAATGTGTAAAATGACAGAAACACAAAAAACTTACAAGACAGTACCACGAGAACACTGCACAAACAATATGAATGAACACAACCACAACACTGACATTAAACAACAAAGTCAGTTCAGGATCGTATGCACTTTACCTCGATACCTCAAAAACACTTCCTTTTTCATCAAGACTTGCGCCTTGACATGGAGAAGGAAGTTCAACCATTAGAAGGCCAACAAGTGCGTTTAACTGTACATCTCCCATGTGCAGCTGAAATATAATAATATGCCAGGCCTTAACTTTGATTTTTCTGTTATCAACACAGTGCATTAACAGTCTTTATCCTAGGGGTTGTGAGCTGGTTTTGGATCATTTGCCCATTAGGTTATTTCTTTTCTCCCTCGGTTCTATTGAAAAAAGGTAAAACTGTAAAGTCTTGACCACGCAAGCTTATTTAAACATCAAATTTAAGAAATTCTTTCATTCCATCAAAAATTTTTCCCTTCTCCTGGTGTCAATGCTAAATAACGTTAAATATATGCAAGTGTGGTTAAATTTGAGGGTTTTTTTTACAAAGCCATGAAACAAGCAGATATGTGGTACAAAAAGAATAGTCTCCAGGAATAACTTGAGACAGATATCCTTGATAATACAGGCCCAGTAAGGGTAAAATCCCTACAGGTGACATGGCCTTGAAGCAGCAACATTGACAAATTACACCGTGAGCTTAAGCAATGAGAACGCTGACATCCCAGACATTATGAATAGCAACCACAAGTTCGATGTCTCGCTTGATGGAACACTTTTATCCCACATGACGAATTTAACAGTCTTTGTTTTAACTCCCAATGTACGAATTTGTCGAGTCAACACTAAAAGAGAGAAAATATCAACTTCTGGTTGCCCGGCCATTTTTGACATCCAGGACGTCAATGTTCTTGTTGCTTAAGCAGGGTACAAAGAAAGTCAGTTTTACAGCCTGCAATTCGGGCAAGCTGTAGCTAGCAAATACTAGCTCACAAGTCATTTCAATTAGCTCTATTATACTACTACATGAGAAATTTCTGCAATTTGATTGGCTTAGAGCAGTGGTATTTCAGCTCAATTTGAAATACCTGCATGTGAAAATTACAACCTTTTGCGGGTAGTAGTATAAACAATTAATAGCATGATTTGTAGGTGATATTTGGCATAAATACCACTTGTGATATTTCAAAATTGTCTCAAATTTCACTCGCCTTGTAACAATTTTGAAATATCACTCGTGGTATTTATGCCAAATATCACTACTAATCATGCTATTACCTATACAAACCCTTTTTGATTAACAGGATTGTTTACAATCCATTTGAATTTCCTCAAAAAAACAGCACTTGCAAGTCGAGTGTTAAGAACAAAAATCACTAGCCAAAAAACAAAATCCACTAGCCCCGGGTTATCGAAACAAACACAACAGTAATATACTGACAGGAACATGGCTTTCTCCTCGGTATGCCAAATGAATGGTTTTGAAATTCAGACTGGGAACATTTGTACCCCTCTGAGAGGGTGAAGACATTTTATAATAATATTGAAAACAAGCAATAGAGTATAGCCATTTCAAATATCTCAAATCTTCACATTTTTGTCGAGTGGCTGTTTTCAAGCCAGTGGCAATAGATTACACATCGGCAAACACTCCAAGCGTGCCAATAAAAAATTATTTCCTTGAAACAAAAATATGTCAAAAATTTAAAATTCAGCTGAACCAAGCCGCACAGAAATTCAAAATTTCGGCTTTCTGAGCGACTCAATGCGAAGACCATAAATATTGACATGTCTATAAATTTGTATTAAAGGATTATGTGTTATGATTGTCAGAGCGGATCGCGCATATCGACAGAAGCCGGTAAACATCCACCTCTAATAACAAGCTGGTAGTGACGAACCTCGCCCAAAGAGTTTTCAGTGCACGCACCGAAGAAAACGAAATTTTACGTTTTTGGGCACGAAACTGGAAAGCGTATATTGCCACAAGACGATCACGTGAAGGAATAAAATCTGGTAATTGAACAATATCATTTCCAAAAGCTTCAGCACGAACGACAAGAGAAAACATGCACAATTCAGCGTTTTCATGCCGACCGGACAGGAAACTGCATGAAAAACTGTTTTCTCCTTTTTACACAAGGGAAAATTTACTACGAAAATACGAAAAAACCTTTAAAAAAACTCTTGCTTTAAAAGAATTTTACGGGCTTTTCTAATTCTATATTGAAAGGATCTTTGAGGGAAGCAGCTGGTTTTTTTTTTCCATATATAGCCGTTTAGCTTTGCATATGCAAATCTTGTCGTTTCGTGTTTGTGACGGTACAAAGTTCGTTTTCCTCGACAAGAGCGCTATAAAGCTCAATTAAAATACACTCAATCATTTGTGCTTCAACTGAGAGGCCAAAATAATTTCAACGTACACACAAAAAAGATTTGGATAGTGAAGAATGAAACGGACAAAAACGCTGAGTTCGACATATTTAATTTTCATTACCCAATGTTTGCTTTCATGCATGCAAAGATCCACGTTTTACCTTTCGATCCAAAACCTCCGCGACCAGCTTTTGGTTGGTATAAAACTATCCATAAACACAACTAAGAAATCATACCTTTATGATATTCTTCCATTTCATGGTCCGATCCTGAATCACTGAGGCATTCTTCAACCTCCATGGGCTCGTCTTCGGTTTCCCGGTCTGGGTAGCCGAAAATGCGCGCCAGAAGTTCGCGCTGTGAAAGTCGCGAGTTTTCCAACGGATGCGCGTAATAACTTGTGTGGACTAAGGCCATAAATGAGTTCCCAACCGGTTAAGCCTTTAAGAAAAAGCTTTTTCCAATTTCAAGTGAAAATAAAAAAACAACCTTCTTCTTCGTTAGCTTTGCTCAAACTGAGTTTTGTTGTTTACGTCAAAAATTAATACTCTTACTTGGTTATCTGCTGTCCTTCCCCTGTTATCGCGGGCTCGTCGCAGCACTTAATACAACATTTTTAAAAATCGTTTCATGACAAATAATTATATATTTATGAAGAATTGAAAATTCAACGTTACACAGAAAAAAGGCATAAATTTCTAGTTATAAATTTCAAATGAAGTGTAAAGAATTTTATCTAAAAAGGAAAACGTGGGGCACGATGAAGTAGAAGACGTACGATATTGCGTCAGCATCCGGGTGCGGTGAAGCGAAGCGCGCGAGAGTGCACGATACGCGAACTTTTGGTGAACTCTTTCGTAAGAGGAAGTTTTTGGAAGCCTCAGCAAAAAAATACGTTCACCGAATACGTGCCTGCAGATAAATTATTGGACGATTTCGTAATCTGATTGAACATTTAAGAGTTGTAATCCCAGGGCATAAGTTTATAAACTTGCCGAGAGCTACAAAATGACGTTAAAACCGCAACCAATGAATTCGGGTAGGGCTACCCGCCCTAGACAAAGGTTTGAATCACAAAAAACACAGAAGTAGTATTGATTGCAGAAAACAAGTGTCCTTTAATAAGGTGAAGAAGATCAAAAACAAAAAACCTTAATAACCAGCTTCACGCCGACGGCTTTGCACAAAAAATGGGGAATGCTTTATGGTATTTTTTTACTTATCATTTCTTTATTAAAAAACAAAGTAAAAAATAAATCCTTGGTTTTACAGATATTTATTGAACAGAGATGCGCAAATTCACCGTGATCAACTCTTGATCATTTTGTTTTAACCCACCCTCTACACACCCTGGTCCCGCCCCCAAACTTGTAATCATGCATGGTCTCATGTGTATAAAACTAGATTGACCGCTTTCCGTTGGTCTCCCTAGCAGCCGTTTTCTAGTGTCCTCACGCAACGCTCCTTGCGTATCTCTCTGGTGGCCCTCGTTGCATTTCTGTACAGTGCAAAAGTTACAAAGCCTTTTCAAATTTCCTCGCTAGAATTTAAAATTGTTCATCACTATTGGAAACACCAGTGAAAACATATGAAAACGTTTGTCGGCGTCATGTGGCACTGCCACGACCGCTCAGGAGTATCGGTGCGTAATATGATACAAGAAAGGGGCGGGGGGGGATCGTAAGGGAAGAGTGGGTGGGGCAGTGCTGCCAAGGCTTAAACAAACATGTACACCACCAAAGTAGACGCCCCGTTCACGGCTTCTGGTCCAGAAAGACACCCTGTTCAAGACGCCGAATAGGGAAATAGCATATTGAACCGACCTAGTTAAAGATTTGACTCGGAACCCCCAAAACCAGACTCTTTTCTGCGGCACATACCCTTGGAGGCCAAATAAGTGAATTCCCCGGGGTTGCTACTGCCGGAGTCACGTATCTTTGTTTTGATGTTTTGATCTAGTATTTACGTCTTCGCAGTGTTTACAAAAAATCAAGCCTTTCCGGTTTTGCGGGCTTCTATGTAGCCAATCAAATACGCTTATTGCTGGTCACGAGATCTCATCCGGTTCAAAATGTTTATGTCGCTCAAAACAAGTGAGGGAGATATATGTGCTTCAAAACACGCATTTTGGATAGTTTAAGTCGTGGTTTAAAAGCTCTCAAAAAACTTGAACCTAGATTCTTTCAGCGAATTAACAGTAAGCGTAAGTTTGGAGAGATATCCTTCTCGTGACTCGATATATAGCAAAAGTGCAAAACCTGTTCGATTTTTACGATAGGAAGTTATTGCGTACAAGCATACAACTGTAGGTTGTGGAAAGTCCTACATCAGACTCAAGTTTTTATCCCCGCAGTACAAAATGGGTAAGCAATGCAGGTTACTTTTACATCTTTCACTTTCCAATGTCATTCTCACACTGCCCTTTGCATCGAAAGATGTCAACCATATTGCTTTGTTTGCGTTTGTGCGTTTGATATGAAGCTTATATCTGACTTTTAAAGCCCTTGTATAACTTGATCTGGAAAAAAACATTGTAATAATTTCTGTGCAATTCTTCACCTTAACATACTCAAAATGAAATAGGTTCGGCGTTAAGGGGAATAAAGGAAACCGTAAGGAAAAGCTATACTTCCAACCGTTCGAGATTTAAAAAAAAAACATACTCTAATGCACATATTACCGTCATTGTCTTTTGTACAGCTCGTTCTAAATAGCGGTCAGTATTTTTAAAGCTTGAACGAACAACAATAACTCTTTTCTTTGTTATTAACACAATTTGTACTGAACTTCAAATCGTGGCCGTGGTCAAAGTTTTCGAACTTATCAAAGGGTTCGCAGCGATTTGTTTAAAAGTTCCAGGTTGATGATCCTATTAAAGGTGAACTAATGAACCTCAGAGTTTCTGCGAGCTGTCAGAGTTTGATTATAGATTTAGCTCACTGTTGTTGCGTCCCTTCCGAGGGAGAAAACGTCAATCTTTTTAATAAGTTAATGGCGAAAAGAAGGATCCTATTCAATTCCTGTCTACCCTCCCTTAAGTAATCTAACATATACATAGATATACCGGGTTGATTATTTTATCTCTGTTAGCTTAGTTATTACTTATGGAATTCACTAGCTGTTAGTTAAGAAATTAAACTTAAGGCCTGGCATATTATTATATTTCAGCTGCACATGGGAGATGTACAGTTAAACGCACTTGTTGGTCTTCTAATGGTTGAACTTCCTTCTCCATGTCAAGGCGCAAGTCTTGATGAAAAAGGAAGTGTTTTTGAGGTGTTGAGGTAAAGTGCATACAATCCTGAACTGACTTTGTTGTTAAATGTCAGTGTTGTGGTTGTACTTAAGTGGTCTGACAGATCTGCAGGCAGATCAATACCCTGTACTAACTGAGTTCAGGGTCCATGTTGTAAGTAATGAGGACCAAGTTTTTTGCCCAGATTTATAGCCCAAGTATAAGGTAAAAGACCATAAATCTGAGCACAAATAACAAGGTTCCCAAACTTACAGTTGGGACCAAGAAAACAAGGTTGGTAATTAAGATATTCATCATATTTGTGGGTTGAGAGGTGAAGATTTCAATGCAAACAGAACAGCCATTGATGAATTACTTGCAGAAAATCCTCTTCAAAGGGAAATTTTATTAGCTTGTATAATCATCACTCTTAGAGGCCAAATCAAAACATACCTTTTAAAAACTAGAAGAAGCTAACAGTTTTTGCAAAGTTTCTTGCCGTGAATCAGCCCACAACAAATTTTGAATTTAGTGGTCTATCAAGTGAAATACAGCCTACCATTACTTTAACATTTACGACAGTTATTACTTGTCTTGTGGAACAATGCAACTGCAAGATTGAGTCAATCAACAGAATGGCTGATTGGAATATTGTTTCATTTTATTACAGGAATTCTTTCCAACCAACAAAGTACAAACCCAGCCTCCTTCCACTCTTGGTCTGATACATACCATGAACCGTGGGTGTGGAGCAGTGAAGACAAGTCACCATCAGTGTACCTTTGCTTAAATAACAAAGTTGCATGCTTTTACATTGATCCAGTGATTGAGAGCACAGGAACAGCTGGTGTCCGTGGTACTAAAGCTTTCACACATGGGCAACATTACTGGGAAGTCAAGCTAAGCTCTGTCTTTGGCACATCAATCATGATTGGTGTGGGGACAAAGGAAGCTGTGCTTCAAACTAATGACTACGAATTTGTGGATCTGATTGGAAGGGATGATCAAAGTTGGGGATTATCTTATAAAGGAAAGGTTTGGCACAATGGCCAGGCGCGACGATACTGTGAACCCTTTTACGACTCTACCGTCATCGGCGTATTACTTGATATGGATGCGGGCATTCTGTCATACTTTATGAATGGAAGACCATTAGGAGTTGCCTTTACTGGACTGTGTGACAAAGCATGTGAGCTGTACCCAATAATTTCATCTACGTCAACTCTTTCTGAGATAGAGCTTTGTGACAGCACTTGTAGGTATGTGTCGTTGCAGGACCAATGTCGTATGACAATATCCAAACTTGTCAAGAAGGACAAAATAGACTTTCTTCCCCTTCCTAGAGGTATATGTCAGTCTCTGAAAGGGATTTAGTTAGTCCATGTATTATTTCTGATTGTATTATCTGCTGTACATAAATTTGTAAATGACTTGTACACGAAAATTGTAATAAGCATTAGCAAAATGGTTTATACGTGTATGATGCTGACATTTCACATTACTTTGTTGTCACTAAAGGAGTAAAATGTTTTATTTGTTTGAGGTTTCATTATGTGTAAAAAAATTCATGCAGTTAGTGAAAGAAAAACACAACTGGTCACATTTTTTGAGGCTTGAGTTATTTTCTATTTTTTTTTCAAGGGAATTTCGTATGTTTGTTTGAAAAGTTCAAAATCTGGGATAACCAGCCTGCACCAGTTGTTCAAAAGGTGGATAGTGCTATCCACCTGATGATTCACTATCCACTGGTTAATGCAATAATAATATATTTATTGGTTTCCTAAATATTTATCTACTGGATAGTGATTTATCTGGTGGTTAGCGCTATTCATTTTTTGAGCGACTGGGGCCAGATAGTAAATTATTAAATCTTCCCTATTTGTCTTTGGTACTTTTTGGATGTGTTACCTTTGTTTTTGAAATATGTTAATGTGTTTTCAGTAGGTAGTTAATTATTCATTAGAGTCAATTAAAAGTTGTTGAGTTTGTACTGTATAAGATTAGCATGGTACTACTTTATTACTTAATAAATACAACCATATCATTATTAATTGGAAAAAGACTAAAATAGCTACTGGTAGTAATTTATTATGTAAATAAATATTTGATCTCACACAATTGCAATGAAAACTGTATAATACAAAAGGAAAAGAAATATTTGAATAAAAAGATCCTGTTTTCCTGAATTCTTGTGTTTAAAGCCCTTTCTGTAAAGTCCCAAGAGTGACCAATATCAATTTTCTCCTAAAAACATCTATTCTTCATACAGAGAAAACATAATGAGAATGATCACCAATGGAAAATGCTTTGATCTTTTATCAACTTCTCTCCACTAATTCCTTGAGGAGTTACATATGGAAAATATCCATACATTGTCAACAGATAAGTTATGAGAATTAATAAAATGATCACGCAAGTTAAAAATGCCTTGATCTTTTATCAAATTCTCTCAACTCATTCTTTAAGGAAATGTATGGAGATCAGTTTGGAGAATTTGTATGTGGATACTGGGGCTTAAAGGGTTAAGATAGCATAGAGATCCTTAGTGCCTTTAACCATACAAAAAAATAATCTCGTAGAGTTATGAAGAGGATTTATTGGTGATTTTTGCAGTTTCAAATTGTGTAAATCCATTTTTGCCATCTGTGGCAAAAAATGATAGGAAATGGTTTCAGTGCCTAAGATTGTGTAAAATAACAAACCTGGATCATTATTTTTGGAATTCAGTTGATGTGTAGAAAAAAAGATAGCAAGAGGTAGCAAAATAATAGCATGACAAAGTCCTTTTAAATATTTAGGATCTCTTTTGTTTTTGATGGAATGCAATTGTCTGTGCTTTTTTGTATGCCACACTATTTCTGAGAAACATAAGAGACTACACAATCTCATCAGTAGTCACTTCTAACTGCTTTCTAAATTTTACCAAATTATTTCAAAAATCCAAACATACAAGTCAACATAAGACTGATGATTTTATTTGTTCCAACAGAGAATAACAATGATATTGATGATTATGTGAATGTGAACTAACCTGCATCCAGACATAATTCCAGCTGGCACTCCTTTCCACCAAAGTTACTATCAAACACAGACACAGCTGGAAACACATTTACATTTGCAGGTTTTTCTACAAAATAAACAACTGCTAATGTTTTTGAACAATAAATGTTTTGGTGAGTGGCATCAAAGCAAGATGCAGCACAAATCTGATTGTGCTACAGTACTTGGTGCTTGTCTTACAGCTTCTGACACTTTCTGGGCATCTCTACTTGCAGATGTCACCTCTCTTATTAGGTCCGGATCATTGAATCCTGAATGAACAAAAAAGAGACAGGATTATTATTTCATGTCTGTAGCAATAATATTGTTTTGTTTCCTTTTATCATTTCTCAGTCCAAAATTGAAAAAAATTAATCTTAACTATATTAGTGAAATTTCTATATCAAAATTGTCTGTAAAATAATCATAATTTAATAAAGGATATTACTTGACCACGACAAAGGAAATTTCATATCTCGAAGCGGTCCTGCTCAGCCTATTGATTATATAAACACCAATGAAATACCAAGAAACCATATTTTCACTTTAGTATGTTTTGCTGCAGAAGGCCTGATTTATTTTGTAACAACAGCAAAAAGGTGATCTCACTGTGAAGATATCTTTTCAAGCAGTGTTTCATAGGTGTTGATCTAATAATGATGCAATAAAAAAATATTCTAAGAGGAGGCCTCCAATCATCTAACGGTGGTTTTTAGGAGGATCCTCTAGACTAAAGGTCAAAATACATTAAAATACTGTAAAATTCCGAAAATAAGCCCCTCCACGTATAATTCTCTCCAAATATAAGCCACCCAAACCTGTAACGCGGAAAACCCTCCGTTAAATTGCCCCTCCGAATATGAGCCTCCCGGGGGGCTTGTACTTGGAAATTGCCCTCAAGTACAAAGTAAAACAAACAAAAACTGTAAATTTCCTTCCAGGAATAAGGCTAGCCCAATCATTTTGAAACGCAAATTTTCCTCCGTACATAAGCCCCTCAAAAATTAAAGGGCCTTTGAAAAATATAAGCCCCAGGACTTATTTTCGGAATTTTACGCCATAACTAAAATACAGCTAAAAACTAATAATACAACTAAGGTTTAAGTTAAAAATCCTAAGGTTAATTATTTTATAAAAACTTTTTAGTTAGTGTTTGAAAATCGTTGAAAATCATTTAAAACTAAGATAAAAATACTTAACTACAGTTCAAAATGGTTCATTAAAAACTGTTTCAGTTTGTATTTTAAAATCATTTTTGACGTCAGTCTCTTAAGCTCGCTCGGCAGTAAAGTCCAATTGTTAATTGCTTTATAATTTGTTTTGCTCCTGCCCAATTCTGTTCTCGGCCAACTGACTTTGAGCATGTAACCATTTCAAGTATTATAGAATTGAACACATCAAAATGTTTGTGGATGTTTCCCTTCAATAATAAATAATAATATCTCATATTAAAAAATCAGCCACACTGTATATTAGAATTAATACTCTTATTTTTGCCTCATCTTATGTACCCTAGCTTGTAAATCCTTCACTAAACTGTGAGAAGTAGGTTAGTTGTGAACAAACATTAAAATTGAAGTGATGAATATAAGAATAATTATATATACTGGAACTAAGGAATGAAAAAATAAATGCAATGAATATCATCGCACTTAAAGATGTAACTTTTGCAGTTGTGAAAAGAAAGCCTGAAAAATTAAAAAAAAAACTCATCTCCATCTTTCCCGCATATATTACAAACCAACTGAATGACCAACTCCAAGTTGGCTAGCTAGCTCAGTTGCGATAGCACTGCACCGGTAGCACAGAGGTCAGAGCTAGAACCCTGCCAAGAATGAATTTTTTCACACTGTCATTTCACAACACAAAAGTTGTATCTTTATAAAGCAAAGATTTCCTTTGCATTTATTTACACATCAAAATTGAGGTTTTTTCTACTGTCACTGGTAAGTGAAATACAAAGGAACCAACCATAAAGTCATACAACAACGTTTCACAGTTTCTGAATTTTGGAAACTCTGACCTGCTTCTCTCCTTTCTTTTTCCAGCAATTTGTCTTCCTCCACATACCTGACAAAATCAAACAAGCACTTTAAGGTGGCCCAAGCCTATTTATGTGCATGTTGGTCATGTTTTTTAATTTCATTTTTCAGCAGGAATGATTTAACTGATTTCTAAGTTTTTTTGTATCCTCAATAAAGAATGCTGGAACTTTAAGAATGTTATTTATTTTCTTGTAGGAATAAAGACGTTTGAGATATTGGCATATTTTTACAAAAAAAGTAAATAACTTAGAGAGTTCTAAGCCTTAGAACTCTCGAGTAGTTTTAAACCCGCAAGTTTGAAGTCAATCATGACCATACAACTTGCTGCATGTAAAAATGCCAATATCTCAAAATTTTTTATTCCTACAAAAAAACAAATTAATAACATTTTCTTGAAGTTCCACAATTCTTTATTTAGGATGCTAAAAACCATAGAAATCCGTTAAACCGTTCCTGCTGAAAAACGAGATTCAGAAACATAACCAACATGCATATCAATAGGTTTGGTTTTTCAGGGTGTTATGAAAGAACAACTCCGAAAAAGCCTGCTTTCCAAAAACTAGCATTGTGGGGCAAATTGTTGCAGAGATATTAGTCCCGTTTTGCTCTGATGACTCCATACAATTCCTTCTAAATTTGACTCGGTTCCTGACACGAACTGAGTCAAATTTAGACAGATTTGTGGGGAGTCAACAGATCATAACTAGGCTAATATCTCAAAGACAATTTGCCCTGGAATGCTAATTTTTGGAAAGCAGGCTTTTTCGGCATTGTTCTTTCATAACACCCTGAAAAACCACATTATTTTGCAAATTTAATTTTTTATGACGGACTCAGACACCCAGACACTTTGCAAAGGTTAAAAAGGCAAATTATAAAATTCGGTAAATATTCTGCCACAATTCACCTTAATTTCAAAGAGTCACTGTTAATTATATCCATTTAAGAATGCAATATAACAAGGAAACAAAGAAAAAAGAAAAGGAAATAAATAAATAAAAGTCTATACAGCAGGATATTTGCAGCTGGTTATGGCCATCCATTTCTTAACTGGCCCGTCAGGGTTTGACTTGGAGATTTGCGAGCATTTGCGAGACATGTATTTTTGGTAAATTTTAATAATTTGTCCACTGTACTTCAGAAACAAAAGATGATAAAAACATCTGCTCTTGTAGGCTCTAACATAAACTGCACCATCTAAAAGTACAAACGACATTTCTAAAAAAAATTGTTTTTAACACCTTGATCATGGCATTACACAAATTATGAATCTACCAGTATTTTTAACCTTTTCTTGGTATCCTCCACATCAGATATGAGTTGCTCTCTTTTTCCAACCACCTCAAGCATTTCTTGTAATAACTCTTTCTCTTTAGACTTGTCATACGCTGTCTTTGTGTTTTCTGTTAAAACAAAATGGAACACTATACTCTCAAAAGTAGGTTGAGTTTGATCGTCTGGGTGAATGTAGTCCTGAATAGGACTGTTGTTGTTGACAGTGACTGACGTTTCGACAACCTGTGCGGTAGTCATCTTCAGAGTCAAAGTGAGTTGTATCACGTCAGTTGATGGTATTATACTCTGGTTATTGATTTGATTGGTCAATTACATCGTGATGGTATTGGTCGTCTGTCAGTTAAGCCATGATGTTATTGGCTATGAAGACTCGTAATCAGTAATTGGTGCGTTTCGATCTGTCTGTTGTCACAGTTAAACAGTCGTCTATTGTTAGTCAAAATAAATAAACTCTCTATCAAATTCTGACAAGGTACTTAATACAGTACTCTAGAGCTTCATATTAGTTTAGTTAATAGTTACAGGGAGTAGAGGGGTCACAGGTCAAGAAATCAGTTTTTAATAGCTGAATTTCCAATGCAATTCCACCACCAACCAATCTCCTCATTAACCCATAAAGCCTGACCCGCCTGTGTGTGGATACCCATCCATTGTACCACTTGTGACATCATCAGTTTTAACAGTCATAGACAACTTTGTCATCTTCGTGTAACTTGTTCCAAGGGAAGAGATCTTTCAAACCATACCTGAATGAGCATGAGTCAGTAAAACAGACCAGACAAAAATGCGAAAACTTATTTGACCCGAAAATTTCAATAAAAATCCTGATCCACCTCACTACACTTAACTTCACTCCACTTAATCCTACTTTTCCGAACGTTTTCCCAAAAGGTTTTGCTCAGCAAAAGAAAAACGAGTTAACGATGCAAGAAAAGCATTAAAGAAGAAGGGAGAAGAGAAAGGGAAAGGTAAAAGTTGAGGGTCAAAATAATTTTCGCTTCTGCAAGCCCGAACTTCAAAAGCTGATAATATTCGACAAGACTGACTTTTTAACGGCATTTTGAGCAGTTTTAGTTTGTTTTAGCCAGAAAGCTACCAAAAAAAAGTCCAACTAGCTTCACCAGGCACTTTTCAGCAAAATTTCCAGGAACAAATGGGTTTAGCAAAATACCCCACTTGCACATCTCCAATAAGGCACCTTATTCGCCCCCCAAAATTTTGCAGAAGCATTGTTTTTTATTTCTCTTGGGACAGCTGTAATACCCAGGAAAAATGAAAAACGAAGGTTATGCAAAATTTTGGGGGGCAAATAAGGTGCATTATAGGAAATGTGCAAGTGGCGAAAATGTTACAGGTCAAAATTATATTCAGGGTAAAATTTTTTAACCTCGGTTGATTCTCTATTTTCTTTGTATCGATCCTAGCCCTAATTCATGAACAATTAGGGCTAGGAGACAAAGGAAAATGAGAATTAACCTAGGTTAAAAAAATTTAACCTGAATTTTATTTTGAACTGTAACATATATACAAAAACTTTACCAAACAAAGCAGAGCTATACCTTTATGGAATAACAGCCCTTCAAGTGAGATTTTAACCCCAATGCAATTGCCACCAACAGCAGTAGAATTCCCTTGAAATACGTTTTTGACTCCTAGCTCTTATATTATGGTAACATTTGTTTAAAAGGTGGCCATGACCGATCTTATAGTTAATGCTGTTTAGTGAAAAAGTACTAGACTAACTTACCATCCTTCTCTGTCAATTCTCTCAGTTTTTTCTCCAACTCAGAATACTTCTGTGCAAGTTCTAATTCCCTTACCCTGGCAAAGAGAAAGTCTGTCAGAGATTGATGTCTTAACCTTGTCTAAGTTTTTCCCCCTTATGTTTGGTTAAAGGGTAGTGGATCATATCAACTAAAACAAAAACCATTGACCTAAAAACATACACACTATGTATATAGTAAATAACCATCTTGTTGAAGGTCCAGTGTGCAAAGAAAGTCGTGTCCGATAGCCCGGGGCTAGTGGATTTTGCTATCAGGCTAGTGAAGTCTTTTTTTAACTTGCCCAAAGGGCAACTGATGTTTTTTGAGGAATTCAAATAACAGAAGAAATGTGAAATTAATTCTGCGGGTCAAAAAGCTTTGGGGGCTAGTTGAAATGACGTCTGGGCTAGTAAATGCTAGCTTCAGCTTGCCCGAATGGCAAGCTGTAAAAATGATTTTCTTTGCACCCTGAGGTCACAAAAATTATATTTGCCACCTTCTTGTGCAACTATAACTACTAACAATATTAATATTAGGTGTTACGAGATAGGGAAAATAAAACTGCTGCCTAAATTTCTCACCTTTTTGCTGTTGTGTTGATTTTTTTGTTAGGGTTCTTTTGTTTTACGTAAAACATCTACAACACCAAGAAACTGTGGTGCCTACTAACAATAAACAGCATAAACATAAAGAGCCAAATAGCATAAACAGGCTTTTTGAGAGCTGCTTACGTTTTAAATAATGTAATCTTAATTTCAATGTTTTGTTCAAGAAAATATCCATTCTCTGGAAGACTTTTTGGTTTACCCTTCACCCATCCCTCTCTGCCACCCCTATGAAAATACCAGTTTAGCTTCAAATTTCCTGTAAAAACATATGCCTTAACTGACTCCTCTCTCCCCTGGAACTTCAGCACAATAGGGCCATTTATATGAGGAAAATAAGACGCATCTTACATGAGAAGCATCTCAAATAAGACGCGAACTTTCCGCATAAACGGCACATTTCGTCTACGATAAGACGCGACTTAGCTAAGACACGTCTTAAATTAGAACAGCCCTTAACACCTGTTCTTAGATAAGATGTGTCTTAGTTAAGATGAGAAAAACTTCATATAAATGACCTTAGCGTCTTACATAAGACGCGAACGCATAGTACACATGCATTAATTTTTGGCATGCCATGTTGGTTTGCTGTTGCCATGGGCAACATTTACATGAAAATGAGTCAAGAACAGAAATAAGACGCGAAGCATTTATACGAACTGTTCTCATCTTAGATAAGACATGCTCGTATAAATGGTACAGTTTGCGTCTTATTTAAGACGAGCCTTATGTAAGACACGTCTTATTTTTCCTCGTATAAATGGCCCTAATATATGCATGGAACGTATTTTCCTTCTCATCCGTTTTCTCGTTGTCAAATGGAAAGTAAAACTACCACAAAGTTACTACTTACTTAAATGAAAGTTCTGTTTCTCTTCTTACTGTGGCATTTTTATCCTGCGTAGCAGAAAACCATTCCAACCATAATGCCCGCTTTTCTGCGTCAGAGCCTTGGAAAAAGAGATAACTAGAGTCGAACCTCCATGAATGGCGAACAGTGATATGATACTTATAGTGAATGTTGCAAACCTTGCTTATTTTGTCACGCTCAGACATTTTGATTCAAAAAAATTATTCAACATATATATTTTATAATGATTAGATTACCATTTATATTATAGAGTATAAGCATGAACTAATGGCATAATAAACACGTTGTACTTCCTAAAAACAATTTTTCATATTACACCCCTTCCTCCCCAGATAAAAAATTAACCTTATAAAATGACCACTTTTATTCTGTCCCCAAGGATTAGCCATTTAAAGGAGAGGTTCAAACTTGGCATAATAAAAACGTTTTTCCTAAAAACAATTTTTCATATCCACATACAAATTCTCCAAACTGATCTCCATACATTTCCTTCAAGAAGTAGTTGAGAGAATCTGATAAGAGATTAAGGCATTTCCTCTTGGGTGATCATTTCATTAATTCTCCTAACTTAACTTTTGACAGTGTTTGGATATTGTTAGGAGAAAATTGATCTTGGTCACTACTGGGAATTAAAGGGTTAATTATACCCTCTGGCAAGGGTTGAATTATAATAATGCAAAAACCCCAATTAATTTCTTTCCTTCATTTTTGAAATAAAAATTGTAAATGTAAAAACAAATTTCTGTAAGAACGTAATATTCAAAATGCTGTTAAGTAGTGAACCCCATAGAAATAAAATTTTACCTTTAAACTTGTCAAGATTAGACCTGAGTTTTTTCTCTTTTTTCACCAGTTTCTTTCCTCGTTTACTTAGCAGTGCAATTTTCTCCTTCATAATCCTGATAGAGTTTTGTGTCTTATTCAATGCTTTGGAACCTTTGGTTCCATCAACTGCATCTAGTGACAATAATATATCAAACGTTAATGGCCATGACAAAGTTTAAATCAAACCCCTGACAGGGAAGAAAATATTTGTGGTAAATTATTTAGAATTTTCAGGAGGTCATGTAATCAGACTAAAAAAGGACTATGAAAAAACTCTGAAACTCTATTTAGTGGGCAAGCGCATGGCCACTCAAAAAATGCTGGCTGCTTAATAGAGATTCTAATAACAGTGATTGACAGACAGTTTTTGTCTGCAAGGACTCTGCCAAGTGGGAATAGAGAGTGGCCACTTGTTTTAATACGGACCTTAAGATACTCTGAACGCGGCCGAGGAGAACAACCAGAAGTGAAATGTTCAATTCTTGGAACTAATTAGCATAATGCCACAGCGTCGACCTGAAGTCGCGACGGTGAAAACTAGAAGTTTGGCCGCCTTGTAAAACGGTTAGTTGGTTTTCTTGATTTCAGTGCAGAAATTGCTTTTCATACAGGATTTTCGATCCATTTTACTTCAAGAGACACATTTAAGTGTTTTTAGTGTGGTGTTCTCTCAAGATTGACTCTTATTTTTTTGCTATCAAGCCTTTTGGGTTCAGTGTTTTGGCAGCAACTGAGGATGAAAGCGCTGAGTATGTAACACTTTAACTGCTTGTTTTTATTAAAGGGGACAACGTTCTCGCTTTAGGATAGTATTTGAAAAATTTAAGAGACAAGAAGTCGAATAAAAATTGTTGGAAAACAAAAAACTAGGCTTGTAATAAACTTGAACATGTCGGAAAAAATTGAGATCTTGAACAAGATGCCATGGTTCATTTATTAACTTTTATAATTTTATTTTGTTCACTTTCAGTTCAGCGATGGAGCGGTCTGAAGATCAAAATCTCGCCTTAGTACGGGAAGTTCTCATAACGGAACCATATCGTTTTAAAGCAAGATCTAGAACAACGGAAAGCAAAAAAGTCTGGTAACAAATAGCTGATAACCTGAACTCCGATCATACCCCAAGTTTCCCACAAAGAAATTTGTTTTTTTTTTAGAGAAACTGGAGTCATAGCCGGCAGCACAAATTTTTCTTCCAATAAAAGATCGTTAAGGTATCAATCAAGGAAGACTTCACGAGTTTTTCTCAAAGACGTCATGGAATTAAAACACGAAAGCATTACTTTATCCTCTCTCATCAGGCAAGCACTCAACCCAACCTGCTCAATCTTAATTTGTTTTTCCCGCAAAGGTAGGGGCGTCCTTGCTCCAGGCTTTCTCCATTCTCTTTACCGCCGCGTCCAGGGTATCTTAAGGTCCCTAATACTAGAACCTGCTTCAAGCCTAAAAGTCCCAATATAAACATAAAGAGTATTCTCCTCACTGTTCTCCATATATTCCTTATTGTACTGATTGAGAGAATTTGTTCAAACATCTGGACAATTTTAATCAGTGCTGATCATTTCATTTGTTCTCTTTACCTGTATATTTGATTTGGCAGTGATACTGTTACGAGAAATTTGATGCTGATCACTATTGGGGCTTAAAGAAAGGGTTAAACATCTTTATTAACAAACCTGGTGTAAACTTAAACTGCTGCCGCACACCAGGTCCAATTCCCATGGCATGACGAATATCCTCTCCTAAACCAAAGCTAGCGTTCTCAATATCCTGGTAGTGCTGTGTGCAGTAGAACTTGTCATGGTCAGGGACAAAGCAGTAATTGAAGTGGTTCAGCCAAGAGCTACATATGGCACAAACAAAACAACTCTTGTGGAAGACGTGGTTTTCAACAGCTACACGCTCAAGGATTTCTACAGGCTTGCCACATTTGGGCTGGTCACACCGGTTTGTCCTGATTAGAGAAGCACTATTTGGAGGGCTAGACTATAAAAGAAAGGAAAAAAAGTCCTTGAATGACCTTTGTGGTTTTCCAAAAAGAATTAGTGAAATCACTGTCATCTCTTTACAGGCAAGCCTAACTGTAGTTGCAACAGGTTTAAGAAATCAATTTTGAACTTGGCTTGAACATACACCATTTACAATGTGATTTCAAAGGAATAATCACACAGTTTGATTTATTTTTTCCAGAGAATCCATTAGCTCATAATATGAAAGAATAACATATATGTTATTCTTTCTTTTGTTCTATGTTTAGGAACTGATATGCCTTACACCGTACCTCAATGTTAAGAGTTATTCCTTCTAAACTCAGCACACTTTTATTGTCTTCAGCAGCAACACTTGCCTTCAATTTAAACAAACCCAAATATATGAACTTTTGCACATAATGGACCATGTCTTCTTATCATTACATTCTTATGTACCTTTTATAGTGTCAAATTTGGGGTTTGAATGCTACCTGGTTTGTCACTTCCTTACTTACATCAACTTGTTTTTCCTTTTTCTTTTTAGAGGTCCTCACAAACTGTTTATAATGCCAGCGAAGCTCCTTCATAAGTTCTTCTTTTTCTTCTGTGGTTTTCACTGAATTGGTGCTCAACTTACAACTGGTAACTAGAACAGGTGAGAAGGTAATGAATGAATAAGATTGGGTTTCCATTCTTGACCAGGTCCTTTTCCTAAGAACCATATAATATTATTTATAAATAAAAAATTACTAAATTAATTAATTAATTAATGAAAGATTTAGTGGTAGCAAGTCCACAAAGGCTAGTTCTTGAGAAGAGGAGAAACTGCATGGATCACTACCTAGAGAAAAATCTCTTGGAGCAAGGTGAAAAACCAACAACAAGCTCAACCCACATAAATGTATAAGGTTGCCTGTGGGAGTTGAACTTATGCCACATAAGATATTTCACCACTGTGCCACCCTTGCAGCAGAAAAAAGGATACCGTAAAATTCCGAAAATAAGCCCCTCCATGTATAAGCCCCTCCAAATACAAGCCCCCAAACCGGTAATGCAAAAAACCCTCCGTTAAATCGCCCCTCCAAATATAAGCCCCCGGGGGCTTGTACTTGGAAAATTGCCCTCAAATACAAAGTAAAACAAAAAAAAACGCAAATTTACTTTAAACTATAAGGCTAGTCCAATCAATTTTGAAACGCAAATTTCCCTGCGTAGATCTGAATATAAGCCCCTCCAAAAATAAGCCCCTCGAAAAGGGCCTTTGAAAAATATAAGCCCCGGGGCTTATTTTCGGAATTTTACAGTATTTGACCTTCAGTTTACATTAATTTTGTACATGCCAAAATAACTTAAATACTAAACATGATCAAAAATAAGATCACAGATAAAGTAAAAACCTTCCACTGGATCCATCCTAGTCATGGGCGTAGCCAGGCCCATAGACCGGTAGACCGGTAGACCTAGGCATACAAATTTTTGGTTTTCAAGATCACTCTACAACTTGTAATAAATTGTGCATTGTTGGGTTGAACTAAAGAGCTCATGAGCTCAGTGTGATGGTGAGGTCAGTGCATACTATGGTCATGAGCGCAATCAACAGAATTATAAACAAGCATTTTTCAGGATATGTGGAAATATTAAAATTCCTACCGACTGTCAGCCAGGCCTACAACACAACAAATCAAAAAGCTGGCTATGCCCCTGCTAGTCTTGCTTAACAGATGTTGGCCACTTGATGTAGATTTGCTTTCAGAAAATTTCAACAACAAATAAAAAAGCTGGCTATGCCCCTGCTAGTCTTGCTTAACAGATGTTGGCCACTTGATGTAGATTTGCTTTCAGAAAATTACAGGACTTACTAAGGGGCAAGTCTGCTGACTACAGGGTTTCCTATAAACATGACCGTTTTGAGATGTTTTTTGAGTCTGAATCAGCTAGCTTTCATTTAATCCCTTTGCCAAGCTGCTCACAATCTTGTTATCACTAAGAAAGGGGATCCTGTCCAAAAGACTGTTTCAGACTGAAGTACCGATAAGAGTAACTGTATATTTCTGATTTTCAGTACCTGGAGTTGATGGCAAGGATCTTGCAAAGTTAGAAATTTCTTCTTCATTTACAACCTCCTGTTTATTTTCAGACAAGTTCACATTTTGCCCTTGAGTAGCTGGTTCCACATTCTCTTTCTCAGCTTCTACTTGCTGCTGCCTTTCAAACTCCATGGTATCTAGGCCTGTCAATGACCTTGATCTTCTGTGAACATGTTTGATAAATTGTGCCTGCACCTCGGGTGGTAGTTCGTGATGTCTATTGGCTGTTTCAGGGTCTGTTCTGCCATGCAAGGCCAGCTCCTCTGGAGGGATATCCGGGAGCTTCTTTCTTGATCTCCGATTGGAGTCAACAAAAGCAGTCATAACTGCAAGGATTTTAAGATGCAGGTTTTTCTAATTTGATGACCTGAATATGAAAGGGAATAATATAGGTTTAGTAATACTGAAGTGGACAAGAGCAGCTAACAAAATTGGTGGATAAAAATATTAAGATTATGGCTGTTCATTGTGGTTCATACAATAATAAAGAGATTTTATGAGACTACATCACAAGGCCAAAGATAATATTGTTCTTAGCATTAATTAAAATAATAATGTGCTTTTTCCTTTACATGTACTAACTAGGGGCATTTTGGACTTATCAATATTGCAAAACAAACCAATTAAAAAGTACTGTAAGCACTGGGATGCAGATGCAGATTCAGGTGCAGTTTTTTAAGGTTAACAATATGAGAAATTGGATAAAAATCATATTAAAGTAGTATTAAACTACTATAGAAAAGGTTCAATCTAGGAATAAAGTTTGTATTAAAGAAAACTACCTATTCTTGCCAACTAATAATCTTTTCTTATGAATCCCGTAACTAAATATTATAATGAGCAATATACTATGAAAGTAAGTTAATATAAAATCTTAGCGTAGCTGAGCAAATTTTATTGTATTCAGTAGTTTTTCAATAAATTTTTGTTGTCTATTTGGCAGTTTTTATCCAATGTTTCTACTATAAGGTAGTTATAGAGAAGAGAAGTGTGACCTCACATAACCATGTTAGCAAAATTTCTGCATCACAACAATGGGGAGCAACGAGAACAGCATAAACGCAATAGGTTTAGATTTCCAAAAAAACAACTTTGCACATGCATCGTGCTTTTTTGTACATTTCTTTGCCATCATTAAATGACTGCAACACAAAACTTCCTATTTTCACACACCCGCTTTATGGAGTGGGTGACCACAACAGAAAAGTTTCTTTTTCTTTTTCTTTTTCTAAACTTAGATGTGCAGTCCGTTTGGATTCAACCCCATAAAATCTTGCTAACATTTGACATTAAATAAAATGAAACTGAATAAGATTGATGGAGTTTGAAACAGTGTGAATACACTTTTTAAGTTGGTTGTCATCCAGAAATTTTGCTACCATATGGCAACATGACATAACGACTTCTCCTCTCATTGCAAATTATTGAGGACTGTATATCATGAGCCGCTGCGTATAACTGAGTATCATGTTTGACAAAAAGCTGCAGCTGCCCTTAAATGAAAATGATTCACTGCAAATCCCTACCAGCCATCGCTAGTAGTGACCAAAAAAAACTACTCAAATTTGTCGATATTTATTGATAAAGAAAACTATGAACACGGAAAAAAATATTTTGTATAAATCAGCAATTAATTCAACTTGATTTTATTACTGATTTTTACTTCCTTAAGTGTTATGAAACCTTTGCTCATACAATATAAGGATTAGAAAATTTGATTGAAAAGTTAGGGTCAGCTTATAGCAATGATGACAACAGTGGCTAAAACCTCTCTTACAAATTCATCACTTGTATTCCATGTTGTTCAATGATTCAAATGCTTATTAAATTTTTTGGAGTTGAATTCTAAAGAAATTAGGTTCAATTTGTAATCACAATCGGGTTGTAATGTTAGTGCAATATTATTGCTCCATCATATATTGTTAACTCAAATCATAGTAATCATACTATTTTTACTGAAGATGATCATAGATTGATCCAAACATGTCCTGCTTTAAATTGAAAGTTGTGGTTCATTTTTTAAGAATTCTAAAGGCTGTATCTAATTTTCCAAACTAATTAGAAAATCGTTATCTTGTGTTCCATCCTTCAGAATACAAGTAAATTAGGAAGTTTCACCAGGGTCTGGAAGGGGTGGTCCTGATCCCGCATTCTGGCCCCTTTTTCGCGAGAATCCTGCATCCCCCACGTTTTTCATCAGTTTCCCGAATACCGCTTTTCTTTCTAAGAAAAATACATTAAAAAGTCTAATGTCTACAAAAGCTAATAAATGTAAGATGTAGGTTGATCCTTTCGATTGATATTTTGAATTTACGCGTGTTTTTAAGGGTTTCCAGCATTCCCGACGGACACGCAAACATAAATCCCGCATCCCGTGCCCAATTTTCGGCGAGTCCCGCTTCCCGGGGAACAGTCAAATCCCGGATCCCATCAATATATTTATCGTTTTCCCGATTCCCGCACCATATTTTGGTCAAATCCCGAATCCCGAAAATACCCTTCCAGACCCTGTTTCACGTCGTGGTTGTGCAATGACAGTAAAGAAATGTACAAAAAAGCATGACGCACATGCAAAGCTTACTATTTTGCTAATCACAGCCTATTTGCTTTTTGCCATTCTTGTTGCCATCTTCTTCGATGCTTATGCTCACTTAAAGATGTTCAAACCCTTGGAATTATTTGGTATTCTCCACATTCAGCTTTGGGCAAAGTCTTCAACTATGACTTTTTAAATAAAAGCTATTGATAATATTTCTTCCCTGCGTGCTGTGTAATAAATGAAACATTAATAAAATAATTCTTATCGATCACCTGTATTGAGCTTGGATCTACTTGGAAAGGGCTTTTTTGCTATGAAACAATAAAACTATCATCTTGAAAAGTAGATATTCGCCAGCCTTACAGGTTTTCGCCACAGATTACGTTTTTAATGTGGAATTACTCATAACCTCAAAGTAAAAATTAAGATGACACATTTAACTGACAGCTAAAATCTCTTTAGTACGAATAATGTAAGCTTATAACCTTACTTACCATCTAACATGCACAAATTAATTTAAAAGGAATAGAGAAGATTCACGGCTGTTGAAAGACCACGAATTAACCAAACACGTAATCCATTTTTCAGTGATAAATTAGCCTGCTGTATGAGACAAGATGTCTTCCAAAAATTTCTATCCACACTCGTACTAGACAATTGCTGTGAGACGTGTTGTATTTTCTTAGAAAAAAATCACCACATTTTTGAACACCTTAAGCATCACAAACTAGTTCTATTGATATCCATTTTACATCGCTAGTACCTCCCGGATGTCAGCCGTTGAATAAATGAGCTATAGCAGCCGTCATCAGTAAACAACAGAGATGACATTCTTCCTTCGAACAACCATCTCTCGTGGAAACGACGAGCCCGCTTCCACTGGTGACGACGCGAGGATCGCGATTCGCGACACTTCTTCCAGCTTTCGAATGTCCGCTTGAAGATCGATAAAAACAGTCTCTCGTGCACACTTGGAATAACTGACCGCAAGAAGGCTGCATAACTAACTGTTCCGAGGGTTTTCATGTTAATAAAAACGATGAATAAAGTTCACGGCCGGGTACAACACTGAGGTCTCCAGTTTCGATATCTGTCAGGCGTTTCAGGCGCAACAGCTGCATGGCGCATTGCATGGTGGGATTTACACTTGGAAAGTATTTGGCGGGAAATTGTTTCTTGCACAAAGGACAACAAAGGTTTGACGAAAGAAGAAAAACAGGAGCAGTTCTTTCCGTGTGCGTGCGAATCCAGGATTTAGCACACCATATCACCCATAAAACGGAAATAAATGCGAATTAAACTGCTCTAAGAAACATGTTAGCCAAAAAAGAGGGCGAATGAAACTCCATGTGCGACGGGGACACGCGTGACCATCTCCCATGAGCGTCCATTCAAAACAACAATTTTTTTTTCCACTCAAAGTCCGATAGATGAAAACTCTGGTAAACTACACACACTTAGTCCCCAGGGCTCTCCCCCCTTGGGCGGAGCACTTAGTCCCCAGGGCTCTCCCCCCTTGGGCGGAGCACTTAGTCCCCAGCGCTCTCCCCTTGGGCGGAGCACTTAGTCCCCAGGGCTCTCCCCTTGGGCGGAGCACTTAGTCCCCAGGGCTCTCCCCTTGGGCGGAGCACTTAGTCCCCAGGGCTCTCCCCTTGGGCGGAGCACTTAGTCCCCAGGGCTCTCCCCCTTGGGGGAGCACTTAGTCCCCAGGGCTCTCCCCTTGGGCGGAGCACTTAGTCCCCAGGGCTCTCCCCTTGGGTCCCCAGGGCTCTCCCCCTTGGGCGGAGTCCCCAGGGCTCTCCCCCTTGGGCGGAGCACTTAGTCCCCAGGGCTCTCCCCCCCCCCTGGGCGGAGCACTTAGTCCCCAGGGCTCTCCCCTTGGGCGGAGCACTTAGTCCCCAGGGCTCTCCCCCCCTTGGGAGCACTTAGTCCCCAGGGCTCTCCCCCCTTGGGCGGAGCACTTAGTCCCCAGGGCTCTCCCCCCTTGGGCGGAGCACTTAGTCCCCAGGGCTCTCCCCCCTTGGGCGGAGCACTTAGTCCCCAGGGCTCTCCCCCCTTGGGCGGAGCACTTAGTCCCCAGGGCTCTCCCCCCTTGGGCGGAGCACTTAGTCCCCAGGGCTCTCCCCCCTTGGGCGGAGCACTTAGTCCCCAGGGCTCTCCCCCCTTGGGCGGAGCACTTAGTCCCAGGGCTCCCCCTTGGGGCACTTAGTCCCCAGGGCTCTCCCCCTTGGGCGGAGCACTTAGTCCCCAGGGCTCTCCCCCCCTGGGCGGAGCACTTAGTCCCCAGGGCTCTCCCCCTTGGGCGGAGCACTTAGTCCCCAGGGCTCTCCCCTTGGGCGGAGCACTTAGTCCCCAGGGCTCTCCCCCTTGGGCGGAGCACTTAGTCCCCAGGGCTCTCCCCCCTTGGCGGAGCACTTAGTCCCCAGGGCTCTCCCCCTGGGCGGAGCACTTAGTCCCCAGGGCTCTCCCCTTGGGCGGAGCACTTAGTCCCCAGGGCTCTCCCCCCTTGGGCGGAGCACTTAGTCCCCAGGGCTCTCCCCCACTTGGGGCGGAGCACTTAGTCCCCAGGGCTCTCCCCCCTTGGGCGGAGCACTTAGTCCCCAGGGCTCTCCCCCTTGGGCACTTAGTCCCCAGGGCTCTCCCCTTGGGCGGAGCACTTAGTCCCCAGGGCTCTCCCCCCCCCAGGGCGGAGCACTTAGTCCCCAGGGCTCTCCCCTTGGGCGGAGCACTTAGTCCCCAGGGCTCTCCCCTTGGGCGGAGCACTTAGTCCCCAGGGCTCTCCCCCTGGGCGGAGCACTTAGTCCCCAGGGCTCTCCCCTTGGGCGGAGCACTTAGTCCCCAGGGCTCTCCCCCCCTGGGCGGAGCACTTAGTCCCCAGGGCTCTCCCCTTGGGCGGAGCACTTAGTCCCCAGGGCTCTCCCCCCCTTGGGCGGAGCACTTAGTCCCCAGGGCTCTCCCCCCCCTGGGCGGAGCACTTAGTCCCCAGGGCTCTCCCCCCTCTTGGGCGGAGCACTTAGTCCCCAGGGCTCTCCCCCCCTGGGCGGAGCACTTAGTCCCCAGGGCTCTCCCCCCCCTGGGCGGAGCACTTAGTCCCCAGGGCTCTCCCCCCCCCGGGCGGAGCACTTAGTCCCCAGGGCTCTCCCCCCCCCTTGGGCGGAGCACTTAGTCCCCAGGGCTCTCCCCCCTTGGGCGGAGCACTTAGTCCCCAGGGCTCTCCCCCCTGGGAGCACTTAGTCCCCAGGGCTCTCCCCTTGGGCGGAGCACTTAGTCCCCAGGGCTCTCCCGGGAGCACTTAGTCCCCAGGGCTCTCCCCCCTTGGGCGGAGCACTTAGTCCCCAGGGCTCTCCCCTTGGGCGGAGCACTTAGTCCCCAGGGCTCTCCCCCTTGGGCGGAGCACTTAGTCCCCAGGGCTCTCCCCTTGGGCGGAGCACTTAGTCCCCAGGGCTCTCCCCTTGGGCGGAGCACTTAGTCCCCAGGGCTCTCCCCCTGGGCGGAGCACTTAGTCCCCAGGGCTCTCCCCCCCTGGGCGGAGCACTTAGTCCCCAGGGCTCTCCCCTGGGCGGAGCACTTAGTCCCCAGGGCTCTCCCCCCCCTGGGCGGAGCACTTAGTCCCCAGGGCTCTCCCCCTTGGGCGGAGCACTTAGTCCCCAGGGCTCTCCCCCCCTGGGCGGAGCACTTAGTCCCCAGGGCTCTCCCCCCTGGGCGGAGCACTTAGTCCCCAGGGCTCTCCCCCCCCCTGGGCGGAGCACTTAGTCCCCAGGGCTCTCCCCCCCTGGGCGGAGCAGCACTTAGTCCCCAGGGCTCTCCCCCCTGGGCGGAGCACTTAGTCCCCAGGGCTCTCCCCCTGGGCGGAGCACTTAGTCCCCAGGGCTCTTCCCCCCCCCTGGGCGGAGCACTTAGTCCCCAGGGCTCTTCCCCCCCCCCGGGCGGAGCACTTAGTCCCCAGGGCTCTTCCCCTTGGGCGGAGCACTTAGTCCCCAGGGCTCTCCCCCCTTGGGCGGAGCCCTTAGTCCCCAGGGCTCTCCCCCCTTGGGCGGAGCCCTTAGTCCCCAGGGCTCTCCCCCCTTGGGCGGAGCCCTTAGTCCCCAGGGCTCTCCCCCCTTGGGCGGAGCCCTTAGTCCCCAGGGCTCTCCCCCCTTGGGCGGAGCCCTTAGTCCCCAGGGCTCTCCCCCCTTGGGCGGAGCCCTTAGTCCCCAGGGCTCTCCCCCCTTGGGCGGAGCCCTTAGTCCCCAGGGCTCTCCCCCCTTGGGCGGAGCCCTTAGTCCCCAGGGCTCTCCCCCTGGGCGGAGCACTTAGTCCCCAGGGCTCTCCCCCTTGGGCGGAGCACTTAGTCCCCAGGGCCCCCCCTGGGCACTTAGTCCCCAGGGCTCTCCCCCCTTGGGCGGAGCACTTAGTCCCCAGGGCTCTCCCCCCTTGGGCGGAGCACTTAGTCCCCAGGGCTCTCCCCCCTTGGGCGGAGCACTTAGTCCCCAGGGCTCTCCCCCCTTGGGCGGAGCACTTAGTCCCCAGGGCTCTCCCCCCTTCAATAAGAAAACCAGTGTAGATAAACTTACCTTGTTACTTACCTTTTTTACTTACCTCTTGTGCTGTGTTGTGGTTTTAGAATATTTAGTCTCTGGCGGTCTTTTGACTACTTTTTTGTTGTAGTAATCTTGGTTGTTTTTTGTTGTTGGTTTACGCTGAGGAATTTAGCTCCTGGTAAGGTTCCGTTTTGTCTACGAAACTGTACTTGCTTACTGAATTCAAAAGCGTAAACTTCTTTTAGATTGTGATATTTGGGGGGTGAGGACTTAATTTGCTTAATTTTTAACTAAATAGAACATGTTGTCTTGGTGTATATACCAAACCGGATTTTTCAGAGTGACGAAAAAATTCACAACAAAATTATTGGAAAGAAGGATGCAACGAGAAAAGAAATATAACTTAATCGTTGAGCCTCGAGACCTTTTTAGAATAATGACCGAGCGCGTACTTTTCCATAGTTTTAGGACCAGCAGGTTATTATTATGGTCACTGAATTGAAACAGTAGGTTATTATTTGTGATAATGATCTTCAGTTCCACCTCAACGACATGTTCTTAAAATTTACCTAAAATAATAACCTGTTCAAAACAGTGGAAAATTGCATGAAGACCCGACTAACCGACTGTGTTCAGCAAAAAAGGAACTTACCATAGGCTTGGTATATACTGAATAAATGACAGACACACAAATGCGTTGGCTGCATATCCTTTTTAAGGATCGTGGCAGTACCTTTATTGTTATTTTGAACACTATTTTGGAAGACAAATTGTTCTTCTTTTTTTTATGGTGAGGCAGAACCTGTTAAAAAAATGGAAAGCGTTATTTGTTGTTGTAAATACCATGGTACTAACGTGTTAAGAATTGCACTCCGAATTAACCTTCTTTTCTTGTTTACCTGGTTTCTCGTTAGCTTCAGTTTTATTTACACCTGTCTTGCACCTCTGTCGACTATTATCTTGTGTCAACTTGACCGTCCCTGGAAGCATTGCAATTCTCTCCAAGTGCAAGCTAAGCACTCTACGCCAAAATTGCCAACAGTTTGTTTGTTGGCAACCCGTTTGTGCGGCATAAAAGCATAATTTATCTTTAAATCGTACATTTATTAATAAGGTCGCCGTTAATCAAATGTAAAACTCTGAGTCAGAGTAATAAAAAACTGTCCAACGTTTGAAGTTTATTTTATTAGTGTAGTCTACAGAAGAGAACACTTCTTTAATCAAAGCGAAAAATTTTAACTACATAGACATCAACAAAATAGGCCCATTTGACCGTAACAATCGCAACTCTCGTTTATCTTGTTGACTCCAGTTCCACACTTAACGAGCCAACCTAACAAAGGGACAATGCATGTTTACAGGTAACTTCTAGCGACACATTGAACAACACGCAGAACAGAATTGTGACAGAAAATCCTTTATGTAAAGTCTAAAAGAATAATTTCTTTCTGCAGCAAAAATAACCAGTAAGAACCGTTAAAGCAATTTGGACGCTTATCACAACACATTGAGAAAAACAACACTCAGATTTGACTAACGCTTGAATTAGACGCATTCAGAAAAAAAAAATGCCGACTTGATTAAAACTTGACAAATCGATGACAAAACTGGCTTGGGAATGAGTATACAATAGGCCTTTCGAGAGTATTATGGTATTTTTGAAAAAGGCCTATAGCCGTGTGAATTACCACAAGCTAGACCCAGAATAAATTTTAAAAGTACCGGGAAAGAATCATACAAACTTTCAAAACTTCTCGGTGGATAAAAGCAAAGAAAGTTGAGGAAAACTAGTGTTAAAGAATTGCTAGCACAAGAACCATTTAAACACCTAATATTTGATTGCTCAGTGATGTTGATCACCACCATCAGTTTGACAAAACTAATGAATATGCGAAGACTACGATAGCTGTTTTTGCACCCGCTCGTCAAGATTAAAGTTAAAATAGCGAAAGACCGCGAATTCAAACTTTTTAAAATTTCTGCGGCAACTAAACTTACGGAAAACTAGCAACGTTATTTCGGCGACTAGATTAATTTGGGTTTATTGCCAGCAATTAATGTAAACGAGGGCTTAATAGGCCAAAAATATAAGTTGAACTTAGGACAAACCTGGTATCTTCGAAGAGGCACAAGCGAATCTTAGCTGGTGGTGACATTTGATCCAATCCAGAAAAGACAGCAATCGTTTGAGATGAGTTGGTCCTTTCAGTGTAAGTTAACTGTCTAAACAACAGTTCAATCAACTCGAAATCAGCGTCTTCCTTTTGTGCAGTTTCTCGATTAAAATTCATTCCAACTCGAGAAATACTCGTGTTGCACATGCAAAGTAGCATTACCAAACTTTACCAAGATGTGATTATGCGCATGTTGGATTATTTTTCACAAGTTTTACTGGCCTTTGTGTTCGGTACAACAATAAAAACATCTACTATTGATGTTTATTCATATGCAATTAACGCTTAAAATTCTACCATTCAAAGACTAAACTTTTGTTAAACCGCTAAAATGTATAAAAAAATATTTTTATAAAAGGGAAAGGATCATCGCACTTTTTCAAAGAACTGTGGCCCTGGACAATCAGTGCTCAACGAAGACTGTGTTAAAACTGCTAGAAACGTTGTAATAACGATTTAATTAAAATCTTTTGATGAAGTTCATTGACGCTAAGAAAGATTGAAAATTGAACAAAAGGTCAGCAAACAGGAGAAAACAGACTTCAAAACTTTTTCAACGTTTTCTGGTCCGAGGAAGAAACCGGAACTGGAGATTCCTTAATCGTTCAAGAAAAGCTAACAGTCATGAAAGAATAGTCTAACTCTGATATAAGACGTGAAGAAGATCAGAGATCGGACTGCAATAGTTTCCTGTTTTGCTTGTTATTCAAAGTTACAGTTTTCAAATATAGCATTTTTTATTAGCCAAGGGAATCGAATGAAAGAGTGCTAAAAGTTGCTTTTTTAGCATTTCTATAGTTTTGGAAAGGACAAAGCAACTTTCTCATTATAAAGATGATCAGGCGTTTATATTGCGCCCAACAAATGCTTGATGAAAACATTCCTATATTTCCCGTGCCGCTCGGGAAATGCATCTGATTGGTCAGTTTCTGCTACTGAAACCGCGATCACCTCTCATGAGGTGACCACCTCCCATGAGCGTCTATTCAAAACGACAATTTTTTTTTTTCAGTCAAGGTCCTATAATTGAAACCTCTTGTAAACGACGGCCTCTATTAAGCGACCTCGACTACTTTTTAGGCCGACGGTTTAACACTTTTTCATTGTTTTTAACCTCTTCTAGGTGACATTTAACAAATGGTCTGATCTCTATATATGCAATATGTACTGCACAACTCACCCAGTATACGACGAACTTTGCCTGGAATTGTGGCTAACGTTTTAGGAAAGAGAAAAATTTAATCTACTAAGAGAAGTAGGTAAATAGCGAAATTGGTAGTTGATTTTTCCCAAAATGTTACTGAAGTTTTGGGTGTAAGTCTATCAGATTTGGTCAGAATTTCCAAAACGAGGTATCAGTGGAAACGGATCTATCTTTGCTGGCAAAGCTAAATGGATCCAGGAAGGAAAATATACATCGATCTTTATGAAACGAAAACAACAAAAGGTCGTCAAAGGATTAATAATCATCGTATTTAGGTGGTGACTTACACGAGATTCAACTGTAATTTTTCTACATCAAATAAAAGTTATCTGAAGAAAGTCAAATAAAGAAGATTGAACACCAGTTTGTCCGGCATCATAACTTCCATCAGAAACTCATTGGTCATGGCCGGGGTTCCTACTTCCACCAAACCTCTGAAAAGCTACTTAAACATTTGCTTCTCCAAACAAAAATTCGAGCGCGATAAAGAGTCATGCCATAATATATGCACAATTTCGGCTGTCTCCCATTATCGTCCATAAAGCCGGTCGTTTCTTTTGGTTACGATACGCTGAGAAACTTAGGTTAGAGAATGGGAATGTCCATCCACGAAGGGAGGGATAATTAAGGGCGAAATCCAGTTACAAGCAAAGTTTGTAAGAACATTCGCACTGCATCAAGGCCAAACAAGTTCCACTAACGTATGAGTTTCCTTTTTCTGATCGACCCGAAAAACTCCAATGCTTCCCTTTTTTACTCTGCACTCAGACTTTGCCTGCAACGACTTTGCACGATTCAGGCTCCCACTGGATTTCTGAGGGTGGGGAATGTTTAGATCATTCGACAGGGCACGGTTTCAATGTAGCCCTTTCCTTTCTCGTTTGCAGGCTTACAAGGGGACACACTTTACACGTTTGAGCTCACGGGATGAAACTACTATAAACAATGAAACAGATGGAATATTACTCTGGAATGTTTCAATTTAAAGGGATATCTTAGACCCATAACTTACTTATCTGCCAAATGTAAGAAGTAAAAAACATCGTGGTTTACAGTCACTTTTACCGCAAACGACAGATCAGTCACGTTGACAAATTCTCAAAATAGAAAATATGCAGATAAAACAGTTAAAACCAATTCTTATGGATAAAACGGATATGAATCCCCTGATTCCCGTGTAGTTATGATGAACAATAAACAAGTGAAGGAAAACATTGGTCAAGTGGTACAAATCCACACTTTCCGTAAACATGACTTTATAAAATGGTCCTCTGTATCTCTCTTTTCTTTGAAGTGTAAGAGATAAGCAATAATTCCTTTCGATAATCCTTTGCATAACAAATAAAAAAAAAAATATATAAAAGATTATTATTCTTTCCTCTTATATACATTAGCGAAATATCTGTCAAAATCATACCAGTTTTCTAAAGTCTACGCCGGCGATTACAAGAGACAAGATGATTTTAGTTCACTATCCATGAAATCCATCTTGCTCGAGCTTTCGCGTTAACATTTCTGGGGTGGTCTTTGTTTTGAAAATTGGCTTGAAGCTTAAAATGATTGAAATGAATGATCTTCTAGCATTTTATTTGACCTGTTTTCGTACTCCAAAAGCTTTAATTTTCTATATACAAATAAAATACTAGAGCATCTAATAAAGAAGTGGAGTGATGACGTCACAAAAACTAAATTTGTGAAATTAAGGGATTGGTTGGCATGTTCAGAAAGAACAAGATGAAAAGTCCACCTTGCCAAAAATCAGCCTGTTAAAACAAATTGGTAGGAAACAAACCTCCATAAGACGAACACCTCGCTAAAACAGGCACCAACAGGTGTGGAAAATTGCTGGGCAAATTTCTAGACATTTTCAAGAATTCAAGACTCTGTACGAATCTAGACTACGAGTAGTCTCCCATTTTTCCTAAGGGATAGTAGAGCGAGCTCGCTCTACTATCCCTGACTTAAAATGGGGACTACTCGTAGTCTAGTACGAACCCCGCATATCCATCAATCTAAAATCGGCTTGGATCGTGACGTTTACGATCCTATTCCATAATTTGAATTAGAATTTTTGTGACATCACACTTCTCTCTATTCTCTGTATATTTGCAACTTATAAAACAACAAAGAGACTGGGCCAAGTTAACGTTCCCAAAGACCTCTGGGATCATCATACTGAGGACACACTGTTAGGGAGCTTAAGCAACGACGACGGCGACGTCAACGAGAACGGCAAAAAAGCAGTAGGTTTATTAAGCAAAACAACAACTTTGCACGTGCATCACGCTTTTTTGTACATTTCTTTGCCCTCACTGCACAACTACAACGTGAAAATGCCTAATTTCACGTTTTCTGGAGGACGTGAACAGAAGGCTACGACTTTCTTTTTCTCTTCTTGAACCTCGATACAGTCTTTTAGAATTCAATTCAATAAAAAATTGCAAACATTTGACGAACTGAACGAGTAGGAATAAGAGCGATAAAGGAGTTTGAAGCAGCCCAACTGTAGGTGACGTCTTCGTAGCCATCGCCGTCGTTGTTGCTTGAGCTCTCTTCCCGTCCTAGTAACCGTCCCAGAAGTCTTTGCGAAAGTTAACCCGGCCCAGTCTTTTTCTAGTTTCTAAAGTGGCGAAATTTCCTCCTATTGCCTATTTTCTTGCCTTCATTTCATCTTGGACAAAACTAAAGGCGTCCGCTTTACCGGATTTCCCAACGAAAGAAAAATCCGCCTTTTTACTTGGTGGTGGAAGTCTCAATGGTACTGCGGAACCACCACTTAGAACAGACGGGTGAATTATTGGGTGAGAAGTATTAGGAAAATTCGAAACGTAACGGTTTGCCGGTGGTAACGCATTCCCAGCCAACGTAATATTAGGCGTGACATTAGGTTGCATAACATTGTTGCGTGACAGCGTACTTAAATCTTCGAAAGTGTCACTCCCAGAAGTTACTGGACTGTAGAAAGTACCTGTAAAACCAGATAATCCAGGATTGACAGTACTTCCATTTGACGACATCAAACTGCTTTCGTAACTTGTAACTTGAAGAGACTGTGAATCACTCTTTGACTTGGTGTTATAACGTTGTTCTCCGACGCCTTTAGCTGCAGATTTTGAAGTCTTGGGCGTGGAACACAAAGGATCGAAAATATCTGTCACGCTACCTTCGACATGCTCTTGATTAAGCGTGACAGGGCCAGGTACTTTATCTCCCTTTATCACAGAAAACAAGTCATCTAAATCTGTCCTTGAACTTCGCACCAACGAGGAATCGTCATTTCCGTCGGAAATATCAAGTACTTGGAACAAGTCGTTCTTCAATAAACGCTGAGAATTTTTAATAACAGCAGCGGGAGATTCAGGCTGTTTAGTACTTGAGGTGTTTTCCTTCTGCCAAGCAAAGGAGAGGAAAACGTTTTAGTAAGCAAAAGCGGGAGGGGTATACCTAAACCTCTCAAGATAGGTAGTTAAGAAAAAGCAGTCTTACAAGCCATCCACAAAGATGTAAGGAGAAAGACCCTCTGGTAACAAATACTAAACGAGGGTCCCTTGCATAGTACACAAGTCAGAATACAACCTCTCCTTCAAAACGCTGTACATATAGTAAATGTTTCACGAAACCTAATCAAAGGATACCTTCCGAAGGAACATTCGAGAACTAACGAACTAAATCATGTGTTTTTACTTGCTCTGCTAATCTTCGTTTTCTTTTCTCTTTATTTTATGCCTGTGAAAGTGAATTTAATTTGGTTAAATGTTCTCTTGTCGAACGCTAGTAAACAACCACACGCTTAACCTACTAGCCAACAGGCTCAAATAATCAAACATTGCTTAAATAAATAACTTTTTACAATGTTTTGTAGCCCAAATCACTAACGTCACCATATAAACCAACATTTATTTATTTATTTACAGTGTGTATTTATTTATGACTCGCCTCAGTGATTTACCTTCCCCATTCGAAAAACAAAAAAGAGAAGAAAATAGTCTCACCGCGTGCACACTCATTCCAGAAAATAAAGTTGAAGTGTCATCGGGGACAGACTGCTGTAATGCAGGATCAGTAAACTGGAATGACGAAAGATGATGGTTAATTGAAAAGAACGGTTTAACCGCAGCAGAACTGATAAGCTCAGTCGGAAACCGGTCGTTTCGCCAACGAGTCGTTTCGCCAACGCTTGATTGCAGAGCGGGAGCTCGCAGGTTCGATTCCCGGCTCTGGACCAATACTCAGGGTCTTCAAATAACTGATAACTGAAGGTTCTGCCTTTGCCCTGCAAACGGCTGGACCTTCAAGGGGCGCAGATGACTTTGCACTGCCACCCTTTGTGATTGGCTCAAATCTTACTCCACAAGTCGTAGTAAGCCACAACTAATCTGAACTTGTTAGAACGCGTTTTCCCGCCCTTTACAATGCAACGTAGTATTTCGCGTTCTGATTGGTTTATTAGATTTTCATTCCCTTTCCAATTGGCTAAAGTATTTACCCTCGTTTTGGTTTTTGGCGAATTGAAGACCTCTCTAAACAAATGCTGTAACAGGCCATTTTTGAATTACCGTTAGCCTTTTGTTCAAAGCGAGGTAGTCCTTCTGCTCATCCTTTCATATGAAAGTAAGTTTTCATTTACATGCAAGTTAAACTCACTTTTGATGAAGAGGCCAGCAGGTCTCGCTTTGATAGGTCTGAAAGAGTCACGCGTAGCAACGTAATAATATGTAAACGATAAAAACTCTTTCTCTTCAAAAGAAGTTCAAAAGTTTTTGACTTAAGAAATTTTCGCAATCAAATTTCCTTTCTTTCAATACATCAGTTAAGCAATTAAACAGGCAAATAAAGCAAAAACTCACGTACATTATCCAAGTTCAATAGGTCATGACTATGTACTACTCTTGATACTTCTGAATTATTCACAGTTGTATGCGAATCTAGAGAGAAAAAAAAGAAAGTCACCTAACCTCGTCAAAACCGCCCTAGAGCCGCCTTTGTCTTTTTCTTTACTGAGGAGCAGCTTTGCACCCAGGCCAGTTCGCGCTTTCGAGCTACCAGAGGAGGCTCGGAACCGAGTGCGATAGCGCGTCCCGACAAGCTTGACAGGTGTCCACAATTTTGCTCTCCTTGCAATAGGAACTCTTCCCCCCTCACCCCTCCCCCATCTAAAATCCCATCTCCTCTAACCTCTACGTAAGGCCTACGCAGGCTATCACCCCCACCTGATTGTTGGGCCGAACTGAGGCCCACAGGGCAAAGAAGAATTATTTTTGAGGCTAGGTCCTCCTTACCCTGGCTCCAGAGGTCTGTTCTCGAAAAACCTAGTATAAAATAAACCGTGTTCATGGTTTGATAAAGTTACCGAGACCGGAAAAAAACTTCTGGAACCCAGGGTAGGCCCCCCTCTT